GATCAACAAACAAGTGCAGCCACAAAAATGCAACTGTGCAAATGTCAACAACAAAACTAGATCCAACACAATCTGCTACAACTACATGGCTTTATAATGCCTCTTGTCTGTTGCAGACGATTTTGTTCAGCTTAATGCCTCGAACTTGACTCATGGGAGATCAAATTGATGTGGACCATGAGTGAGGCTTGTATCCTCGATCAGACGACAATAGCACTGAACACTTCCAAAGCTGAATGCAGTTTAAAATTAGCAATACTATAGCCTGGTCGTGCCACACCATAGTACAATACTAAGGTCTGGAAGTACTCCATTGAGCTCCGTAAAAAGGTGGGAGGGGTTAACTCCTTTTGCAGATTGAAACGATTGGATCTGAGTGCGCCCGAGTCTGTTGTTAGCATTTAGCATTTAGCCTAGCCATCTCCTTCAAATCTTTTATGGGGATGATAGGGGACCTATCATACTAGCACATTATATGAAGACATGTAATACTTCCCTAGTTTGACACCAGCAGCAAACCATGTGGTTGTTTCCTTGAGAGAAGTGATAGTAAATTGAGTTATAACATGCCATGGAGCCCATATCAACCCAATCACCAATATTGGCATTAAAAATAATAACTGAAAATCCCTTCAGAGGCCTGTGCATAAGATTCAATAAAATGTCTGTCATTTTCTTTGTCCCGTCTAGACCAATAGCTCTATGTGTCTGTTATCATTGCATTTCCTGTGTTTGAACTATTTGGTTCTCTGATCTGTTTTGGCAAATCGACAGCTTTGTAAAGTCATCTAGATGACTACCGTTGAGAATAGAATTTCTGTCCCTCAGATCCTCTCTTATTCCATCAAACATGTGCCACAGAGAACATTCTCACATCCTGTTTATGCACAGACAAAACCAGGTAACACAATACTGGAGTAAACAAAAGAGGAGGAGTCTGATTTAGCAGCACTGTAGAAAGAGGAGAGAGGTGAGACAGGGGTGAGAGAGGAGTGAGAGAGGTAGAAGGACAAAGGGGGAGGAGCTGGAAGCAAGCGGTTGGTGACGCAGTAAACAGAAACTTGGCAGCAGACGCAGGACGACAGCATTCCTCCAGGAACAACACAAACACTGAGAGTTAGTGGCACAGACACCTGAAGCTAAGCCGGATAGGGCCTGCTTAGTACTGTGATGGGAGACCTCTGGGAACACCAGGTGCCAGTGGGGCAGTTGTAAAGTGCCAAACTGTGGTTGTGTCCTTCAGCAAGTCACTTGACCCACATTAGAATGAGTCTGGTGTGTGTGTGAATGGTTGATGGTGGTTGACGGCACAAATTGGTTGCCTCGCTCCTGTCAGTGTGCCCCAGGGCAGCTGAGGCTACAGTGGTGTTTGGAGTCAATAAATAATGATGTAAAGCATCCTTGAGAGTCCAGAAAATTAGAAAAACAGATTTATTCTCATTATTATTAAAGAGAAACAGATTTTGCGAGATAGTGTCAGGAGCATCTGGGCCTAATGAGCGACCGATCCAACACTCGTGGAATACAATAAACGTGGGATGGATTTGACACTAAAACTCCCAGAGCCGTCATTCTGACTGCTCCCATTCAAACCAATCCAATTCAAATAAATTACTTCTGTCACTTTACCCTCATGCTGCTAACAGGTACAGATGTAAACATACAACATACATATATATACAGTATGTCTGCAATAGCATAAACAGGATTTATACTTGCATCTTTATTATGCTAAAGTTTAGAGATGTTATTTTATTTTATGTTATTGTTCCCTCATCTTGTGCTGCGTGCTCCTCATTCTTACTGTTCTGTAACTGTTGATGCAACACTGACATTTCCTTACTGTTGGACGAATAAAGGATCTCTTCATCTTCATCTTAATCCATGTTGTTGACTATAATTGTTGGTTGTTGTAGAGTTTTGGCAGGAAAGATGATGTAGAAATTCTAACTGGACCAGCGACATATTTGCTCTTTACGTCCCACACAGAAGGAAACACCCACTGGTCCTGTTGTTGTTGCTGTTGTAAAGTGATATAAGAGTCATTCACCTGTGATCCTGGTTCAGATTCATATGAACATTATTCAGGCTGTTGACACTCAGACACTATGTAATGTTTACCTCTGATGTTTTAGCCTGTTACGATTTAGAGAGTAGATAAACTAAAGTAGCGGCAGTAGCTCAGTTGGTAGAGCGTTGGCCTTTGAGCCAGAAGGTCGTGGGTTCAAGCCCCGCTCAAGACTTTCACCATCGACTCCCACTGACTACTGTCGTTGTGTCCTTGGCAAGACACTTAACCTCTGGGAACACCAGCCACAGTGGGGCGGCTGCGGCTGTAAAGTGCCAAACTGCCGTTGTGTCCTTAGGCAAGACACTTCACCCCCATTGCCTAGAATGAGTCTGGTGTGTGTGTGAATGGTTGGTGGTGGTCGGAGGGGCCGATGGCACATACTGGTTGCCTCGCTTCTGTCAGTGTGCCCCAGGGCAGCTGTGGCTACAGTAGTAGTTTATCACCACCGTGTATGGAGTGAATGAATAATGACACATGTGAAGCGTCTTTGAGTGTCCAGAAAAGCGCTATATAAAACCGATGCATTATTATTATAAATGTATAAAGGCTTTCTCAAAATGCAATATGATATTCTAGATTTAGCATTTGGGGTGTGCATTTGGAAGAGCATTGGCCTTTGGGCCTGAAGTTGTGTCCAACTGCTCCCACTGATGTCTACTGTCGTTGTGTCCTTGGGCAAGACACCTAACCCCACTTTGCCCAAAGCCCTCGCTGAAACACTAGGCTGTGACGTTGCTGACGTAGCAACAGCCATCTTCCTGTGGACCTACCACCTGCAGGAGGATCAGAGAGGGGCTGGTGCTATGAGCATTGGGTGGCAGCTGTGATTGTCACCCCCTGACCCAGAAATTGATTATTAAAGGGGTATGAATGGATGAATGAATATATTTAGCATTAAATAGCTAACGGATACAAACTAAGAGTTAATGATTTGGTCAAACAGAAAAACTGTGATATATGAATGAATTTAACTGTTTATTTGAATTGCACTGAAATGTATCATAGAGCGTATATCAGGAGTGGACTGACTGTGTGACATCACCACAGTGTGACATCACCACAGTGTTCGCCTTAATGCAGAGGATAGATAGAGCAGATGTGTTGCTAAGGCAGTTGCTAAGGAAAGCTGGAGTTTCCCCCTGAATGAAGGTCTTTGATTGGTCAGTCCTTATATGGTCAAATCTGGTCAAAGACAGTATCACACATAAACAGCGGGATGACAGAGAGCGATAAGCCACCAATTTAAGCCCAAAATGGTGAGTGTGACACAAACGTTACAGAGCTAGAGGAGTTTACTTTTACATGGAAGTCATAGAAGCCAATCTTCCCCATGAGCACAACCCTGTTGGTTTCATTGAGCTAGCCTATTAGCATTGTCCGTCTGTGTAGTCTATGATCTGGCCACACTATACTCTCTCCCGTGTTTATGTGTCGTGTTCATTTCTATTGTTAAATGTTGTTGTTTGTCCCGGACATTGATGGAGGATGCTGAAACCGGAGCCTGTTCTCACGACCTCATTATTATTTTGTTATTACACTGAGACACAAACAGGTACAGATCTGTGAGCTCAAAGGTACATAAGACAAGCCCAGTTCCCACCAGCTCTGCTCTACTCTACTCCACTCTTGTCTACTCTATACTCTCGGTTTATGCACATATTCATAAACATTATGAAACAACTGGGACACTGAGGAGCACAGGGACTGGCCTCCTGCTGGGAATCTGAGGAGCACTGACTTCCTGCTGATCCCAGAGTCAGGACTATACATGGGGAGGCAGCATTTCAGTTATATGCACCTAAAAGTCTTCCTGAAAATGTGAGACAAGCTTCTTCTCTGACAATTTTCAAATCCAGTTTAATCCAGTTTGTCAGTGCATACAACTGAGGCATTGTATTTTTACTCTTTTTAATGTACTGTGATTATTTATGATTGTAATGCCTTGTGTCATTGTTTCTATCTTGTTTTGCTCAGAACTCTGAGTGTATGAACTGTGCTCCTTCCCAGATATGACTTGTACATTAGTCTATATGTGAAGGCCATATCTTGTCTTCAATACTGTACATTTGAAACAAAAAACACAACATTTATTGGAAACACATACAGCGGATCCTCCACCACATACAGTATGTCTTCTTTATCACTGACTTCATACACATTCCTTTGATGAAGCAGCCTTTGTTCTCGCACCTCTATTTGGAAAACCTTGAGTAGAGATAACACCTATAGAGCCGTGGGAAAGAAAGGTTTTGGAATCACTGGTCTCATGGTCTCTCTATGGTCTCTGGTCTCTCTCATAGTCTCTCTCTCTGGTCTCCTTCTGGTCTCTCTCGCTCTCTGATATCTCTCTGTCTCTGGTCTCTCTCTCTCTCTCTAGTCTCCTTCTGGTCTCTGTCTCTCTCTGATCTCTCTCTCTCTCTCTGGTCTCTCTCTCTCTCTCTGATCTCTCTCTCTCTGATCTCTCTCTCTCTGGTCTCCTTCTGGTCTCACCTGGAGCCGTGAGACAGGTGCATCGAGAGATTGTGCAAGAGTCAAAACCGCAATTCAACCAGTGATTTCAAAGTCATTGAAAGTAACCACATGTGTTGTATAAGTAAATAGATAAACCTGTGAATACTCCAAGCTTCAATGACTTTCAGTTGCACCTGTGCGTAATGTGGTAGTCACTATCATTGTCATTATGAACATTATATCTTAGGTCATTTTTAAAAGAGCTTTTTTAAATGATTTGAATTCTTTAAAAGAATTTACAATAAAATATATTGTTGTGCTAAATTCTATATTTTAAACATTTTCGTGCTAAATCATGTCTGACCGAGAGGGGTTTAGGCTGAAGTCTAAACGCAATATGCCATTACACCTGTGACTGTGTCCAAACAGTCTGCAGACTCTCATAACCCAGCGATGAAAACATGAATGATTCACTCACCTCTCTCCGTCTGTGCGCGGCAGAGCTGTGCCAGAGCGCACCACAAGAACATCCCGCGTAGCACCTGGTACCTCCACATGGTCCGTCCGCTTACATCCATAGACTGTGCATCCGACGAGAGACTGTATCCGACCATAGACTGTATCCGACCATAGACAGCATCCGACCATAGACTGCAGCCAGCGCTTGTCACATCAGTGCGTCCAAAAGGCACGTGGTCTCTGTGCGTGAAAGTGACGCCGGTCCAAAGATTCAGGTGAACAGGTGAATTAAACCCAAAGTCTTGTTTACGTCTTGTGCTTGAATTCTAAATGTCAGAGAGTCTGTGGCGGAGGCGGCTCTCGCTGTGAGTTTGTGAGTTTGTGAGATCTAGTTTGACGAGCTGAGTCACTGCGCACTGATTGGAGCTGAGCTGTGATTTGCTCTGGGAGGGACAGGTCAGAAGGAGGCCACCCGCGGCTCTGAGGATCCAGGAAGACAGGTCTCTCTCTGGTCTCTCTCTGTGGTCTTTCTCTTTCTGGTCTCTCTCTGATCTCTTTCTGGTCTCTCTCTCTCTGGTCTATCTCTGGTCTCTCTCTCTCTCTCTCTGATCTCTCTCTGGTCTCTCTCTCTGGTCTCTCTCTCTGGTCTCTTTCTGGTCTATCTCTGGTCTCTCTCTTTCTGGTCTCTCTCTCTGGTCTCTCTCTGGTCGCTCTCATGGTCTCTCTCTGGTCTCTCTCTCTGGTCTCTCTCTGGTCTCTTTCTGGTCTATCTCTGGTCTCTCTCTCTTTCTGGTCTCTCTCTGGTCTCTATCTCTTGTCTCTCTCTTTCTGGTCTATCTCTGGTCTCTCTCTTTCTGGTCTCTCTCTCTGGTCTCACTCTCTGGTTTCTCTCTCTGGTCTCTCTCTGGTCGCTCTCATGGTCTCTCTCTGGTCTCTCTCTCTGGTCTCTCTCTGGTCTCTTTCTGGTCTATCTCTGGTCTCTCTCTGGTCTCTATCTCTTGTCTCTCTCTTTCTGGTCTCTCTCTGGTCTCTCTCTCTAGTCTCTATCAGGACTGAGGCTGCAGATCCAGGACTAGAAATGTATAAAACAAACAATGAAATATATAACATGTGTTTCAATCATAGACTTTAAATGTTAATATAATTCAATATTTACAGTCTATGGTTTCAACACAATTTTGTATTCATAATTCATTAGAACCAAATAAAAATTAAGAATTAAAAAGAATAATAAGATTGTGAAGGCCTCAGTATTGTAGCTTTAAAACATGTTATCGATGAGTCTATCTTGAAAATCACTCATTCAAATCACCTTAAATCCCGGAATTCTCTGCAGCTGAACAACAAAAGTATAAAACAGTAAAGTGTGTTGTAAACGTCTTCATATCTTCAGCTGTGAACGTTGACCTCAGGCTCCTTCAGGTCGAGACTGAGACACAAGTCATAAAACATTCAGTAGATATAAAGAAGAAACACATGTGTTTTATTTCTCCTTTTGTCCAGGAGAAATTTGGAAGCACCAGCTTTTTAGAAGGATTGGATCAAAACGGTTGTAATCCCCACACTGTTCACTCAGGTTTGCCTTCATGTGACATCACAACCCATAGTTTCATACTGTGGTGGAGGGCAGTTGCGGCCTGGTAATATGGTACCGATTAAAAGTCATATTCTAGTCTTAGTTTAAAATGTATCTTTGATTCCAGGACACATTAAACTGTCAAAAGGTTCTACAGCTTTGTCAGTTTCCACTGTAGAGGACTATATCTGTGGGTAATGGAGTAAAACAGAGTCTGCTCCTGGTCTCGCACCTGTGTGTGTCTCTTGTTGTTCGTCGCCGCCGCTCTGAACAAACACCAGTTCTGAGACTCAAACTGGAAGAACCAGGTGGGACCGGCTCCTCTGGTCTCGCTGGTTCTGATGCAGCTACACGCTAACACCAACTTTATTCACACATCCACCACACTTATTCACAAGATTCATTTCAACTTAAAAAATACTTAGGCAAGACACTCCTGCTGCATTTGCATCTCCTTCTGAACTTTGTCACTATTTATAATCACTTATGAAACTTAAGCGTAAATTCAGTCCCAGAAGTTTGCAAGCTCATAATTTCTATTTTATTCTATTAAAGTCCCTTCTGCAGACATCATGCAGTGTTCCTGCTGGGCCCTAATTGCCGTAATGAACATTTCATGTTCAAAATCAATAATAAATCAGTACCCAACCAATGCATCTTCTGGTGTTTATTCATGCATCAGAACAATACAAATATTCAAATGCTTTATCTCGAGTCTTTTCAGAATTAAGTATTCATGTGTTTGTTTGGATGTGTTTCTGCGGCTGGACACATGCATTTCTCTTACGGAGGATCTATCTCTCTGCAGAGAGACCAGAGAGAGAGACCAGAGAGAGAGACCAGAGAGAGACCATGTGAAAGAAACCAGAGAGAGACCAGAAAGAGACGAGAGAAAGAAACCAGAGAGACCAGAGAGAGAGACCAGAAAGAGACCAGAGAGAGACACCAGAGAGAGACCACAGAGAGACCAGAGAGAGAAACCAGAGAGAGACCAAAGAGAGAAACCAAAGAGAGACCAGAGAGAGAAACCAGAGAGAAACCAGAGAGAGACCAGAGAGAGACCAGAAAGAGAGACCAGAGAGAGACCAGAAAGAGTCCAGAGAGAGACCATGCAGAGAAAGATGGTTAATTGTTGACCAGGAAGTTATCTTCTTATCAATCTTATCAGTGAAAACAGGAATTGTGGAAAGAATTCAGGAAGTAGAGCTTCTGTAGAAACAAAAAAAAGCATAACATTAAAGGCGCAAGCGGCAATGTACACTGCGAAATGTCGCACCTTACAACGCACCATGGTACAACGCACCATGCAATGCACAACATCAATGTGCAATGCCGCTGAGGAGGGGGTGCTGTCCCACCATCTGCATACAGGCCTGAATAATTACACATACACTGGGGTTAAATTTGCTCCACATACTGTAAAGAAGTGTAACAAAAGCATCAATTGTTAGTTGCTGAAAAAATGTTCAGTTCAACAGTTTGTGCGGAGCAGGCGCGCATTTTGGGGTTATTTTGTTAGATTAGCAGAACTCGCCTTTATTTGGGTATCGTCTTGTCCTCTCGGTTCTGCGCAGTGAACGAGCTCCCATGATGCGTTGTGCCAAATACGCGTCTGTGGCTCTCATGCACGTGCACAGAGGGGCTCGGCCTTTGACCAATCAGAGCTGCTGATCAGAGCGGAGCTGGTTTAGTTTACATTGAGTTCTTGACGACTTTTTCTGGGTAGCCCGTGTGAATTTAGTCTGCAGTACCACGGGCGCCCCCTGTGCCCGTAGGTGGTACAGCTATAAACTAGTAATACTCTATTATTATAGATCCATGGGTACATGTGAGGGGTCACACAGAGCAGGGGGAGATCTGACTGGCTGACCAATTATTTTAGAGCACACATTTGTGATCCTGGTTAGTTGTGTTCGATTTTGAAGACTGAGAGGGTGGAACCAGCAGATACATAAAAATGACAGAATGTTTTTCATGTATTTCACTTTCGCAATTCTGAATTCTCAAAGTTGAACTTTTGCCTCTCCATTCTTGAACACTGTTTTACCGATCACAGTGCATGGCTAACTTTTTATGCTAGAATATGTTTAGATTATGCAGTGATTTTGAGACTTATCTATCAAATGTTTCCTCCCAATCTATTCCAACTGATTCAAGTTTTTGTGTGCGTATGTGTCTCTATTTGTGTATATATATTGCAACATCCAATAGATCCATGCATTCCAACCATATATGTTTTGTTTTATATGTTTTTTTAAACTGTACTAGTGTTTTGATAAGGCGCTTCTCACCACTTTTAAACACGGTGATATTAGAGTATGACGTCAAAGCGCCCCCTAGCGCCAAGAATAATGATAATAATGATAACAACAGAATCACACGAGACAGAAGTGTGTCAAAAAGAAACATTTTTATTGAAGCATCTGGATTCAGTCACTGTCTTCAAATGTCTCTAATAATCATAATTTCTTTATGCTTCTCACAAATAAACGACTTAAATGAAACTACAAATGGTGCAGAAGGCAACAGTGCAGAGAGGGAGAGACCAGAGAGAGAGACCAGAGATATACCAGAGAGAGACAAGAGAGATATACCAGAGCGAGAGACCAGAGACCAGAGAGAGACCAGAGAGGGACCAGAGAGAGAGACCAGAGAGGAACCAGAGCGAGAGACCAGAGACCAGAGAGAGACCAGAGAGGAACCAGAGAGAGAGACCAGAAAGATACCAGAGAAAGACCAGAGAGAGATCAGAAAGAGAGACCAGGGACCAGAGAGAGACCATTGAGATTAAAACACTGGACTAAGGCCAAAGACAGAGGTCCAGGCTACTTAGAATTAGGTGAAAGTGGCGTGTAAAGTGTTTCTCCAGTTTCTCTTCTCTCTGAGCAGAAGCCAACTCAGTGGAGAGGAGAGCACACTCAAAGTAATAGTAACATACATTATTATCTATGTAACAAAAAGTTGTAAATGAGAGAGGCACCATTATCCTGATTTTCTCTCTTATGAAGACTGAGAATTTACAAAAACTCTTATAAAGAAGCATTATTTTCTCCGATCGGAGATCAGTGGATGAGAGGCTGCTTCTAATCCGGACCAAAGAGTAAGAGTAACAATCACAACCTGCCGCTGATGACGACACACGACAAAAATGGTGATTCTTGTCCTTTACCCTGTTTTCGCAGTGAAGTGGGAAGTTTCTTGTGAACTTCTCAATGAACTTCTCAATGCAACAACATAATTCGCTTTCTACACATGAACAGGTGAATATTGGATTCTAAACATATCTGTGGACACATCCCGGTTACGGTGTGGTCGCAGATGCCCTGGGGCTGAACGCAAATGGATGCTTTTCTGTACATGACCAATGCATCCAGGTGCAGAAGTCTTGTCCAACGACACCACATGGAAGCTAAACTGAGATAGAAATCAGAGAGAGACCACAAAGAGACTTCCTGGTCCTCAGCTGGTTTACTTCCTGGTCCTCAGCTGGTTGGAAAGCCAGTCCAGACCATCATACAGACCGTCTCCGCTGGTAGCACATGTGGCCTGAATGAACCAGTGACGCTGACGCAGAGAATGAAGCCCCAGTTTATCTGTGATCTCCGCTGCATTCATCGCATTTGGTAAATCCTAAAACCAGAGAGAGACCAGAGAGAGACCAGAGAGAGACCAGAGATCATTTTACAATTCAAATACAAAGAGTGAAGACTGATCAAAGATCTGCTGGACATCTCTACACATATACAGTATATACAGTATAAATATTTATTTACACATTTGCATACAACATAAATATTTACACACATCTATACAGTATATATATTTACACACATAAACAGTATATATACATATATATATATATATATATATATATATATTAGGGCTGTCAAACGATTAATTTTTTTAATCGAGTTAATTACAGCTTAAAAATTAATTAATCGTAATTAATCGCATTTCAAACTATTGGCAACATTATGCCATATTTTTCAGTAAATTGTTGTTTGAATGGAAAGATAAATGACAGCTTAGTGAACATATGTACTGTATTTGTTTGTTATAACAATAAATCCATATAAAATGACATTAACATTATTAACATTCTGTCTTTCTGTTTAGACCAAAACCATTGTTTGTTACAGATGAGGGACATTTCAAAATAGTCTGAAGCAGAATGTCATTAAATCTGTTTGATTTGCTCACACCATTACTTTTTTGGCACAACTAACATGAACTGGTAGTCGGAAGGAAAATTAGGTACCTCAGCTTTAATTTAGCGAGTGCGCTTCGGGAGAAGACACGGAGGAGACTGAGGCTCCGCAGTCCAGCTTCAGCGCTGTACATATTGTGTGCATCGGTTACGCAAAGACACGTACGCACACTAGAGAATAGTTCTGTAATAGTTCTGTGCGTGGTCTTGGATATGATCCCATTACGCCGTTCGCCGTGATCACAGCCGCTGGAAGTGGTGCTGCTGTCCAGAGCGCTGTCTCGCCCGCAGCTCATCATGCAGAGTTCATACAGGAAACAACAAGTGCCCCGCGGTCACGTGTGTATTCTTTCAAAACTTGAATTCCCAGAGACCTGCTCTGTCCCCATCTCACACACGCATGTGTCCGCGCCATTCTGAGTGTTATTATGGGACGCATGGGCATGCGTCAAATGCGTTAATTTTTTTAACGCGATTAATGAAAAAAATTAATTCACGTGCGTTAACGCGATAATTTTGACAGCCCTAATATATATATATATATATATATATATATATATACACACACACACACACATACAGTGAAAATATTAAAAGCAAAACAAAGACCTGTTTGTTAGCGAACAGCAGCAGCACTGCGTCTCTGAGCTCGTCCTCCGCTAACATCCTCATCAGCTCCTCTCGCGCCTCGTTCACCCGCTCGCGGTCATTACTGTCCACAACGAAGATCAGACCTGGATCAAACACAACGGAAACATAACGGAAGCTAAGCTGGGTGGGGCATGGTTAGTATTGTGATGGGAGACCTCTGGGAAAGTAAAGTGCCAAACTGTGGTTGTGTCCTTAGGCAAAACACTTCACCCTCATTACAATGAGTCCTGTATGTGTGAATGGTTAGTGGTGGTAGGAGGGGCTGATGGCACAGTCTGGTTGCCAAGCTTCTGTCCCAAGGCAGCTGTGGCTACAGTAGTTGTTTATCACCACTTCATTTGGAGTGAATGAATAATAACAGTGAAAGCGTGAACTTTGAGAGCCCAGAAAAGTGCTTTGTAAAATAAATGCATTATTAATATTAATATTATACAATCCGTGCTGTGGCAGTACCTTGTGTGTTTTGGAAGTAGTGTCTCCACAGCGGTCGGATCTTGTCCTGTCCGCCCACGTCCCAAACCGTGAAACTGATGTTTTTATATTCAACTGTCTCCACATTGAACCCTGCAACACACACAACATCAAACACCCAAAAATACATACATACACATCCAGAGACCAGAGAGTGAGACCAGAAAGAGACCAGAGAGAGAGACCAGAGAGAGAGACCAGAGAGAGACCAGAGAGAGACCAGAGAGAGACCAGAGAGACCAGAGAGAGACACCAGAGAGAGAGACCAGAGAGAGACCAGAGAGAGACCAGAGAGTGAGACCAGAAAGAGACCAGAGAGAGAGACCAGAGAGAGAGAGACCAGAGAGAGACCAGAGAGAGACCAGAGAGAGACCAGAGAGAGACCAGAGAGAGACCAGAGAGACCAGCGAGAGAGATCAGAGAGAGACCAGAGAGAGAGACCAGAGAGAGACCAGAGAGAGAGATGAGAGAGAGAGCCATGCATTATTTTTGTTCAGTTTGACCTTTATACAAAAGATAAACAGTTTTTCTGATAAAGGTTTGATAGACTCTAAATATAATCTAGACAGATGCCTTCATTCAGGGTCTTTTTTCATGTCAACTGTTTTATGGCGCGATAAATTGGTTCATAAAACCTTCCGCATTAACGCTAACAATATGGTGATGTCACACTCTGTCACATACAGTCTATGGTTGTCGGTGGTAAAAAGCTGGTGAACGCTTGGTTAAAACATTTCTCTCACCGATCGTCGGAATCGTTGTGACGATTTCCCCCAGTTTGAGTTTGTACAGGATGGTGGTTTTCCCAGCGGCGTCCAGTCCCACCATCAGGATCCGCATCTCCTTCTTACCAACCAGGGATTTCAGGAGGCTTCCAAACAGGTTCCCCATGGTATTCAAGGGTGAACACCTCAGAGACCAGCTGGAAAAAACACCATGTTAGCAATGATTACAATGAATTACAAGTTAAACAAGTTGTTTAATAAAACTAGAGAGAGACCCGAGAGAGACCAGAGAGAGACCCGAGAGAGACCAGAGAGAGACCAGAGAGAGACCAAAGAGAAACCAGAGAGCGATCAGACAGAGAGACAAGAGAGAGATCAGACAGAGAGAGAAACCAAAGAGAGAGAGAGACCAGTGAGAGCCCAGTACAATGTTAAATTTCATTTTGAAAGTTTTTATTCCACTAAAGCTGGTGTTTGGTGGATCACATATGTTTAGCTTGAAGCGATAGAAAAATAAGTCATAGCCAAGAACAGAGGCTGCCCTCCATCTGCTCAGACGACACATGGTCCTGCATCATGAGCCAAACCCTGAGAGCCACTGCCTCCAATGCAAGAACTACTCTACAATCACTGTGGCAGCGAAAGGAATTAGTAGTAGTTTCGTATTGGTAGTAATAGCCGCAGCAGCAAGATTAGCAGTAGTATTAGTAGTAGAGGCAGCAGTAGTACTAGCAATTTCAGAAATAGTAGTGAATATTCTGATTCCTCACATTTCTCTACTGTACAAATTGGGAGAAGGTTCTAATTATACATTATTAAAAGTGTAAAATCCACTTTCTCAGAGCAGAATATCATGATATACTCTGTTGTCCATCTTTAAATTATGATTATAATCCATGCATTAGTGCAAGCAGCCTTCAGTGTGTATACAGTAAATACTTCAGGATACAAATACATAAATACAATTACACATTTAGACATGGAGCGTATCTAAATGTCCACCTCATTCACGCTCCGGCATTAGACTATTAGGCTCAATATTGTACTTAAACAAAAACATAGAAAATCACTCCAAATATTTGTAAATAATGTAAATCAACAACGCTTCAAAAGTCCACAAACATGTTGTATTGTTATATCTGAGCGGTGCCCTGTCATCACTTACCGTAGTGCCGCGCGGAGCCAATGTCTCACGAGATTTGCACAGAGATCTTCCCATACAGCAATGCATGATATAAGATCGCGCGAGATTCTCACTACCACTGTCTGAGCATTGAGGTTTCGCTACTGTACACTACCGCTGCCTATAATACATCACACTTGTGTCTGTAATACAACCATGTACAATAAATCAGGATTATAATGAAGAATCCAGATCCTAAAGACAGAGGTCCCACTCTGCGCACATGGATCTGTTACGGGCGCAGGCGGTAGATGGCAGAGCAGATGAGTCACTTGAGTGTGTCGTGTTTCATAAAAGAGCATAAAGGTGTGAGTCAGACTGAACCTCAGACTGAGCTCAGGTCTGTGGAAACTGCTCTTACTGTGTTTACACACTGAGACGTGACGCAGGTCTCTTACATGTTACACGTTATTTAGAAATACAGCTGATTTTAAAAAGACGTCTCCTCTCACAAGTGGTACGTTAATATACTATACATTAAGGTACGTCGCAATCTCCCACTAACGACGTAACCCCCTGTAAAGTGAATATATGTGCGTGTACAGCGCCCTCTGGTGGCGGTCTGAGCAGCGGCTGGAGGACATGTGTGAGGCGGGCTCAGAGGACAGAGGACTCAGGTGTGGGTCTCTCAGCTTATGGACACATCAGCCTTATCTGGAGCACCGCCAACTGCAGCAGGAGAGAGAAGAGGGAACAGAAGGAGCAGATATAGAGCAGAAGAAGCAGAGAGCAGAGAGAGAACAGTAAGAGAGCAGGACATAGAGCAGACTCTGTGGATGTAGAGAACATGCCGCTGCTCTGTGGTCGGAGCTGTGTGCTGCTGCTGGCGGCTCTGTGCTCCGTGTCTCTGTGTGAGGAGGACACGGGGGACACGCACGAGCTGCACGTGGACACCCTGGTGAGTATCAGAGTATCCGAGTACTGCATATGCTGCTGTTATTACAGAGGAACTGTAACGTGCTAACTCAAAGTTTGTGTTTAGGTGAAGCCTGAGATCTGCGAGCTGCTGTCTGCGATGGGAGACACGCTGCACATTCATTACACGGTGAGAAACACGTTACGAGAGAGAAGAGAGAGAACAGCCCTTAACCCGGGATAAACACAGCCTTTAACCCGGGACAAACACGGCCTTTAACCCGGGACAAACGCTGCCTTTTCCCGGTCAGAGTCATGGCCAGAGTCTCGGTGCTACACGTCAGCATACGGGGCTCTGACACACACACACAGCAGAGCACACGGGACCCCAACAATAATGAAACAGTTGGATTATGGAAATGTCTTTTCATTGGTTGTTCAGTCGTACCAACTGTGCATCTGTCAAAGTGAAAACAAACAAACTAAAATCCTACTTTGATGCATTCTGATACAATTGTTACATTTTGTTTCTGCTATTATGTGTATTATGATCCTTTTCCCTGTTTTTGTCTTCAGGGTAAATTGATGGATGGGAAAGTGGTCGACACGTCTCTTTCGCGTGAACCTCTGGTCGTGGAACTGGGGAAAAGAACCGTGATCGCAGGTACAAGGCGTTTAGACGATGCATGATTATTTGTATAGCACAGCTCACACACAGCAGCCACAGAAAAGCATCTAAAGAACATCAGATTTTACAAGAAGGTCCTGGGTTAAATCCCACCTCCAGACCTTTCTATGCAGAGTTTGAATATTCTCTGTGTATTTCCGTTGGTTTCCTCCAGGTGCTCCGGTTTTCCCTAGCACTAAAAACATGTATAATAGGTCTATGCCTCTTGTATGCAACACTACTCCCATCTCTGTGTGGACTGAGAGAGGGATTAAATATTAAGATTAAGATTAAGATGAAGAGATCCCACAGAAATGTCAGTGTTGCATCACCAGTTACAGAACAGTAGGAATAAGAATCAGACAACTCACAATAAGAACAATAACTCAATACTAAAACACATAAACATCTCTAAATTTAGCATAACAAAGAAACAAGAGTAAAATCCTGTATATTCTGTTACAGATGTATGTACTGTGTATGTCAGCATGTTAGCAGCACCAGGACTGACGTAAAGTGAATGTTTTTGTAGTGAGTGTCGTGGTCTAAATTAGGGTTGGGAACCTATGGGTACCTCACGATACAAAGCTCACGATAACGATAATATCATGATAACGATATGACGATTATCGATATATTGGTCAGAAATATACCATATGCCAATTTATGGCATAAATAAAAGAAAAATGTTAAGTGAAAAAATACACTTTATTTTATGATAAATGGAATGGATATGTGTAATGTAGCCATATATGAAGTATTGATACTAATAAAAAAATAAAAAATTGAAAATAAAAAAATATATGTTTCAAAATCGATATTGATACTTGGCAAATGCATATCGATAATCGAATCGCGGGAGAAAGTATCGCAATATATTGATATATCGTCACACCCCTAGTCTAAATAGTGAAATCACTGTTCAGTCTGATGGATACTCAATCACAAGACTTTAAGATTATTCTAGCGGAAAATGTACATATTTTAACATTTTTTAAAACCATATTTGTATTGTTTTATTATTATAAATGACTATTTATTACCCTCCAATTACACAGTATTTTAACTATTACACTTTTTATGACGTTACAAAAGCAGTACTTTCTTTTCTGCACCAGTGTTAGAACAAAGACGAAAGAATCCTAGGCGATTCATATCAAAGACATCTTAAGTTAATTTTTTTATGTAGTTTTAAACCAACTGGAGAATACTTAACATACTGAACACACAGATTCAGTTCATTTGTCGTTAAAACACATTGGAATACATGCCCAAGAGTACCCAGTGGGCACCAGACAAGGACATAGCTGGGGACCGATATTACAAGCCGTTTTAAGTCTGAAACACTGATGAAATGTAAAATATTTGAGCTGAGGTCCAACTAAACTGGACCAAACTGGACTAAACTGATGTGTTGTTCAGGTCTGGAGCAGAGTCTGGTTGGCGTATGCGCTGGGTGAGCGACAAATACAAATCCAAAATGGGATGAGCTTTTGTTGAATGTGTTTAATAAGTTTATTTCTCTGTTTTCAGACAAAAGATCAAAGCCACAATACCGGCTCATCTGGCGTACGGCAAGAAGGGATACCCCCCAACGATACCAGGTGGAAGTCATTATATTCAAAACTATCATCTCCTAAATTGTCGATATGTTTGTGTCAGAGATATAGATCTTTGTATCGCCCTACATCACAGCAGCAGTCACCTCAGAGGACTTTATAATGTTGTCAATTCACCAGGAACAGATCAGAGAATCAAACACAGAAAAATGCAATAAGAACAAACACATAGACCCATTGGTCACATAAGGAGCGGGACTGAGGCTTTAGATCCAGGACTGAGGCTGTAGACCCAGGACTGAGGCTATAGACCCAGGACTGAGGCTGTAGACCCAGGACTGAGGCTGTAGACCCAGGACTGAGGCTATAGACCCAGGACTGAGGCTATAGACCCAGGACTGAGGCTGTAGACCCAGGACTGAGGCTGTAGATCCAGGACTGAGGCTGTAGACCCAGGAATGAGGCTGTAGACCCAGGACTGAGGCGTCTGTCCAACCTGTCACATCTGCTTGAACAGTGCTTGTTAAATGCAGTTGTCTGTGTATCCTGTAGGGGACGCTGTGCTGGAGTTCGAAGTGGAGGTGATCTCGCTCTCGCCCCAGACTCAGTGGCAGAAGATGGTGAACCACGTGTTTCCACTGGTGTGTCTGTTGCTGGTGCCGACGCTGCTGGGTTTAGTGGGACTGTATCTGTACACAAAGGCCAACGCACAGGGACAGAAGAAGAAGAACAAAGAAAAGAAGAGCAAGAAGAAATAAACAGAGAAATACTATTTAAATAAAGTTTTTTAATGTATGTTGTTTTGGTGAGTGGAGGAAATGATTTGTTTAATTAATGTTTTACAATGTATTGAAGGCCTTTCTGATAGATCGATCCTTATTTGGATTTACAAAGACAATATCACAATATAAACACCAGGATCACAGAGAGATTTTTGCCCAAAATGGTGAGTGTAAGTAAGTAAGTAATCTTTATTTGAGAAAAGCAGTTACTGAGCTAGAAGGGTAACTATTACATGGAAGGAATAGGAGCCAGAGAGAGGGGCCAAACTTCAGCATGAGCCTTCCCTGTTGGGTTTAATTGAGCTAGCAGGTTAGCTTTGTTCATCTGTACAGAATATGTTTACAGCCGTGTTCGCATGTGTTGCATGAGTCAGAGTTGGTCAATGTCTTTAGACCAGTGTCTCCCAAAGTGGGGTCCGCGGCCCCCTGGTGGGCCGCGAGGGTACTGCAGGGGGGCCGCGGGAGGTCATAAAAAAAATAATATAATTATTTAATGTTAAATTTATAATGTTTTGTTTGTAATATTAAAATATTTGTGTTCATTATTTGACTTGAATAATCCACTGTAATCATTTTTGTATTACAATGTTTGTAGCAGAGGCTATTTCCCCAAAATAAAATAACCAGAAGAGCCTATTCTTAATGTTGTCTTCTTGGTTATTATTTTGGGGGGCCACGCAGACCCGTCAGATTTTTAAGGGGGCCTCGGTGTTACTGAGTTTGGGAATGGCTGCTTTAGACCAATTTTGAAATATCTATTGCAATATAATGCTCAGGATGAAAACCTACACACATTAATTATCAGCTTAGCAATTTTTTCCACAACCACAAAACTGAATGTTTATGTCACACTCACAAGTAGAATCAGTTTGACGTTCAAGGAGAATGTGTGCGTAATCCTCCACAGTGTTAGCATTGCACTGGTATTATGTACAGTATACTGTGAAAAAGAGGGTGAACAAGAAATGAAAAGTAGAATATTTGAATTAAAATGAAATAAATATAAGACAAACACCACACATTGATGGCAGTGGTCCATGATATTATTTAAAGTTAATACTAGTTAAGATCTCTTTTATTTGTGAAATTAGGTTAAAAGAATAGACTAAAATCCTTATCAATCAATCAACTTTTATTTGTAGAGCCCCGTTCCTACACAAGGCAACGCAAATCTACATACAAATTTAAAACACAATAAGAGCACAAGATATATTTGAAACATGCAAAATATAATTAAATAGTCATAGTGTGAAAGTAAAGATACAATCAAACTTACAACTATTCAGTTTAAACAGAACTGTTTTTAGCCTAGCTTTGAAAACTACCAGAGTAGACGCCCGTCTCACATTCTCGAGAAGACTGTTCCAGATTCTAGCAGCATGAGTCTGAAATGTAGCCTCCCCATGTTTAGTTCTAACTTAGGGCACTAGCAGGAGGCCAGTCCCTGCTCTCCTCAGAGTATACGTTGAAATACAAAGATTATGTAGATGTATGTAGTAAAGATATATAGGTTTATATCATACTGAGGCACTTTTAAGTCTTTTGCCCCATGATTTTATTGTTCAAGAAGAAACCTATGAGACGAGGGTTTTTTTATTGGACAAGATGTTTCCATGGAGACAAGAAGGTGGCGAACTCATAGCAGAAAGTACTCCAAAAATAGATAAAATATAATAATGAATATACCACATGTTTTTGAATAAAAATGCATCAATAAATATGGTGAAAATAAACATATCATATATTGATAAACGCTGACTTGGACACAGCGGAAGCTGTATTTGTCTGGGCTCTTCCTCTTCCGGTCCTCTTTCCAGCTCCTCGTGCAACATGGTGAGTGTGCGTCAAAACCCGAGACGTAAAAACACTAAAATTCAAGAAAAACACAATGATCCGACCCTCGTCTTCCCGTTTCTAGTCATGTAAACCGTGTATCTACCTTATGATATGTGTATGAGCAGTGAAGGCTCGCCTTAAATTGTATATTAGCCTTTGGCCTGGTGCTAGCTACTAGCTGCTAGCTGTGTGCATATGTCCAGAACGCGGCGGCTAATAATGGAAGTAATGCGTCCTGTAAATTTCACATAGTAGTGCAGTTTACGCTATGTAGGCTACTCGTTTAAATACATCTGCTGTTCTTTAAAGTCACATTATACCTTTTAAATACATGTCGCATCCTGTAGTTACAATTTTTGTTTTCGCGCTGCACTATACATTAGGTTGAATGACTTGCTTGCTGCTGGTAGTTGAACGCATGAAATTAACAGCCTCTTAATTGTTTGACTGGCTAACATCAGGACTTTTTGATGGCTCCATGCATAATGTAATTCTTAATCTCAACGTTATTTATCCAGAGAGTAGGTTCATTTAGGCCTCGTTTCCACCAATCCCTTATGCCCCACTCTATCCTCCCCTTATTCGGAGTGCTCGGCGTTCTATCTTAGCCGTGCTGGTACTTATGTGTTATTACAGCCAATTAATTTCTCTGGATTCTCGCTTGTTGCGGAGAGTTTACTAGATGCAAAATCAGATTCTCAAGTAGGGAACCGTATCCATGCCTTTCTGTGTGGAGTTATTATTTTCTCCCCGTGTCTGCGTAGGTTTTCCGGTGCTCCAGTTTCCTCTACCACTAAATCTACTTAATCTACTACCTCTAGTAGATGACCTTCTCCAATCTGTGTGGAGGAAGACAAATGCACACTGTATAGAGCTTTGACTTCAGTCTGTATAAGGCTAATAAGATTACTTACTATTTCTAAAGCGTTAAAGTTGGTATCAGACGTTTATAATCATAGTGTGGTGTGAACTTTATGCAAGATGAACATACTCATGAAATGTTTAAATCTTTCTTCAGACTAAGAAAAGGAGGAATAACGGTCGTGCTAAGAAGGGACGTGGCCATGTGCAGCCCATCCGCTGCACCAACTGTGCCCGCTGTGTGCCCAAAGACAAGGCCATCAAGAAGTTTGTCATCCGGAACATTGTGGAGGCGGCGGCCGTGAGGGACATCACTGAGGCCAGCGTCTTTGAATGTGAGGCCAACTTTAGATTTTTACACTTCTAACTTTAGCCTTGTAGAGATTGTCAGTCTACTGATCTGAACCTAATGACACTTAAATTTCCCTCTTCCTTTTTAAACCTGCATTCTTCAGGATTGTGGCGTCTGAATTGTTTAGAGACCTGGTGGGAACGTATAACATTTCAAACCTGTTGCTGCCTCAAATATTCCCAGAGCAGTCATTTTGACTAATTCAAATTGAGAAACTAAACATTGGATTTTTCACTTACAAAAATGTTTTTTAATTCTGAAACTAGTTATCATAAATGACATGCTGTAAAACTAAATGCTGTTGATGCGGCCAAGTGTTGCTATAGTAACTCCCTCAATTCTCAGATTTCTCAGGACCAGAACATCGAAATTAATTAAAACTAGCAACGCCAAAGTGAAGATCAGTAATTGGACTTAAAGCAGTCTTTGTAACTGTCTGGCTCTGTCTGCAGCCTACGGTCTCCCGAAGCTGTACGTGAAGCTGCATTACTGTGTGAGCTGTGCCATCCATAGTAAAGTGGTGAGGAACCGCTCCTGTGAGGCCCGTAAGGACAGGACCCCCCCACCCAGGTTCAGGCCAGCGGTGAGTCTAACTTAGAGTTCATTTAACTGACAAACTCAAAGATCTGTGTTCATGATCCTCTTCTTTTACAGGCTGGTGCACAAAGAGCTCCACCCAAACCCATGTAAAGCAGATGTGACTCCTGAATAAATTCGTTTTGGAAACGTTTGACTTTTGTCTTTGCTGTAACTCTAAATACAGGAGTCTGGTTCAGGAGCTATCAATAGCTCTCCAGAGGGTTTAGAAATGACAAACATTCAAGTTATTCAATTAACCCATGTACTTTGGTCCTGTTCTCTACATAAGATTTGTCCCACAGTGGGAAAATTTCAATGTCATTTTTCTGCACATAACAGCAGAGAATAAGAAAGTAAGAGCACTCAGACTGCACACTTTAATCTGTTGTTTAAGATTATAGATGGTCAAATAAAACTGGAGCTACAATTGCTCTTTGTTAATGGGGACTATGTATCTTGTACTGTAGCAGCATGGAAAATGACTAGAGTAAAAAACTTAACCAGGTTAAGTGAATTATCGGTAACGTATCTGCTGGTTCAGCAGTTTGTTGTACAGTCTGATGGCGGCAGCGGAGGAAAGACCTGAGAAACCTCGCCTTGACAAAGCAATAGTGAGTTGAAATCCATCTCGTGGACTGGCGGCACCAGAACCACCTCAACACAGGGAAGACAAGTCCTGTGAGTCGTCAGGACACGACAAAGGCTGCACTGCCCTGCCCTATTGATGGACTGGGTTTTTATTAAACTATATGGTAAGAGGAAGCACATACGTTCAGTACCTCCTTGTTGGAGGTACTGAACGTCAGTCTGCGCTTTCAGTGAAAAATGAAAACTTTTTTTCAAATGAATTTCTAGTGACTGGTATGAGGCTGTTTCAAATGTGTCAAACTAGCTTGTAACACTGACATCTAGTGGACAAATATAATCATTATAGCTTGATTCATGTTCTCAATTTGTATTGCCACGTAAGTCATAGACTAGGAAATTGCTTTGTCTTTCAGTGCAAGCATGTCAAGTCGAGAAGTATAAGGCATAAAACATTTCTAAACATCTCTAAAGTATAGCTTTTCCTAGGATTGAAAGAGTTAACCCATTTGTGCCCACATTTTTTTCAGACTAAAGTTGCCGCGCACAGAAACATGCCCATAACTGAAAAAATATTGATCCCAGGTACAATGTTTTGAGGGAGAGTTACTCTAGAGACTTGAAAGATCAAATAATTATTTCTGTGTTTGGGGAAAAAATTATTCAAAATTTGTGAAAATTACCTCTTTCTGGGATGGTTTGCATCATCCATGTTTTCACTCAGAAGGGACAGGAAGCACCAGGAAACATGTTTTTTTTTTTTTTTTTTCTGTCAGTAGAAAATGACAATGATAAACTTCGGCAACTATGACAAGTTATGATTATTACTACATACAGGTGCACACACTACACAGGTGCACACACTATACAATGTGCATTAAGCCGTGCAGTAAAGTTACTGCACTTTTGGACTGTCAGTCAAGCTGCGTAGGGCAGTGGTTCTCAAAGTTTTTACACAAAGTGCCACTTCAGAAAATACTTGCCTCTCCAAGAACCACCACAAATGACCAACACTACACAGTAGCGTAGTAAGCCTAAGTATTCATCAAAAACAAGGCAGAGATTTAATTCCTAAAGAAGTATATTTAATGTTGTCAGCCATTGTAACGTTTTACACAGTTTCAACAGTAACATTAACACAAATGAGGTGGATATTCACATTAACATTTGTAAATGAAAACATAAGTGGTATAAACCCTTGTGTCAAACTGTCCCCCAGGGTTTATACATCAAAAGAATGTATTCAGGATTGATTTGACATACTGTAGCATACTGTGAAATCATACTCACTAGAGATTTAAAAATATCCTACTTTTTTTTATTTATCTGAATCTTGATTTTTTTCTGAATTGGAACCTGGGTCATTAAAGCCCGAGGCTCTGACAGGGTCTTTACTCACGCTGACACAAGGGTAACGAGGAGGAGGAGTAATAGAAGTCATAATGGTAAAGTAAAAGAGATCTCACTTTGGTCCTGAGAAAGTAGCTCTGGGTAAAAAAGTTGGAGATCTCTGCTTTAATGTGGTACTTGTTTTTTCAAAAGTAAACTCAGACTCGGCTGGTGTTAAAAAAAAAAAGTCTAAACTCAGATTGTTAAATTACATTTATTCACAAATGGCAAAGTAAGTAACTCTCGCAGCTATTTACATCAGCCAAAAGGTTTTTAAAAATACATTTATGCTGCTGTAGCTTTTACACTTAAGAAAATGTCATGCCACAAACGGCTCCTTTGGCTCAGAACGTCACCAGGAAAATAAAGGTAGGGACTGACAGAGGAAGAGCTTCATCTGTTGTTGAGTGGAAAACCTGCTCCAGCCTCAAACACCACGTCAGAGAAGGCTGGTGTGGCTGCAGGTCTTCATTCAAACTAAGCAGAAACACACACTTCATTTCATCTGGTCAAACTTGAGGAGTCTGGTGCATCTTCTTGGTTGGGATGAAAACCTGCAGCCACACCATCGGTACGACATCCCTGTGTGTGTTAGATCTACAGACTGGAATTGGGATGCTTGAGTCTCGCACCGGGACAAACGCTTGGAAACTTTCCCAAGGAGGAAAGTCACACTCACTGAACCCAACAGTTCAGAAACAGGTCTGTGCAGATGCAGCTAACTGTTCGGACAATGGTTCATACTTTGGCCCAAACTCTTCAAACCAAACATAACGTCAGCTGTTGGTGCTGATGCTTTAAAGTAGACACTTCACATAGCGTAGGTTTAATGCAGTGAATCATGAATGTTTTCGAATAATTTCAAAGAAAACACAAAGAGCAGAGTGGCAGAGAAACAAACTAATTCAAAACAATAGGTTTCATGGTCTTCAAATCAAGTATTCTACAAAAGATTTTAATAATAATTTCATGGTAATCTGGCAGGTTATCAGTGCAACAAAAGCATCATAGTAAACAACACAGCATTCTCACACAAAGGCGTTAAAACTTCAAAGAATCACAATAAAGCAACATTTACAAATTCATCTGTTAAAAGTGCATTTTCAGTGGTTTGGACGTCTGACTCGTAAGTTTGGTCTGCACTGCAGCTCATGAGATAAAGCTTTTCACAACAATGGATTAAATACAGGATTAAAGGAAACAAAGTGCTTTCAGAACAAGGCCATAGGATCTGGTTCCAGGAGAGAGGACTGTCTTCATGTTCAGTAAAGTGCAAAGTGATGTATCAGAACAGTCTAAGATCATGAGAATCACCAAGGCACGTCTTTCATCGATGGGACTGATTTAAAGTGCTCACTATAAATACCAGGAAAATTCAAGCGTTAAGAATGGAATCTGTTTGAGACTCAGGTCCCGCAGCCACTGGCCACGTCATCAGGTATAACGAAGAGGGAGATATAGAGGGACAATTTCAATTCAATGGGAACTATTTGTGACGTGAGATTTATGGTCTCTGTCCCTTATGGACCAATGGATCTATGTGTTTTTATCTTTGCATGTGTTTGGTTTGATTCTCTGATCTGTGTTGGCGAATAAAAAATACTTTAAATTACTACTTAATACCACTTAATTTACCCAAACTGTAAGAGTTTGCATCTCGAGGCGGCTCTTCAGTGAATCATCTACAGCAGGGGTGTCAAAACTTTTCAGTAAGAGTGCCACTTCAGATCTGCAGACTCCAGGGGCCGACAACATGATTGAACAAATATTTTAACTGGATTCAAGCTGTTCTTTAAAATGGGGTATGCTAAAGCCCCGTTTCCCCCTTACCTACCCTACCCTACCCTCCCCCTTAGTTTGGACCTTAGTTTGGAAATGCCAGGTTTACAGGGTCAAGGTGTGAGATTTACCAGATTTGGAATTGTGGCGTAGCATGAATAACGTGTGATCTTTGGGAGCAGTTAGTGAGGAGGTGGAGAGCTATCGGCTGGATAATAATGAGCAGAGAATAGACCTTGAATCAGAAACATGTACCTCACAAACGGTCAGAGCTTCAATAAATATAAATATGCCATTCGCTTTTCCTTGTGCAAACCAAACTGAGGCAGGTGTGGGCCTCTCAGCTGTCGGAGGCGTGCTCCCCGCGCACCATGTGTGAGGAGAACTCGTAGCGGTCACGGCTGCGGTGGCCGCAGATGTTGCACTCGAAGGGCATCCTGAAGCCATGGCAGCCCATGTGCAGTGTGAACATGACGTGGTCCAAGAACAGCAGGCGGCAGTGGTCGCAGCGGAACGACCGCAGCACGCGGCCCTCAGAGTCCACCACCCGCAGCTGCAGCGAGGACGAGGAGGAGGTGGAGGAGGGCGCAGGCGGCGAGGAAGGGGCAGGCGTGACCATCCCCCCATCAGATCGCTCCTCTTCTTTTGCGCGTAGCAGCTGGAGCGGGCCTGAGCCGTGCTGGAAGTGGTTCTGGTGGTGGTTGTGTTTGAGGTGGTGGGTGATGGGCTCCTCCTGAACGCTCTCGGTGTCTGTGGAGTCCTGGCAGCCGTTGCCACCGTTGCAGCCGTTGCTGGGCGAGGTGGCGCGGCTTCGGACTGCGCTCAAGTCCTCGTGTCCCTCTGCCGCCTCACGCCCCGCCCCCACACCTGTGCAGTCAAGCCGCGGCCCCAAAGACAGTGGCGCGGTGCTGAGCGAGGGCCGCAGCTCAGACAGATGGTGATTGGACGAATGCTGTGGTCTGAACTCCGCCCCCCCCACACTTGTGAAGGGAGGGGCCTCCACAGTGAGCTCACCTTCTGTGTCCTGTGCTCGCAACTCGTACGGTGCATCTGGGAAGTTCAGGCGAATCTGCTTCTGTCCTGAACAGGAGGAGGAAAGATGGATTCAATTCAATTTATTTCACAGATCACTTTTGAAGCTTGTTCAGTTCATCTCTGTACCTTTAACCGTCTATTAGCAGCTCAGAACAAATCATTAAAACAAACCTAGAAACTTCTGTGGAGTGGATCGCTTGCGTTTGGTGATGCTGTTGGCGAGACGGTCGATGAACGCCATTTTATCTGAGGACGGCTGCACCAGTGAATCAGGGACGAGATCCACATCTTTCACATCGTCTCCTGCAGAAGGGCACAGGGTTACAGCTGTACCTGTATGACATCTGTACCTGTGTTCAGAGGCTGTGTTCGTACCTGTGCACAGAGGCTGAGTCTCAGTGCTGTGGTAGTAGCTGTGACAGCGCTCGTGGTGCTCTTCCAGTGCACTCTGCTGTTTGTAACTGCGGCCGCAATAACTGCATTTGTGCGGTTTCCCAACGGAGGGAGATGACACTGGGCACAGGAAGCAGTAGGTAGATATCACTTATGTATTCCACTGCCTCTGCAGCTGCTTCTACTTCTAAACCTTTCCTTTTTAGGAATAAAAATAGTTTAACTTTTCCAACTCTATCTCTGAAAACACATGTACCGTATTTTTCGGATTATATCAGCCGATAATGCATAAAAAATAAGGACAAAAAAACATATAAATCACACTAGAGTATAAGTTAGTGCGATTGAGTGTAAGCTAAATTTTTGGGAGAAATGTATTCCAACAACAAGAATAGAAATTTCTTTACAATTGCCAAAAACCGTGTTCGGAGCTGTATCTGCGTGTGCTCAAAGGTGTACCTGTGTTCAGAGCTGTACTTGTGTGTCCAGAGTTGTACCTTTGTGTGTGCGTAGGTGGCCGGTCAGTGCGTCGCGGCGGCGGCAGGCGTAGCTGCAGAACGGACACTTAAAGGGTTTCTCTCCAGAGTGAAGCTTGATGTGACGCAAGAGGTTCCCCTTCTGTGTGAACGAGGCCCCGCACTGGGTACACTGGAACGGTCTCTCACCTGGAACGGGAGGAGGAAATGTCAGTGTTGCATCACAGGTACAGAATAGGACTCTATATGTGCATATCTATAATGTTGCATACAAGTTCTAAATAAATTATAAATAAAACATATTTATAATTTATAACAACAAAATATATACGGGACAGGACCAGTCCAGGACCATTCTGAGCCAGGTCCATGGTAATACATTGTTTAGCAGTTAGCATTTAATAAAAAACAATATGGTGGATAGGTTTGAATAGGAGCAGTCAAAAATGGCAGCTATGGAAGTCCTAGAGATGCCACTGACCCGTGTGACTGCGCTTGTGCACCATGAGGACGTTGGGTCCGATGCAGATCATGCCACAGATGTCACACTTGAGTTTCCCGTTGGGAAGGCGGATGGCTCCAGTCGTTGTGTCGGTGTGAGAGAGTTCTCTGAAGACAGATCCAGTTTCTACTGCAGCCTCTTCTGCTCGCTCCCCTCTCTCCTCCTCGGTGAAGCGGCCTTGCTCCTCATCGCTGTATGATTCCACCTTAATCGAGTTTGCTACAAATGAAAACAAACATCAGAGCAGATACAGTAATGTAACCTATCACCAGACAGTTGTGCAAAACTGGGTATGGTTGGATTAGATTCAACTTTATTGTCATTATGAAGTCGAAACAATACAACATAATGCAGTTTAGCATTTAACCAGTGCAATAGTTCAAGTATAGGATCATTTTTACAACAGCTTTATATCGATGTGAGAATGTACAAAGCTGCTAATGCTACTATATACACACTTGATAATGTACACATGGATTTAATGCGAGTTACATTTTGCGCTGTGTGAGTGAGAAGGGGAGGTCTCTTTGCTGTTGGGAGTGCTCACAGTCGGACCTCCAAGTGCCTCAGAGAAATCTCTTTCAATTGAAGAATCTCCACCTACTGCTCGAAGTATGATACAGTTAGAACCAGCTGTGAGTGACAAGAAAACATTTGTTTGTAACGACCAACCTGATGCAAAAGATTGTCCATTGCAGCCATCAGTGTCCATACTAGGTCAATTACTGTAAAACAAAAAGGAGAAAGTTACACAATTAGTATTTACAGTCAAACATTTAGTTCAATGTATTTGTGCATCGCCTTCAATCACAGCAGCAGTCAAATGTCAATTCCCCAACAGCAGATCAGATAAACAGTTCAAACACAGGACAATACTAACAAACATTGGACCATAAGGGGCTGACTCTCCTGAAACAGAAAGGAACCACTCAAATAACAAATAACCCACACACATCATGTATGAAGTTGTCAGACTTTAGAAGAATCACAATCATGAACATAGTTATGGTAACAATCCATAAATCAATCAATTAACTATGTAGATATCAGATATTATATTCATTAATTAGTGCTATTTTTTTTTTTTTTTTACAAAAAAAACAAACAAGTGATGACACATCTCCATTTGATTCTGTAGTAGTTACAACTTCATCAGAAGTTGCATTGTTACAGAACTGAATATTCAATTACCCCTTTATTTGACAACGATTTCAGTAATAAATAAGCGACTATTAAACTCATTCCAGCCCATGTGCATTAAAGTTTGGGAACATCAAAGCTAGAAACCATTCAAAACCTACAGTGTCACACATTATACGAGTCCTGCCATTTGTTCCAGATTACTTAAAACAATCTGAGAGATAAATTGATGCCACTGTCATTTTAACAAAAGATAAAAGAGCCTGGTGTTGTTGAGGATTGGCCTTGACAGCTGGCTGTGGCCTACTGCGTTTAAAGAGAAAACATTTGCTAGCCATGTTAGCTCTAACCAAGTCAACTATTCTCACAGTTTTGTAAGCTTCCTGAAACCTAAACAACACACCAAACAAAGTTCAAATACTTGCTCACGTCTGGGTCTTTAATACATGCCTTTCAACAGAACGTATTATGAAACAAATAAAGACAAAAAGATCAGCGATATTCAAGTCGACATCTTGTTAAACGCTAGCATAACAGACTACAGCCACGGTTGCTATGGCAGCCACCCGGATGCTAACTGGCTAAAGGCTAACAGTAGCATGTGGGTTTGACTCAAAATAAGGGGCTTTCCGTCGACATTTGACCAGTGACATTCACGCGTTTACCTCTGGTTTGAAGAGAGGAGACGTGTTCATGTGTGTGTGCTGCTCTCCAGCCGAAGCGGCCGCGTTTACAACAGGCTTTCCCCAAAATTCATCTGTCAGCTTTTGACGACATTTATCTGTGGTTTCCGCAATTCCAGACATTTCCGGTAGACAATAAAACGCGATTAAGATGTTTTCAAGAAGCTTTCTATCTGTCTGTCTGTCTATCTATCTAGTATCTGGTCTTGTTTCATGTTGTAAATTAACTTGTCAAACTACAGGTTTGCACATGTTGAAAATTCACTGTCACAGCTATGCCAGATGTGACATGTACATTTCTCCTGTGTGAGATCAATAAAGTCAATCTTATCTTATCTTATTATTTAACACTAGAACTTGTTTGGGAAGAGTATTAAAGAGTATTATATATTTAATATTTAAAGTCTATGGAAGAGTAATTACTGCTTATGTAGACTTTTGCTTTTCATATATCTTTATGTAGTTTCTTTCTACGTCATTATTTTCAATAAAATAACATTTTATTTTTTCATGAAATGTCAGTAGTTCAACCGGTTCAATGCCAATAAATTGTCCCTAAATGTTAGCAAAACTAAATATATGATTTTTTGTAGTAAAAGAAAATATGTTGAAGAGTCATTGTTTATTAATGGATTAGAAATTGAAAGGGCTCATGAGATTACGTTTTTTGGCGTTATGATTGATGAACATTTGACATGGAAATCATATATTTCCATGAATCTGCTTTTCAGATTCATGCTGCTAAAATCTGGAATAATCTCCCTGAAGATGTGAGACAGGCCTCCTCTCTGACAACCAGGTTTAAAACGGTTCTGTTTAGTTGTGCATACAACTGGGATTTTATATTTTTATATTCCTTTTTAATGTTCTGTGATTTTTTCTTGTTTTGTTCAGCACTTTGAGTTGCCTTGTGTATGAATTGTGCTATACAAATAAACTTCCCTTGCCTTGCCTTGCCTCGCCTTGCCTAATGTCAAAATTAAGGTCTCCCAAATTATAGCTTTGCTTCATAAAGAGAGCATTGTTTGTACTGTATAATTCACTGATTGCTCCATATCTGACCTATTGTATTGAAGTTTGGGGAAGTGCCTGCAAAACAAACATAAATCAGATTTTTCTTCTACAGAAACGAGCCATAAGGGTTGTCACTGGAAGTTTATATAGAGGCACAACTAATCCATTATTTATACAACTATAACACTGAAATTTAATGAACTAGTAGAGTATAACTTGCTCAAAATTATGTATAAAGCTCATCTGGAAAGTTTACCCATGAATTTGCAAAACGGATTCACTAAACGAAAAAGCAGATATGAATTAAAAGGAACAGAGATTTTTAACAAACCCAGTTTTCAATCGTCTTTAAAGGAAAAATATATCTCAATCAAAGGAGTCGATCTGTGGAACAGTCTAGAGTGTAAAATAAAAACTTCTACGTCTGATTTTGTGTTTCAAAAGTCTGTAAAATTATCGATGTTGCAGAAATACATCACTGAGGATCAGTTGTAACTTTACATTTGTGTTTTGTGTTTGGAATTGTGCATTAGAGGCTCAAATGCACTGGAACTGTAAATGATTTTGTGTTGATAGGGGGCAGATATTATAAGTTTTTACTTATTCTGCTCCATTCATGCTAAATGCTGTTGTTGCATTTGTTTTTAAATGAACGAAAAAGAAAAAAAGAAAGAAAGAAAGAACCTTCAACTCTCAAAGCCGTCATTTTGAAGGTTCCATTCATTTGGAAAATTCAAAAGTCGGTTGCTTGGCATCCATCTACAACAGTTAGAATATTTGGACACTGAATTTTAAAACATTGAATTTATTTACACTGAATACTTTTTTGTTATAGTTTATATAATTCAAAAGCAAAAACAAGCTTTGATATTAAAAACACAAAATAACCTTCATATGAGACAAGCACCAAAGTGACTGAGAAAAAGTGTAAATACAATAAAATAGCAGTAATACTTGTAGTAGCATTTAGTAGCAGTTGTAGTAGCAGCAGTAGAAGTAGTTGTAGTAGTTGTTACTTACTGCAAAGGTATACTGTGTAGTTTTTACTTCTGTATAGAGTTGAGATGATAAATTACAGTCAACTTTCCGGGACCAGCATTGCGAAAGCCTTTGGGACAACATGTTGTATTTGACAGTGGTCCTCAACTCACCATGGAAAAAAAATCTTTTGTTTGATAAATGACCGGATCTCTCCTTATGGGCCATGGTCCTGCACTAGCACAATTTGTCTCCTGGTTTGAAAACCATTGCTTGGATTTAAATGTTGCAAAGACCAAGGACATGATCATTGATTTCAGGGACGTTACATCCAATGACACCAGCGCCATCCACGATGGGAATGTGGAAATTGTGGACAGTTACAAGTATCTTGTACGATAGACAACAAAACAGGAGTTTGACATGAACACTGAGTCTATCATTAAACGGTCGCAGCAGAGAATGTACCTGTTGAGGAAATGGAACTCTTTTAATGTAAACAGGTCAATTCTTAATAATTTGTATTGTTCTTTTATGGAAATCTTTCTTAGATTTTCTTTTATCTGTTGGTTCCAAAGCCTGACACTGAAGGACAGAAACAAGTTACAGAGTGTTGTGTGAACTTGCTCCAAAATCACGGGTGGTAAACTCAGGGACCTTCAAACCCTGTGGGAGGAACAGGTGCTGAATAAAGCAAAATGTATTCTGGCTCAGCCCAAACATCCTCTGATCGCTGACTTTGTATTGATGCTTTCAGGGCGTCATTTTCATGTTCCAGCACGGAAAACAAACCGTGTTTGTAAAAATGTTGAACTCTGATAGAGGTGTTTGACTTTTGGGAATTGTGTTGTTCATTGTTGTTTTTGTAACTTATATTGTGTAACCTGTTGCTGTGGGAACTGTGAGACTCACTGTGTGTTTGTGAAGAGTATGTGCGTTCTGCTTTGAGTTTATGCTGCAAATAAATTGTCCTTTGGGATCAATAAAGTTTCCTGAATCTGAATCTTATGCCTTGGTCACATGACACAGTAGCTCTATAATGCAAACAAATGTACGGACGTGCGCTGAGGCTCAACAGTCCGCGTTCTGAAGTGGCATGCACTGCACAGTGGCATCAAGAAAACAGAACATTCAAACTGAAGAAGATGACAAAGTCTGGGATCGTGTCTTTAATTCAGACAGAAGACATGTTTTATTGTCGATGGTAGAACAAAGATGTTACAAAATGCATGTGATATTATACAACGGAGGAATAGGGATCTCCAATCAGCTTTTGCCACGGTGCCAGTAGCTTCAACCTTGAGATAACCAAAACATGTAGTGGAAAACTACCGCCTTGAGCATATTGTTGAATGATGAAATAGAACTTTAACCACAGTTGCTTCAAAGTGTCTTGATCTCTAAAAAACTCACACTGTTGATGAACAGTATTCTGCTGATTGTTTTGTGGGGGATTCTGTGTTTTGCATATTTGAGGCTCATCCCCTGAATAAGTTCAGTTGAAACTTGTGGATATAGTGGTTGGCGTAATACTCTGAGCGGGTCTGAACATCCTGAACAACTACACTACTGTTCAAAAGTTCGGGGTCACATTGAAATGTCCTTATTTTTGAAGGAAAAGCTGTAGATAACTTTAAACTAGTCTTAACTGTAAAGAAATACACTCTATACATTGCTTATGTGGTAAATGACTATTCTAGCTGCAAATGTCTGGTTTTTGGTGCAATGTTGTAATTGCTGCAAATGGAGGATTCTTTGATGAAAGCAAAGTTGGATGTAAAACAAATCTTATTTCAAATACAAATCATTATTTCTAACCTTGTCAATGTCTTGACTCTATTTTCTATTCATTTCATAACGTATGGTGGTGAATAAGTGTGACTTTTCATGGAAAACACTTGGGTGACCCCAAACTTTTGAACAGTAGTGTATGTTGCACATTGCAGGCAGCAATATTGTTTGAAGGTGAATATTCTTAACATTTGCTTTTGATTCAAACATGTTTTTAAATTTGGAGCAACTCTAAAACAGAGTACCTTTTGAAATAGAAATATTACTTATTGTAAGTATTGTAATTTCAATACTTTTAATTCCTTGATTACACTTGAATTAAAAGTATAATACTACAACTAATACTATATTATTAGATTTGAATACTTGATTTTGAGCCAAAATTATAACATTCTACTCTCTTCCTCTGACGCGAACTTGATCGTCAAATACGCTGATGCAGATTGTAGAGGGGTGCAAGTTTCTGAGTTTAACTCAAACGACCTGAAATGGGACAAAAACCCGAACCGGGTCGTTAAGAAAGCTTGTCAGCGGCTCTTCTTTTTACGGAAACTTAGAGAATTTTCCAATAACTCTAAGATTCTGCTTAACTTTTATCGCTGCACCATTGAAATGTTGCTTGTTGGTTCTGTGTCTGTGTGGTTCGGAAACATCACAAACAAAGAAAGGAGAGCTATAAACAAGGTGCTCCGCTCTGCAAAGAGGACTGTGGGCTGTGAGCTTCCTGTTCTGGAGGTTCTTTATGAATCCAGACTTTTAAACCGAGCTCTCAAAATCATCAATGACTCTTCTTGCCACCCTGGTAAAGCCATGTTCCAGCCTCTTCCCTCAGGCAGAAGATATTGGTCGCTGAGATGCAAGACATCTCGCTATGCTTACAGCTTCTTTCCACAGGCTGTTAGGTATCTAAACAGAGCACTTTAATTGTTGTTTTTACCCCTTGTATCGTTTTTTTTTTTTTTTTTGTCGATCGGTGCCACAGTGTCAGCGGTTTTTATTTATGTTCAGTGTTTGTGTATGTGTATTATATATTACATTGTATTGTGCTCTTTATTTTGTTGGTGCACACAGAGTACCTTTTTTTGCAAATGTATTCCAATGTAATTTTTATACTGCACATGGCAAACAAAAATCTAAATCTGAATCTGCTAACAGAAAGCACTGTAGCCACTTACATGGGTTCTTTACTTAGCTCTACTTAGTTTAGTTCCTGGTGTCTTTCTAACATACAAATGCACACACGCACACACACACACACACCCCTTCATACATATTAATCATTTTAATAATGCAATATCAGAAGCATACTATAAGTTTTAGTTGTTACTCATCACATCATCATCTTCTGCAATTATGTGTTTTATTTAATTTGTGTTCCTTAAAAATTTATAAGTGATATAAGTTATTAGTTTATAATATCCATCCATCCATCCATCCATCCATTTTCTTCCCCTTAATCCATTTCTGGGTCGGGGGGGTGGCAGTCAGAGCTGCACCCAGGACACAGAGCACCAGCCCCTCACTGATCCTCCTGCAGGTGGTGAGTCCACAGGAGCTGAGATCTTTCAGTTGGGGCTTTTGGGCAAAGTAGGGTTAAGTGTCTTGCCCAAGGACACAACGACAGCAGTCATCAGTGGGAGTCGTGAAGTAGGTCTTACGGTGGGCTCGAACCCACAACCTTCAGGCCCAAAGGCCAATGCTCTACCAACTGAGCCACTGTCGTCCAGTTTATAATATATTAAATATAATTATGCCAAATTAAAAACCATCGGCCAAACTTTTAACTATTCCATAGTAATCATCTTGGTGCAGATGGGAACAGTTTTCCATTTTGGAAACCTGTTCCCATCTGCATGTGTTTTTATCATAGACTGTAAATATTAAGTTCTTATTCATTAAAGAAGGTGGGACTGTGGTGCTGCTCCAGAGGGAACAGCAGCAGTACCGCTTACAGCTATGTGTCCTGTTCTGTTCATTAAAAACGACAAGATTTGAGAGTCCTCTACTCGAGGGGGGTTATCCTCAAGCTGGATCCCCCACCTGGTCCAATACTTTTTCTAATGTTGGATACCAATTCTGTAGTTTAAATCTGCACCAATAGATTAGTCATGATCATACAAATAAATATATTTCTATAGTATGACAATATAATGATGACTATAACCGCAACAACAGTACTGATATATAAACAGCAATATAGAATCAAATATATAAATAAAATATGTATACATATTCAACTCCATTCTCAAACAACCACATTCACATTTCTGTACATTGACAAAACAGGTTTTTTTTTGGATTTTGATTTGAACCAAATAATATTCGGACAGTTTTTGAGCTCACACCCCCTCCCCTCAGATTATATCCCCCTTCTCTTTGCGTAAAATGTTTTTAGATATTTGCCTGTAGTATTTTTTTTTATTTTTAAACAGAAGCTGAGCTGTACAAAAGTCAACAAGATCAACAAATTTTAACAGTGTGGATAAAGAATTTTTGTGTGTGTGTGTTATCACAAACGTGAACCCCTGCCGCTTAGCGGCTGGGATGAGAATCAGCACCTCCAAATCCGAGGCCATGGTGCTCGACCGGAAAAAGGTGCCTTGCCCTCTGCAGGTGGGTGGAGAGGTCCTTCCTCAAGTGGAGGAGTTCAAGTATCTCGGGGTCTTGTTCACGAGTGAGGGAAGAATGGAGCGTGAGATTGACAGGCGGATCGGTGCAGCGTGCGCAGTGATGCGGTCGCTGTATCGGACCGTTGTGGTAAAGAGGGAGCTGAGCCGAAAGGCAAAGCTCTCGATTTACCGGTCAATCTTCGTTCCCTCCCTCACCTATGGTCATGAGCTGTGGGTAATGACCGAAAGAACGAGATCGCGGATACAAGCGGTCGAAATGAGCTTCCTCCGCAGAGTGGCTGGACGCTCCCTTAGAGATAGGGTGAGGAGCTCAGTCACACGGGAGGAGCTCGGAGTAGAGCCGCTGCTTCTCCACGTCGAGAGGAACCAGTTGAGGTGGCTCGGGCATCTGTTCCGGATGCCTCCTGGACGCTTCCCTGGGGAGGTGTTCCAGGCACGTCCCACCGGGAGGAGGCCCCGCGGAAGACCCAGGACACGCTGGAGGGACTGTCTCTCAGCTGGCCTGGGAACGCCTTGGGGTCCCCCCGGACGAGCTGCAGTGTGTGTGGATAGGGAAGTCTGGAGTCTGGGCGTCTCTGCTTAGACTGCTGCCCCCGCGACCCGGCAACGGATAAAGCGGAAGAAAATAGATGGATGGATGTTATCACAATATCTTACAACATGTTTAACTTTTTTAGTTATTGCCCCAAAAATCAACACAGTTCGTTAGATATGGTAAACCTAATGAGAAGTAAATGCAATGTCCGACAGGCTCAGAGCCCCCCCAAATCACCCCAACTCGGCACGTGACTCCTCATTCTCAATAAGATTAATTTTGCAACTCAAGATGAGTATCTCACTGAGATACTATCGAATACATAAAGAAAAAATAAAGGGGAAGGACGCTCCCAGTATCGCAGAACCATAGACTCTACATCTCCAGTTTTTATCCATGTTCCTTTTCCTATTTCTCCTGTTCTCTTTACGACGTGTACCTCCGCGTGCCAATGATCGTTTCCGCCGTCCCTTTGACTGCTGTTCGTTGGCAGCGCTCAGACCACGGTGTTCGTGATCGACTTTTCGGAGACTTTAACCGTGTGTATTTCGGCTGCCTGGACCAGAGGCCCCTGTTAGGACTCTCAGATGCGGATCTCTGGCTGAAGCACACGTTGCACTTGTGGAGGTTCAGAAGTTTCGCTCGAGGCCCAGCGCTCCCAAAAGTTTGTTGTTGTCACGTGACTCAAGACGAATGTGGCGATAAAAGTTAGCGATTGTTGAGCTAATTCCCACGCTATTCTTTCTTACCGATCCCATACACATATATCCCACTACAATGCCCCAACCCAAGTACAGAAAGATCGCAGTGATTGGATACAGATCAGTAGGTGAGTAACTCGACGCTAACGAGCTAAGAGTGCTAGCATGCTAACCGCTGTGGCTTTGTTTTCCTCTTAAATATATCCGTTCGATGCTAGCACAACAGCGCATTTACTCCAGTTGTACACCTGTACACGATATGAAATGAGTTATGTCCACATTATTCACACTGCTCTCTTTAAACCACCCGAGTATTATCGTAGTATTTCTAACATGGCCTACAACATGTGGCGCTCCAGGCAGAGTGTAAACAAAACGCTTTCACTTATTTTCTCTAATTCTATTGATACATAATCTCACATCGATGCTACCTTTGACAGTCGGGCTCTTATTGCGAGTCTTAATGCTGTATCTGTCCTTTTAATAGGAAAGTCATCCCTGACAATACAGTTTGTGGAAGGGCAGTTCGTTGACTCCTACGACCCCACTATAGAAAACAGTAAGTTCCTCCTCTGTTTAGTTGTTTCTGCATTAAACTAAACGCACTTTTCTCTGCACAAGCTTTTAATAAACTCGTGAATGTCCGCGGCCAAGACTTTAACCTGCAGCTGGTGGACACTGCGGGGCAGGTGAGAGAAGGTTTTGTTCTGAAGTTGCTGATCTCGCTGTTTTCATTAACGCTGTGGTCTTTTCAGGATGAATACTCGATTTTCCCGCAGTCTCACTCTATGGACATCCATGGATACGTGCTTGTCTACTCTGTGACGTCAATGAAGAGGTACAGGCAGAGATGTCTTTATTTTTATACTTTATTCTTTTTAGTGGAATCATGTGTTTTTCAAAATTATATCATATCAACGATATAACAAAGAAACCAAATGGTTCTAAGAAAAAAGGATAATATAAGTAAAATAATATTTATATTAAATAAACATATGTACACATATATACGTGATTTTTAAAGTTCAACACACACACACACATCCCATGTCTAAAGCCCACCGTCCTGAGCACCATGCAGCTTTATCTCATGTTGGTGTTAAGTAACTGACCTAAAACTGTGTGAATGATTCTAACTGAAAGGACACTGTTTGTTGTTTTCCTGCAGTTTTGAAGTGGTGCAATCTCTACACGACAAACTACTGGATATGGTTGGAAAGATCCAGTAAGTCTCTCTGTTCCTGAAGATCATATTTAGGGATGCACGATATATCGGCATATATATATCGGCATTGGACGTCTCAAACCAAGCCTGATAAAAGTAGGCTGTACGATCTAAAGGCCTGTGTACACTGTGTTCACAGCGCGACTATACACTAGGCTTAAGCTGTTCGCTTACTGCTGCGGAGCTTCCCCTTAGAACTTTTCATTATTTGCAGCTCAACAAATCACCGAAATTACAAGGAAGGGTCACATTTCTCTCCTCAAAGGTTTTTGTGATTTGTGTCAAATCACAAAAACATTATTACTGCATGAAATTTTGAACTTTTAATTATATTTTTATTTATATTTATCTTGTTTTGAATGTCCTGTAAATTATTATTGGTGAATATTTATTCTGGTCTAATTTATTTATTTTTATCCATTACTCTTTTATAACTACTTTATATGCTGCATTGAAAATAGTTTTTATTCAAAATAAGAGTAATACTAAGCCACAAAAAGCTCCTGTGTTTGTTTTCCCACATCGCCCATTCTAGCTAAAATAAAATACATTCTGAAAATAGAGGAAGAAATTCGGTATGTATCATCTCGGAGTTAAAAAATTATAATTTTGATATTGGCAAATATTGGTTATCGGCCATAACAGAAAAACGTATATCGGTATCGGCCACAATGTTCATATCTGTGCATCCCTAATAATATAAACGTTTGATGTTTCAGAGTTCCAACGGTCCTCGTCGGGAACAAGAAGGACTTACACATGGAACGGTATGTAATCCTCACAGGTCTCTATGGAACAGAAGTAGTTGTAGGAACAGAAGAAGTCTCTGGTTTTACTTGAATTTATCTCATGACTTTTACCACTCTTTCCCCTCCGAGGGAGCAGCGTTTGCAGTCAGAGCTCCTCTCCCTCACCTCTGGTCCTTTGGGTAATGATCGAGAGGATGAGATTGCAAGCTCCTCATCATTTTCTTCCTGAGGGAGATTTAGAGTAGCTCAGAGAAGAGCCTGTGCTCCTCCACGTGGAGAGGAGCCAGTGGAGGTGGCTCATCTGTTTGGGATGCTTCCTGGTCTCCTCCGTGGGGAGGTGTTCTGGGCATGTCCGGGAGGAGGACACGGAGGGATTGTGTCTCTCAGCTGGGAATGCCTCAGGATTCTCCTAGATGAGCTGGAGTAGGTGTGTGTGTCGGGAAGTCTGTGTGTCTGCTCAGACTGCTGCCCCTGCGACCTGGCAACGGATAAAGCGGAAGCAAATGGATGAAAAGGAAGGGATGGACTAATGTTAAAGTTTGTTTATTTGTTTGACCTCAGAGTCATCAAACACGAGGAGGGAAAGAAACTTGCCGATTCCTGGGGAGCAGCTTTTATGGAATCGTCAGCCAAGGAGAACGAGGTAAACGTCTGTCATGTGTACCATGTTGTTACTCAATTCAGTGTATTTGTGTATCGCCCTAAATCACAAGAGACCTTATCTCTAAGGACTTTACAAAATTGTTGATTCATCGACATAGATCAGAGAATCAAATAGTACCGGAAATGCAATGATAACAAACGCATACGAGACATTGGTCCATAAATGCCCTGGAATAAGATTAAGAGATCCTTAATTTGTCCCACAGCGGGGAAATGTCCTTGTTGCATCATAAGTTACAGAACAGTAGGAATGAGGAGCACACAGCCCAAGTGAACAATAGCTAAACTAAATACAATAAAACAAAATCTCTAACTATAGCATCAAAGGAAAAGTATAAAATCTTCTATCTTGAACATAATAATGATAAAGTATGAAAACATTTCATTTGGCAAAATAAGAGGCAAGTTTGAAGTACTGTGTATTCTAGTGCAAGCAATATGTAGTTATTTGTTTATATCTGTACATGTCTGCAGTATGTCTTCATCTGTACATCAGCGGCATGAGGCTCTGAGACACAGTGACTCAGTAAAGTGACAATGACTTGAGGTTATTGCACATTCTGATATTATTTAAGGATATTGCACCGACGTATGACATGTGAGATCAGGTTGGCAGTGTTCTCCTTGTTTGTTGTACAGTCTGACAGCAGCAGAGGATCATCCCTTTCTCTGTTCTCTCTGACCCCTGTCCTCTCTGAACTCTGACGCAGACTGCCGTGGAGGTCTTCAAACGGATTATCTTGGAGATGGAGAAGGCGGATGGGAACGTACAGCAGGAGGAGAAGAAGTGCATCGTCATGTGATGGAGCAGGAGGCGTCTTCAGTCACAGAGACCTCACTCAGTGCTGCATAAAACTGTTTTACTACGTCCTCCAATTGTAATCAAGTTCATTCTTTGTTTTGTAGAGGAACAAACCAAACTGGTAAAGATAATTGTTGGGGGTTTGATTACTCGCCACACGCACAGACAAAGCACAGAATATAGTTTAGTTTGTTTGGACAGTGATCTCACATTACAGAAATGTGTAAAATATCACATTTTAACAGCACTAATTTTTTGGTGCTGCTTTGACAAAGTTCAAAGTCCCTTTCCCTGATTGTTGTTTGTGTTTTGAAAATGTAAGCTCTTAGTTTGTAGAAGCCTTAAAATTAAATGGAAATAAGACAGTGGATAAATCTCCGTGATGTCACTGATGAGGCGATCTCGGGGTGACGTCACTGATGACTAGTGCTGATGCTGTGGCTTTTCTTACATTTCCACAGTTGCACACCTGTTCACTGAGTGTGAAGACATAAAATGATTGAGTTTTTCTGAATCCGTAGACTTTGAAATGTCCAGACTTTCCAACAAATCACATTAATAACAATCACACGGGCTAGAGAAATGTTTTGGAATACTGTTGTAATTGCATTTTGTATGGTTTCTTTCCTTCGCAGAATGCAAAACAATGAGAACCATTAAATGGGACTGAAGAGAATGATTTGTTCCAACCTTTAACTGTCAGCCTGTAGTCTTTTAAACTACAGCCTTTATTAGTGATGTAAAAATGTATTATTTAGAAAATCCAATTAGCAGAAAGTCTTTCTAATCTGCGTACATTATTTAAACCAACTAGAGCAGAGGTGTCGGTTCAGGTTTCTCCTGTTTGGTTGGAATGAAAACCTGCAGCCTTGCGACCCTTTGAGGACCGGTTTGAGACTCCTGAATTACACACAAAACTTCGCAATTCAACTTATTTGCGTATCGTCCTAAATCACAACAGTAGTTTTCTCTGAGGACTTTACAAATCTTTCAATTCACCAACAACAGATCAGAGAATCAAACACAGGAAAGATTTAGGGTCCATAAATGCCCTGGATCATCACTAGAGCCTCCTGCATCAGAGAGGAACAACACAACTCTAAAAACCTAGAAGGGAGAAAATTGAGAGGCCCGCATCGAAGGACTACGGGCTGTAGATCCAGAACTGAAGCTATAGGTCCAGGTCGTTAGTTTAATTGAAACCAAACGTTCATCCTTCGTTCGGTTGTTTTTGAGGCTCTTTGATTGGTTGAAATAATACTTGTGTTGAACAGGTTTTCCTCTGTGGGGGTGAGTGTCCTCCACCACAGAGAGATTTTAAGATTTATCTAGATTACATTGAATTAATGATTTTGTTGACGGAAGCTGAACCAATTTAACCTACGGATTTGTGTTTTGTGGATTTGACAATTTGTTTAAGTATGAAAATCACTTATTCTTTTCTTTTGGTTTGAAACAGACTTTGATTGGATTGAGTTGTATGTTCCTGGAGGGGGGGGACCGGCTGTTGCTGGTTTAGTGTTTGATGGTCAATGATTCCTGGTGTTTGAGACAACACCGTGGGTTGTGTCTTGTGCCTTACAGGTTTGTTATTATTTCATCACAATTTAAAGGTGCTCCGAGAGTATCCCCCCATCTTCTGTTGATCTGATCCCAGTGGTCTGTGTTTCTATCAGACTCTGGAGCAGTCCTGTGCTGGTCATGTTTATGCAGAAATCTTGCTGTAAACAGTTTTGTATATAAATAAAATTGTTACTCATTTTATGCCATTTGTCAAGTTAGTTATTGCCTTTTAACAGCGGCCTCCAAAGCTACTTTTACATAACGGGAAGCGGGGTTTCCCTTCAATTTCATATAAAAATGAAGTTTATGCAACAAGTACTCAAACCATTATATATAACCTGCATCAGTGCACTGAAGGAAAATATTAAAATAAATACAAAATCTGAGTGACTTTGAAACCTTTGGAAAGTGGTGGAGAGACACAGAGACCCCTGGATTAATCAAAAACATGGTTTGGTCTCATTTCCACAATAGAGGAATCAAACCTGAATACCAGAGAGTGACGTTAGGCTTAGTTACATGTCAGATCTATGCAACCCTAAGATGACTTGTAAAAAAACATTTATTTCAAAGTCATAAAGAATATTTAATCTCCTTCATTCAACTGTTGGGACAAAACTACATAGCTTTCTATGTGTCAAGTTCATATCTGATTCTGCTTCTCCGGTTTTTCCCACCACTAAAAACATGTAGAATAGAATAGAATCCCCATAAAACGCTTGCTGACCCCTCTCCCGCCCTCTCTCTCTTTGGTCTCTCTTTCTGGTCTCTCCCTAGTCTATCTCCTCTGAAAAATAGATCCTTAAACCTCAGCGGGACTTTCCGAGTTGAATAATAACTCAAGTGGTTGAAATCGGGATTCGCTCCGCTCGTGTATTACGGTAGCGGCTTATCTCTATGCTTTTATCACCGGAACTGCCAGAAAGAGGTTATAAAAACTATTATTGTTCTAAATCAATAACCTCTCTGATAACTCTTGTTAATACCCCGATGTTTAAAGTGTCAAATTGCCTGTTCTTGATAAACTGGGCGCTGTTTCAGTCCATGTTTCCGTGTTGCGCTCTCACTACGTACATTACGGTAGAGTTGAGCTGCGTAGAAACCACTCTGTCTCATTTAGCAGAAAGCATCACCTCCAGGAGAAACGACATGGCTACAGAGTGTGTGAGTAAAACTAGTCTTTATACACGAACTTTAACCATTTACTTCATTAAAATCCAACCTCCAACTCCCTTTAAATCCCTCAGTCTGTTCTTGGTCAATGGTACTTTTAGCATGCTAGCTTTAAGTAGCTAACAAGCAAACATTATGCTTTCTTTGACTACAAGCACATTTTAAGATACACTTATCGGACTTTACTCGTCATTACGCTGTGTTAGAGAAGATTTTGACATCAGCTTCATGACACTGTAAGATGTTTTTCTTCAGAGCAAAAAACTCTTAACCTTACATTACCTTGTCACCTCCACCTAATGTCAACACTGCAGCAGGCTAAAGCTAATATTATCACAATCATATCCTCGTTCACAGTGAAAGCTCAGATCTAAAGTGTTTACCATGTGTAGGAGACTATCGTTACCTGTGTAATGTGATCCAAAGACAAACAATGCATTATTATTGTGTTAAGTCTGTTTGGACTGGAGCCACATGTAATGTCAGACTGACCATGAAGCCAATAATACACTGTACATTAACTTTGTCATTGCCGAAACATGCTGTGTCCATATTATTACAGTTACACACTAGGGCAGAGGGCATGGTTATTACATGCTAATTATTAGTCACTTCACCTGCTGCTATACTATTGTTTATTTTTGTTATCTTCTCTGCTGCTAAAGTACAATTTTAAACATCAGTAAATACCTCCTGATGACTACAGAGTGTTCTTCACAAGTGACTGATCATTGAACCAAGTGACGTTATAGGTCCAGACTTTCATCTGTATTTTTAGTCAAATTAAATGTCTTTGTGTATCCGTATTGTTCTGGTGGGACTTAAAAAAGCTGAAGATTCGCCGGAGAATCAAACAGTTCAAACACAGGAAATACAATGATCACAAACATAGAGACCATACATGTTTTACATATTTTAATTATAGATACTGTTTGATGTGTGCATCACCTGAGTCATACTGAGTGCAACAATGACATTGAAATTTCCACTGACGGACAAATAAAGGTTTCTCTGATCTTATATGAGAAACTTCACAAATCACAAGTAGAGTGTTTGTATTATACTGTTTTATTAATCGTATAATAATAATAATAATGCATCAGTTTTCTACACTCTACATAAGTGCTTTGTTCTGTTTCCCATATGGTGAATATTATTATTTATTATTATTATTAATCTTTATTAAGGACACAATACAATCCGGTCCATAGCTAAAAGAAAATATCCAATACACACAGTATATTGCATATTGAAAAAGAAAGATATACAGGAAAACAAAAAAAGAACATAACAGCTGCTGTACAGTATAAAGGCATGACCTCTACTAAGTCCATAAACTATTTATTAATATATTAGATATAGTTTAATATTAAGATTTATTAAACTATATCTAATATTTATTTAGTTTCTCTAAACAAGCAAAGAATGTTTTTCTCATAACTCACTTTTGAACTTTTGTACCTTTATGATCAGTAAGTAAACAATGCTCCCTGGTTTCTTTTTCTAGATACCAGCTGCTTTTGAAGATCTGGACGTCAAGAAGGAGTTGATCTCTGAAGGTGAGACGCTGATTCAAACTGTCTCTGTGTCCTCGTGTCTCTGTGTCCCCCAGAGTCTCTCTGTGTTTATAATGCTTCTTCTTCTTCTGTGTCAGATCCAGAGCAGAACGTCTACACTCGGTTCATGAAGTCCCATCACTGCTATGACCTCGTTCCCACCAGCTCCAAACTTGTTGTGTTTGATACTTCGTTGCAGGTAGAAGAATCATCTTCTGTTTGTTTGAATAAAGATCAAAAACCGAACTCCTCAGAGCCAGAGTTTGTGTCGAGTTAGACACTTCACATCGTTATTCTTTCACTCCAAACACAGTGGTGATAAACCTCTACTGCCACAGCTGCCCCCGGGCACACTAACAGAAGTCCCTTCCACACACACCAGACTCATTTGAATGTGGGGGAAGAACTGTATCTGTAAAGAGCCACTGGCTTCGTTGTTCATTATTTATACACAATATTATGAAACACAATCATTTTATAATTTCCTGTCTTTAAAGGACAACTCACCCTCAAATCCACTTTTTTTTGCTGATAAACGGTATAAATGAGTGTCCAATAGTGTTGTCTACATATCCTGGTCATAATCTTGTCACTTTGGTGCAAATTAGTTGAAAGTTAGACTTTCTGCCTAAAACCGTCTGTGAGGCGCCATCTGCTGGCGACCTGTATTACTACATTTGAATTTTGAATCTGGCGCCAACACTGGCGCGGCAGCAAGACCTGACGTCTCAAGCAAGACCTGACGTCAGCAGCCCCCCGCCCAGAGCAATGTAAACGGCCCAGTCTCGTTCACGCCCCCTTTAGTCCTCCAGGCTACGCCCATTTAGAGGAAGATTTGAACAGGAAATATGAGTAACGTAAGCTCCGAGGAGCGGGGGTGAGAACCACTTTAAAACTCACTGTGACATCACTATGACATCACTGTCCTGTGACCTCTGACATCACTGACCTGTTCTGTGACCTCAGGTGAAGAAGGCGTTCTTTGCTCTGGTGTCGAATGGAGTAAGAGCAGCTCCGCTGTGGGACAGCACCAGACAGTGCTTCGTGGGTGAGTTTGGATTTATACTTTATTATGTATTTGTTATACATTAGTATACATTATAGATGATTATATATTTTGATACATTTATTATACATTATGTAGAGTCTGTGAGAAGATTCCTTTCTGGTGACTGGGCATTAAAAAGGGCTTGACGCTTCACATAAAAATAAGAAAAGTCCACAAAACAATAAAAATAATATTCATTTTACAAACTGAATCTGAAATACCTTTTTAAAGAAAACTCAGTATGGGGCACATTAATCAAAATGGACAAAGCAGGAGAGAGAATGAATGAACGAGAGTGAGAGATAAAGGTCAGGTGCCACCGTCTGCAGCCTTTACCCAGACTTTCCCGAGCTACTCCTTTAAGTGGCCCTTGGGAAAATGTTTTGATTATATTGGAGTGAACAAGGCTGATATCAGGTATAGTCATTATTTATCATCACATATTTGTTACTGGTGACAAAGTAAGTGCATAATAAATAATGATAATGAATAAATCAATGTGAAATATTCAGTATATTATTTGATATGTTCATTTCTAAATCCTTTGGCGAGCTACCTGAAAGGGGGTGGCGAGCTACTGTTGGCTCCCGAGCTACAGGTTGGAGACCCCTGCACTAGAGGGAGACAAATGTAAATGTGGCTGTGCAACTATGTCTATTTTGGCTCCTAAATATCATCATACATTATTATAAATGAAACATTTTTATGTTATTATATATATAAATATATTTATTTAACTATAACCTTTGGCTCTGTCTCAGGAATGCTCACAATCACAGACTTCATCAACATCCTCCATCGCTATTATAAATCTCCACTGGTAAGAAACACAGAGACAGACACACACGCACACACGCACACACACGCACACACGCACACACACGCACACACGCACACACACACGCACATACACGCACACACGCACACACTAGGTGATGCTGTGTTTGTTTCAGGTGCAGATCTATGAGTTGGAGGAACATAAGATCGAGACGTGGAGAGGTACTGATGCATTCACTGAAGTGAAAACATTAAAACGTCACATTGTGTGTTATTCTCCTCAGAACTGTATCTCCAGGACTCTTTCAAGCCTCTAGTCAGCATCTCTCCAAACGCAAGGTCTGTGTTTCACTTATTTTATGCTTCTAATCCTTGGTGCTGACCATTCATGTGAGAGTTGTCTGTTCAGAGAATAATGATGTCTCGTCTGTAACGAGGTCCTCTGTCCTGAACTGTGTTGGGAGGATGTATCACAAAAGTAATGTAATTACTGTAGATAGATACTCTATTGACCCCCCCATAGTAGAAACTCAGGTGTGCAGTAGAAGCAAAAATAATAAATAAAATTGATAATTCTAAAAAGCTAACAATAGTAATAATCAGCAGGAAACAGCAGCAGAGGTGGAGTAGTCTCTGGGTGGAGTAGGACGGGTATCTTTGCCGTAACGTTGTAATGTAAGGCATTACAAATCAAAAACAGGGTAAAATTTCCCTGGTACAAAGGTCAGTAACATGAGTTACAGCTTTTTAACACCGCCTCCGTCAGCAGTTGGTGTTTGCGAAAGAGCAGAGACATGTAGCCTATGAATGAATGAGAGCCTCTCGAGAGTCCTGTTGGGGCAGACGCTCGTCAGCTGGTTTGAAATACGTGCACGATGAGCAGTGACGCGGTGCGTTTTAAAACAGCGGCAAGAATGATGCACTTCTGACTGAACTTCTGGATTTACCAGTTTAACCAGAAGCAGCAATAGTGACCAAAAAAAACCAACCCCTTATTAGATTGTTAGATTGAAATTAATATAAAAAAAATTGAACTTAAAGGAGCAATATGTAATATTTGCATGTCAAGTCATCATTAAATGACCTGAATATTTCAAAAGGCATTAATAAATCATGTTCTTTTCAAACACATCTTTAACTGATAACAGTAGTTCATCCGAGATATTTGAATATCACAATTAGTTTTACGACCCGTAAAAGTTGTTATTGTTTTGATTTTGATGTCCTACCCTCCGCCGTTTCGCCAATCAGGAAGTGTCATGTAAGTCCGTGATCGGGTTGCCAGAACTCTGCGCGGCTCACTAATCTCAGAGGTAAAATAACATGTGGCCGCAGAACTAAAAAAGGTCTTGTTATGACTCTCAAATCATTAATGACAAAACAAAGACTAAAACGAGGATTTATATCGGGACGCCTTTGAACAATTGAGACAGCTGATAAAAGTTTACGTGTGATGCAGAATTTTCTAGTTTAAGTCCGTTCTTCACAGTGACTAACTGTGTGAATCGGTGGCCTAGCGGTCTAAACTGTGCGCTTACGATGCAGGAACCCGGGTTCAATCCCGGGCTCTGTCTTTTTGTATTTATTGCATGTTATCACATTTTATGACAGATTGCTCTAAAAACGGTAAAAGATGAAGGTCAAGACTTTTTTTTGCAGATTATAGCTTAATTGTAAAAATAATCATTTAAGACCACATGTACCCCAATTAAAGTAATGTTAGTCTCTTTTTGATGTGGGACTTTTACATGTTTGTCTAAAAAATAGGGAATAAATAAAATTGAAAGGTGATATCCTCTTGAGCAAACCCTGATGTTGATACGCTGAAGAAATACGTTCCAACATCCATTCTTCCCACTCCTATTTTGGACATCAATTGCTTATGTATTTTGCATAAACTATGTATAATTACATTGCTTTTATTTTGTTTTTGTTTTTTATCTCGAATGTCCAAATAATAATAATAATAAAAAAACATGAATCAAAACATTCATTCAGCATTAGCACGGCTGTCATGGCAATGTGAATGGAGACGGACAAACAACTGATAAAATAATTCCCTGTGTTTGCTGCTGGATTTGGTGTGAATCTGGCAACCTGAGTCAGGGAGAGTGGGAGAGGACTACAAAATATTGACTGTGACTGCAGTACCACTTTTGGCCAGATTTTTACATATTGTTCCTTTAAGATGTTTAGATCCTAATCCATGATAAAAGAAAATACAAATTTTAATATCACAAATGGCACAAATATCACAATACTATCAAATCCTCACATTATTGACAGTTCCTGCCTCTGCACAGATTGATGTATAGTCATCATTCATGTTTGGTCTGAATACTTGTATATTTTTTATTGATGTCTTCATCTTAGTAGAAAACATTTGATCTTTTATATACATACGAGCATGAGCCCTGTGAGTCACTATTTGACAGTTTGGGCTGAGAGCTGATTGGCTGAGTGAGGGTGCTCCTCTCTTTGTCACATGTTGTGTTGAAAAGTTGGGTAACCCAGCTTTATTTATGAAGTAAATCTTTAAGATTGTTTTTCCCACAGTTTGTACGACGCCGTGTCGTCGTTACTGAGGAACAAGATCCACAGGTTACCTGTGATCGACCCCTCGACTGGAAACACACTCTACATCCTCACACACAAACGCATCCTCAAGTTCCTCAAACTGTTTGTAAGTGACACGCACGCACGCACACACACACGCATTATAAAGTTACTTATATCAATTATAAAAAAGACACAAACTCACCCACAAAGTTATGTCTGTGGTGCAGATAGCAGAGATGCCCAAACCATCGTTCTTGTCTCGAACTCTGGAACAGCTGAACATTGGGACGTTTGATAAAATCGCCGTGGTTCGGTCCGACACGCCGCTCTACACCGCTCTGGGCATCTTTGTGGATCACAGGGTCTCTGCTCTGCCCGTGGTCGACGATAAGGGTCAGTCTTTGAAGTGTCTCTGAAGTCAGTCTGAAGTCAGTCTGAAGTCTGTCTGAAGTCAGTCTGAAGTCAGTCTGAAGTCAGTCTGAAGTCAGTCTGAAGTCAGTCTGAAGTCAGTCTGAAGTCAGTCTGAAGTCTGTCTGAAGTCTGTCTGAAGTCTGTCTGAAGTCTGTCTGAAGTCAGTGTGAAGTCAGTCTGAAGTCAGTCTGAAGTCTGTCTGAAGTCTGTCTGAAGTCAGTGTGAAGTCAGTGTGAAGTCAGTGTGAAGTCAGTCTGAAGTCAGTCTGAAGTCAGTCTGAAGTCAGTCTGAAGTCTGTCTGAAGTCAGTGTGAAGTCAGTGTGAAGTCAGTGTGAAGTCAGTGTGAAGTCAGTCTGAAGTCTGTCTGAAGTCAGTCTGAAGTCAGTGTGAAGTCAGTCTGAAGTCAGTCTGAAGTCAGTCTGAAGTCTGTCTGAAGTCTGTCTGAAGTCAGTGTGAAGTCAGTGTGAAGTCAGTCTGAAGTCAGTGTGAAGTCAGTGTGAAGTCAGTGTGAAGTCAGTGTGAAGTCTGTCTGAAGTCTGTCTGAAGTCTGTCTGAAGTCAGTGTGAAGTCAGTGTGAAGTCAGTGTGAAGTCAGTGTGAAGTCAGTGTGAAGTCAGTGTGAAGTCAGTGTGAAGTCAGTGTGAAGTCAGTGTGAAGTCAGTGTGAAGTCAGTGTGAAGTCAGTCTGAAGTCAGTCTGAAGTCAGTCTGAAGTCAGTCTGAAGTCAGTCTGAAGTCAGTCTGAAGTCAGTCTGAAGTCTGTCTGAAGTCTGTCTGAAGTCTGTCTGAAGTCTGTCTGAAGTCTGTCTGAAGTCTGTCTGAAGTCTGTCTGAAGTCTGTCTGAAGTCAGTCTGAAGTCCTCTGATCTTGCTCATCTCTGGTTTTCAGGTCGAGTTGTGGACATTTACTCCAAGTTTGATGTTATCGTAAGTCACTTTCTGAAGTCTTAGCACAAAAAACAGAGGAACAACACTGTGGCGCCACCTGCAGGTGAAAGCCAGATCCTGTCAGACCTCTGAAGCTAAGCAGAGTAGGCCCTGTCAGTACTGTGATGGAGACCTCTGGGCACACCAGGTGCCACAGTGAGGCAGCTGTGTGTGTGCGAATGATTGTTGGTAGTAGGAGGAGCTGTTGGCACATATAGGTGGCCTCTCCTCTGTCAGTATGACCCAGGGCAGCTCTGACTGCGAGTATCTTGTGCAGAACCTTGCGGCGGAGAAGACGTATAACAACCTGGACGTGACGGTGACTAAAGCGCTGCAGCATCGGTCGCAGTATTTTGAGGGAGTTCTGACATGTAACCGACTCGAGACTCTGGAGGCCATTATTAACAGACTGGTGGAAGCAGAGGTTAGAGACACACACAGATACACACGCACACATAGAGACACACACACACATATATAGAGATATACACACGCATACGCACACACAGACTGATGGAAGTAGAGGTCAGAGACACACACACAGGTCACAGACTGGTTTAAAGCTCAGGGATGTGATTCTCAGGTCCACAGACTGGTGGTGGTGGACGAACAGGAAGTAGTGAAAGGAATCGTGTCTCTGTCCGACATCCTCCAGGCGCTTGTGCTCAGCAACAAGGACCAAGGTATGACTCCACAGATGGGAATTTATGCAGAAATGCGAACGATTCCAAACAGTGAGCCAAAAGACAGCGCTCTGTCTCCTCCCTCATCTCTGATCATGAGGGAGCAGTGTCTGTAGTCAGAGCTCTGTCTCCTCCCTCATCTCTGATCATGAGGGAGCAGTGTCTGTAGTCAGCTCTGTCTCCTCCCTCACCTCTGGTCATGAGGGAGCAGTGTCTACAGACAGAGCTCTGTCTCCCCCCCTCACCTCTGGCCATGAGGGAGCAGTGTCTACAGACAGAGCTCTGTCTCCTCCCTTACCTCTGGTCATGAGGGAGCAGTGTCTACAGACAGAGCTCTGTCTCCCCCCCTCACCTCTGGCCATGAGGGAGCAGTGTCTACAGACAGAGCTCTGTCTCCTCCCTCACCTCTGGTCATGAGGGTAACGACTGAAAGGACCAGATCATGGATACAAGCTCCACATGAGTTTCCTCCAGAGTGGGACTCAGTTACAGGAGAAGCTCGGAGTAGAGCCGCTGCTTCACATGGAGAGGAGCGAGCGGAGGTGGCTCATCTGCTTGGGATGCCTCCTGGTCTCCCTGGGGAGATGTTCATGTCCCACCGGGAGGAGACCAGGGAAAGACCCAGGATACAGAGGTGTCTCTCAGCTGGGCACGCCTCAGGATTCCCCCAGATGAGCGGGCAGGTGGAAACTGCTTTAGATACTTTTGGACTCTTCATCTCTTGGCAGAAAGCGATAGAGACTTATGGATTTGACCCAGACTTTGATTTTGATCCACAGAATCCGCATGAGGCTGAAGACCTGCTGTTCTCTCCGGATGAAAAGGGACCTGATGTGCTGCAGTCGGACGTTAACATTAAAACTCTAGGATTCTGTCATTGAGCAGATTTCACGGTTCATAAACTGTGGATCAGCTGTCTATAGCAGGGTCTTCAACTCGCTCCTCAAAGAACTGCAGGTTTTCACTCCAACCTAACAGGAGGAAACCACATTCCTCCAGTTCCTCCAGTCTGAACCTTTGGCCCTGAGGAAATGGGTGTGGGCTTTCTCTCTGGCCTTTCATTTTACTTTCTGCCCTCTTTCTCTGGAGTGTGTTCTGCTTGTTTGGAGTGAACCGCCGCAGCCACACCAGCTCTGTGAGGGACCAGTCGGACCCACCTGGTCTTTGTTCAGGTTTAATCATAGTATTTTTTAATCCATAAAAGCACAAATGTTGAACATGTTTATGTCGCACCTTACACTGAGATCGTTATTGTCATTTCACTTTTCTTCTTCAAACTCTGTCACCTCAAAAACCCAAAGTGCTGGGATTTCACACAGAGGCTTTTTACATCTGTCATGTTTTAGTTTTAACCAAAGACACGACTTATCACTGCATCATGTGTGTTTACTAATTTGATTAAACCTCAAGTTTTCTGATATATTTTGGTTTTAGTCTTTTTTAAATTGTACTGAAGCAAGAAAACTTAACAGATTTTGTACTTAACTTTGACTTTGTAATTTAAGAAATGAGCAATAAAAGTTGTTTCATAAAATGTGAGGTTTTTTTTCATTGCCTCTGGTCTGAACTCTGTCTTTAAACAGTACTAAGAATAAAAATAAATCTCTTTTTTCCACAAACTGGATTTAATGGTGTGAAACTAAATATTCAAGATTTTTTCACTCTGGTCTCCCACTCATGGACCTGTTCTTTGGAACCAAAGCAAAAGTAAGTAAGTAAATGAAAAACCAGACATGTAGGAAAACAACAATACTTTAATTATTATAGATTTAAATGAAGACCTGAATTCACATTTACATGTGTGGAGGAAAAACCTGCATTTTCAATACATTCTCTTAACCCACGACATCTTTCCTTTGTACACAGTGGGGACTTCTGTTCAAGACCCAGTGACGTCACAAGAAACTGATGCATTTGTATATTTTCCAGTTAAAACATCTAAATCTCAGTAGTTTCTGCAGTGGTCTCCGGTTTAGGACAGGGGTAATGTGTTTTACATATAAGCCACAATAACAGACTCGTGAGAGACCGGGGGCCGTAAGCCTAAAAATGCAGAGAGTTGACTCAGAGAGCTCCTAACTTAACATAAAAACTCCTAGCTAGGAGTCTTAGCTTAAAAGTTATTCCAGAACATTCTCAGAGAACTCCGAGCAAGGAATGGTCAAAAACTCCCATCTTATTGAGGAGGTATGAGTCATCATTTCAGATGCTGTGATTGGTTGATCCTAAAAGTTAGAGAAAACATACTTTTGGTGATGGGCAAAATAAGGACCCTCAGATGGACAAACTTAAACATGGAATCTAATCTTAGAAAGACTGTCATTGTAAATAATATTGGTCGTTTTTTTCTTTCAACTTTTACCATTTCTTCTCACTGGTGTAACGAGCTGTAAAATGGCACAGCTGTGATTGCTGACCAGTTTATAAGAAGCCGTGTTGATTGAATTTCAAATATACCACAAACAAGTGAACAGCAATGGAGAACAAAAGAGGAATCCCAATTGGACAGAAGAACAGTGTTTGCTTCTGGCTTCACAGTCATCCAGTGTTTGTAAAATATCTCCTGCTTTTTCCGTCCGCCATTTTGTCCTCTTAGAGAACTCTTAAGTCTAAAAGTGCTCCTCTCTACTTTTAAGCGATGCCACCTTAGCTCTCTTAAAAGCTTTTTTCTGAACTAAAAATTCAAAGAGAACGTCAAAATCCTTTGAACATTCTTTGAATTTGGCCACTAGGAGCAACCCTAGCACTAAGAATCTGTGGGAATACGGTCCCAGATCAAATGAAACCTGAATTTTGAGCTTACATTTTTGTTGCACAATTTTGCAGATTTTTTTTTTTCTTTGGCAAAACGTTTGAGTTGCAGAGTTGGATCGACTTTGCAGAACTGTATCCTTTACTGTGTATTGACCTGTGTGCCTGTAAGCCGCTACTTTGCTCTTCTTTCATCCCTGTGTCTCATGTAGCGATGGGGCTACTATGTGTGTTTTTATTGTGCTAGAGTTGGACTATCAAGTTTCAGTAGTTACAGGACACTGGTTAAATGTCAGAATAGCTGAATGTGAATGAGTCACAAAAGCTAAACCTGCACCTTAAATGGAGCGCCTTAGAGTCCAGAAAGTATGTATTTCGCGTCTATTCTTGTACAGTTCTCTGACTACATCCAGTGCATGCTAACTTCAGTGTTGTGGATTAGCATCATTACAGCCACAGACAATAAAAAGTCCACTTTCCGTTGGTCTGTGGTAAACTCATGGCACAAAGTAAAAAAAGTCACTACACCATAATATTTATAACATCCACAACACAATCAAGTTGTTTAAATATCAAAATAAGTAAAAAAAAAACGTCCCGAAGCTAAAAACACCAGTACGAAGACAGAACTCTTCTATAGGACACGACAGTGAGGACTGAGGGGACTTCAGGAGTCTGGGCTTCAAACAACTGAAATAAAAGTATTTAAATGTTTGTGCTTCATGAAGAAGGAATATTGAAAAATATTTCCTCTTTAAAGCTAAGCCAATGGAACATGTCGTTTTGGATCTTATCAGCGCAGATTGCATGTCTGTGTGGAAAGATACAAATGGACTAGAATCAAGAAAAGAAAAACACTTTTTCAAAGGGTGTTTGATAAATGTTCCTGTTCAAACAGCCTGCTTCCTGAAGCTTCCCCCAGTCTTGATTCTTCACAGAACCTGCTACTGTCGCTGCAGTCGCTGCATCAGCACAAACACACAGAACAGTAGCAGGTTCAGGCAGGTGGAGCTGAGGACTAAAGGTGCTTTTTTCGGTGAGCGAGGTAGGGTGCGTTAAAACAATCAGTGGCAGGAGTGGTTCAAATAAAAGTGACTATTGTACAATTGTAGCAGCAGTCGAAAGTCTGGACACGCTCAGGTCCTAGTGTCTCTGGTTTATATCAGTTTAGTTCCGGCTTAATTTGTGGTTTGGTCAAAAGATATTATCACTTGAATCGTTTTTAAAGTCAGTCCTGGGTCTACAGCCTCAGTCCTGGGTCTACAGCCTCAGTCCTGGGTCTACAGCCTCAGTCCTGGATCTACAGCCTCAGTCCTGGATCTACAGCCTCAGTCCTGGATCTACAGCCTCAGTCCTGGATCTACAGCCTTAGTCCTGGGACCATAGTCTCAGTCCTGGATCTACAGCCTTAGTCCTGGGACCATAGTCTCAGTCCTGGGTCTACAGCCTCAGTCCTGGGTCTACAGCCTCAGTCCTGGGTCTACAGCCTCAGTCCTGGGTCTACAGCCTCAGTCCTGGATCTACAGCCTCAGTCCTGGATCTACAGCCTCAGTCCTGGATCTACAGCCTCAGTCCTGGATCTACAGCCTTAGTCCTGGGACCATAGTCTCAGTCCTGGATCTACAGCCTTAGTCCTGGGACCATAGTCTCAGTCCTGGATCTACAGCCTCAGTCCTGGGTCTACAGCCTCAGTCCTGGGTCTACAGCCTCAGTCCTGGATCTACAGCCTCAGTCCTGGATCTACAGCCTCAGTCCTGGATCTACAGCCTCAGTCCTGGATCTACAGCCTCAGTCCTGGATCTACAGCCTCAGTCCTGTCTTAAATGATTCATTGGGGGAAAAAAAGTTTTAATCATCCCTGATTTTGAACTACAGGTTTGATTCATTGCTTTGTACTATTTACAATATTTTTTTAAATTCTGACTTTGTTTTTGTAACAACGCACTATGATGTCCTCAGATCCAAGCAAAGTAGTGCGAGGCCTGGTTAGTGCTGTGATGGGAGACCGTTTTAACACCAGGTGCCACAGAGAGTGCCAGTCTTGGACAAGACACTTCACCCACATTACCACATATGCATCTGATGTTGGAGCTTGTGAGGGGCACATTGTACAGATTAGCAGCCTTGTTTCCACCAGTCTACAAGTCTCCCCCAGGGCAGCTGCGGCTATATGCTTATTGCCAAACGTTGGAAGTTTCCAGGCAAAGATTACAGTATTTACACATAACTGTGACTGAGGCGACTCATGGACATGGGAAGAATTACTATTGCAACAACCCCTCAGTGGTAGGGTAAAACCATAGACTATATATATGTATAGATGGACAATGCTAACTCGCTAGCTCAATGGAGCTCAATAGGGAAGTGCTCCTGGTGAAGTTTGGCTCCCATTGACTTGTATGTAGCTCAGTGACGTTTGTCACACTCACAATTTTGGGCTTAAATGTGTCAGTGATTCTGCTGTTTATTTTAATGTCTTTGTAAATCCTACACAACTGTCAAATCAGGAACTTTCTGTTGCAAGATTCAGCTTTAGCTAGCGAGTACCGCAAGAGGGGACAGACTAATACACACTGTGTAACATTGTGTAAAACTGACCTGTCTAAACCCAGCTCACATTCTCCAAAAGGATTCTGACATTGAAAGATCAAAAAGCATCGTTGTTATGAGCCCTGGCCTTGGGTTTAGAACTACACTCGTCAGAAAGATGATCTGAACCTGCTCTTTAACTTTACAAACTGAACCAAAATCTTCTTTAAACTCATACAAACCCAGTGTTTTCTGCTTCCTGTTCCTCGTGTCCAAACTTTGACTGGTTTTGCATGTTCTGCTTGTGCCAAGTTCTCCTTGTGCAGTAGTGAGTCCATGCCATGGCGTCCCTCGTACTCAGACCTTGATGTCTTCCTGGACGCTGAGTTGAGACAAAGTCTTTTTGATGCGCAGAGCCGTGAGACGCGCCGCTCCGTTGGAATACCAGCACTCACGCATGATTTTACCCATAACCCGCAAGGCCTGCAATAGATTACAGATTATAGACAAGGGTGAGATTAGGGATGTCCTGACTCTCGGCATATCCTTGTAGTTCGCTGAGCTCCACACAAGGATCTGGGATCTTTGATAGAAGAATGGTGGGGTCTTGTAACAAAAAAATTAATTGTACGTGATTGGATAAACCACTTGTCTCTTATCTTGAATGACGTGCTGCTTCAACCAATCACATCAAAGCACACAACTCCTTGCTGCGTGCCGCCACTTAATCAAACAGTCGCTTCGGTGCTACTTCACATCTAAGAAATCCTGCCCGGCAATCCTGATAAACTGATTATTGTTTGCCATCTTGAAGGAGTTTCCATTGCCCTTGATCCTAGATGCTTGTGTGGAGCTCAGCATGTCCCCCCCCCCGGTCAGATAGTCAGACCTCGTAGCTCTGCCACCAGTTGCTGATGTTGGGCCTTAGTTTCTGGTCACAGACAACTTTTCTCATTTCCTCGATGGTCGGATCAGAGGGAACCAGGTCAAAGTAAGGCAACTGGTACTCCTCCAGTATCCCTGCAAACATGGAAGAAATTAGGTGTGCGTGCTGTCAGTATTGGATATTGACCAATTGTGACGCAGTGCGAGTGTGATGTCACCAAACCTCCAGTGTTGCAGCGGCGGGTGATCTCCCAGTACACCAGCCCCAGAGCGTAAATATCTGCACATTTGAACGAATCGAAGTGCCGCATGTTGATGGTTTCATCCAGGACCTCAGGAGCCATGTACCTGTGATAAAATGTACCTGTAATCACATGTACCTTTGCCATGTACAGTGGGGCAAAAAAAGTCAGCCACCAATGTTTTAAGTTCTCCGGACTAAAAAAGATGAGGCCTGTAATGTTCATTATAGGTATACCTCAACAATGAGAGACAGAACGAGAAAAAAAATCCACAGGATCACATTATTAAAGAATTTATTTGCAAATTATGGTGGATAATAAGTATTTGGTCACCTCCAAACAAGCAAGTTTTCTGGCTCTCACAGATCTGTAACTCCTTCTTTAAGAGGCTCCTCTATCCTCCACCTGTTACCTGTATTAATGGCACCTCTTTGAGCAGTATGTTTTATCAGAATGAAAGACACCTGTCCACAATCTCAAACAGTCACACTCCAAACTCCACTATGGTCAAGACCAAAGAGCTGTCACACGACGCCAGAAACAAAAATTTAGACCTGCACCAGGCTGGGAGGACTGTATCTGCAATAGGTAAGCAGCTTGGTATGAAGAAATCAACTATGGGAACAATTAGTAAGAAAATGAAAAAAAAAAAAACTCAACTCGTTGTGTTTGGAGAAGAAAGAATGCCGAGTTCCATATAGAGAACACCATACCTACTGTCAAGCATGGGGGTGGACGCATCAAACATTTCTGCAAAGGGACCAGGACGACTGGTCCGTGTAAAAGAAAGAATGAATGGGGACATGTATCTTCCATCAGCAACGGCACTGAAGATGAAACGTGGCTGGGTCTTTCAGCATGACAATGATCCCAAACACACCGCCCGGGCAACAAAGGAGTGGCTTTGTAAGAAGCATTTCAAGGATCCAGATCTCAACCCCATAGAAAATCTTTGGAGGGAGTTGGAAGTCTGTGTTGCCCAGAGACAGCCCCAAAACATAGTGAGATCTGTATGGAGGAACCAGACAATGTGATTTTCTGGATTTTTCTCATTTTGTGTCTCATAGTTAGAGGTATAGAGGTATACCAATGATGAAAATTACATGTCTCATTCATCTTTTTTTAAGTGGGAGAACTTGCACAATTGGTAGATGACTAAATACTTTTTGCCCCATTGTAAACAATAGATTATGTTTTTTGCTTAAAAGGGAGTAAGAAGAAATAAAAGTTTACTCCCATCCCAAATTAAAAAATTAAAACGATATACTGGATGATGTCCTGTACCATGTATCTGTGATTACATGTACCTCTGATAACCGGTACATGTTGTGTTCAATGTCACACAGTGGTGATGTCACACTCAGGTTGGTGTTCCCTTTAAAGCAGGAGCACAGGTACCTCTTGTTACCCTGAGTACAGAGCACAGGTACCACTTGGTGCCCACTCTCTGGTGGGGGAGCACAGGTACCTCTTGGTGCCCACTCTCTGGTTGGGGGCGATGTCGATGGTGTCGGATGCTGAGTCGTGTCTCACAGCGAGCCCCAGGTCGGCAATGGCACAGGTGCAGTTCTTCTTCACCAAAATGTTCTTGGACTTTAGGTCTCTGTGGGCGATGCCAGGCTTCCCTGCAGCAACACAACACACAAAACTCAAGACTCAAGAATGGAAACAGGTTCTGAACCAAACCCTCACACTCAACACGAGAAGCAGGTTCAGAACAGGACAGCTGCAGGTGTTAGGGTCATGCACAGAGAGAAGGATCTGGTGAACAATGCAACGCCAAAAGTGTAAAATCTCCAGTTTCAAACAGTTCTTGTTTTGCACCTGATCCAGAGCTTTTTGGGGTTTGATAGTTTATCTTTTTAAATCAAATATTATCAACATTAAAAGAGGTTTAAATTATTTAAAGGCAAAAAATGATTTGTATGTATGACTAGTTATCTGGGGACACATATCCCCTCTCTTCTCTCCCTCTCTTCTCTCCCTCTTCTGTCTCTCTCTGGTCCATGTGTAGCTGAGGAATGAGTCAACACATGAATCTTATGTAACCACGTGGTGACATTTTGTAGCAGTGAAAACAGAAAAGTAAGAGTTGTTCTTTGAAGATGTGGATATTGTATCAATATGTACTTTTTACAATCAAGAAAATCCCTAGTCTCCACAGAGAAGAGGATTTTAGTCCTCCAATGTTAATTTTGTTGACGAAATATCAAAATATCCAAGTACTGAGTACGTCTTATTTTTAATCTCAAATATATTTTTGGGAACGAAAATGAAACGAAAACTAAAATAGGAGACATTTGTTGCGACGAAGACGACTAAATTGATCCCCAAATTTGTTCACAAATAAAAGACTAGACGAAAAATAGACCATGACGAAATCAAATCAGAAGAAGGGATTGAAACTGTGTGTTTGTCTCGCTTGAAGTCTAAAAAAACCTGACCTGGGTGTCAGACACAATAACTTAATAAAATTCAGATAGACAAAAATAGTTCTAAAACTGGGGTTGTTAAATGCAGATTAATGAACGTAAGATCAATCTCGTCTAAATCGCTCTTAATTGATGAACCGATTAAAGACAACAACCAGCATTTTCTTGTACTTGGCTCAAACAAGATGACTATGTCAGATTGAATGAGTGCACTCCTCCGACGCATGTTAACTACCAGAAAGCGAGACCTGCAGGTCGCAGTGGCGGTGTTGCGATCATGTCGCACACCAACTTACTTCTAAGTCTTAAAACACACAATACTTTGCCTTTGTTTGAAAACTTAACACTTTCAATCACCTGTCCTAGGTGGACAAACTAAAAAGCTGTGTAATTTTTAGTTTTATATCAACCTCCTGGTCCTTACAGTGAGTTCCTAATGGAATTCTCTGATTTAATTTCAAACCTAGTTTTGGAATGGGAAAACATAGTTATAACTGGAGACTTCAATATACATATGGATGACAGCTTAAACAAAACTTCCAGCGCAGTATTAAAGTGTTGGTTTTACTCAGAATGTTGATGAACCTGCCTCACATTCATAACCACATTTTGGACATTGTCCTCCTGACCTACGGTAGCCTGACCTTAGCCATCCGTACACTCCGCTCAATTATTTCACTGCATGTAACGTCTGGGTCTGGTCCCCGTGTTTGCGATTACAATCAGTTGAATTCAATACGACCAATCAGCGAGTACTGGAGGCGGGTGTTGTAGTTAGATGTGGGTGACAGCAAGAGTAACGACTCACTCGGGCGCATTACATACGTCACAGTAAACTCAGATCCAGTCGTTTCAATCCGCAAAAGAAGTTAACCCTTCCCACCTGTTAACGGAGCTCAATGGAGCACGTCCGGACCATAGTACAAAATGTAATTTGTACTATGGTGTGGTACCACCAGGCTAGACCTACGGTAGTGAAGATTCCAATATTGACATCCTACGTCAAAGCTTGTTGTTGTCTAATCATTTCTTGATCATGTTTGATCTCACCTTGGAGGACTTTCCTGCGCCGCAGGATAAAACCATAATGAAAAGAACCTACATCTATCACAAGGTTCAAAGATTTAATACAGCCAATGTTGAATACCGCTGCAGGTGAACCTGCTCACAGCTGCTTCAGTCCCTTGGTCATCGACCAAACTGTGGACTCCACTATGGAGTCTTTAAAATCTGCATTGGATGCAGCAGCTCCTATAAAACAGAAAACTATTAGGATTAGATTATCGTCGCCGTGGTATAATATCCAGCTGCGTACCAGTTTTCAAACAGAACATTAGAAAGCTGGAGAGGCTATGTCGCCACTCTGAGCCTGTCCACAGAGTGGGGAGCAGGTCTCCGAAAGTACAAGAATGCCCTTCGTAGGGCTCAAACTAAATACTATTCAACTTTAATAGAAGCGAAAACACAAAAATCTACTGCTGTTTTTAACACCGTCGCTAAACTCACAAACTGCCATAGAGCTAACGAGCCAAAAAAAAACCAAGCTCACTGAGCAGTGTTGACCTTCTTCACTTCTTTAATAAAGAAATTACATCCATCTGCGACAAACTGGAGGAAACCACTCCTAATATTAGTGATGAACAGGCTGAAGCGGTGCACTTATGTCCCACTTGGACTCTTCAGTGTGCCTGGACAAGCCAAGAGGAAGTGCTCTCTGTGGTCGCATCTTATTAAAACCTCAACTCTTATTTTAGATGCAATCCCAGCTTGGCTCTTCAAAGACAATAGATTATCGAGCCTATCTTAAATATAATAAATACATCTTTCCAAAGCAGCTATGTTCCACAAGCTTTTAAAACCGCGGTTATCAAACCCCTTCTGAAAACAAAAAAAACAAAACCACAATCCGGAACTACTTACAAACTACAGGCCGATCTCGAACTGAGGGAAAATAAATTTTGAAATCTTTTAATCAGGATTCAGAGCTCATCATAGCACAAAAACAGCAATAGTTAAAGTCACAAATGACTTACTACTAGCTGCTGATAATGGACAAGTGTCAGTGTTGGTCCTACTGGACCTCAACGCTGCATTTGACACAATAGATCACAGCATTCTACTGCAGAGGCTAGAATGTGACACTTTGTCAATGTGAATCAAAACTCGTAACTTTATTCCAAAGTAAAATTTGGTTGTGCCACAAGGATCGTTACTCGGACCGATTCTTTTCACACTGTACATGCTGTCATCAGGCAACATCCTTAAAAAGCATGGTATTAACACAGCTTTACCTGTCGATAAAACCAAATCAGACAAAGACGTGGATGACTTAAGCCTAGTGTATACTTGCGCGGCGTGGCTTACGTTAGCGGTTGCGGTGGACCTACGTAAGCACAATTGATGTTATACTGGCGCGTTCCCCTTAAGGAGTTTTCACACAGGAGCGGTCCCATTTACGCTGCTACTTTGTCCTCTTCAGAACAACAATAGCAAACAAAGCTGTTTGAGCTCATTACACGTGTTTCTACTGTAGGTTTATGTGATAGTTTTATGGATTCATTATTTTATAAGTCATTTCAACTGTGATGTTGTGAATAAAGACACAGTTCTTGTTGGAAACATAGTTATTATTAAATAGTTTTCAGTACAAACAGCAAAACAATAATAGTGGTAAATATCTGAGACAAACATGAACGATTTACGAGTGCAGGAGGAAAGCAACAAACGCAGCTACGATTCAAACAAGACAGGAACAGTGCAAAACAAACGACTGCACAGTTTATAAGCTATATATATGTTAGATAGTCCACAGTCTCCTGTATATCAGGCTCTGAGCCCAAACTGCTTTTCCTTCGAAGCACAAAGCTCTCTGCTCCATAGTGCCTCGTCCATGTCCCTGCTGCAGCCGCTTCATGCTTCCTTCCAATACACACACACGGACCAATCACAGCGGAGATTCCTTGCGGCGACCCTTACGTAGTTAGAAAATTTCTATGCTGCGCGGCAGGCGACGCAAGGGCCTTGCGGTGACCAACGCGTTGCGCAAGTGACGTCACGTCACCTCCGTAAGCTCCGCGCCGCGCGAGTATAAACTAGGCTTTATACTTCTTAACCCTAAGACAAAAGTGATCCTACTCTGTCCTAAGCGTCCACGCGACTCCATTACTAAACCAGATAATCCCCCTCGACAATGTCAGCGTAGTACCCAGCAAAACACTGAGGAATCTTGGAGTCGTATTTGATGAAGAACTGTGACAAAGAAGAAAACAAGAGATGACAATATGAAGCTACTCTCACTCTCGCCAGATCCTTTTTCGTTTTGCCGTACTCCACCAGAGGCGTTTCACTGTGCTCCACTCAAGCATCTGGGATCAAGGGCAATGCAAACTCCTTCAAGATAGTAAACAATGAGTTTATCAGGATGGCCAGGCGCGATGAACTACGGGATCAATAAAGTATCTATCTAAAAAAATGATAAAATAGTGCCCCCTACAGATAAAGTCTGTATATATTGCGCTAAGGGAGGGTTTGAGGTCAAGTTTGACTTAGAGCCACAACATTCCGTAAACAATTTTGTCGGAGATATTTCATTTTTTCAAAATGTTTTATAGTTTGCACATAGTTCTGTTTTGTTATTCTAATTCAAAAAGTAAATGAGACCCATGCCTTATTTTTTACCCTGTTGCCATGGCAATGACAAACACACAAATTGACCTCCTGGCCTTAAATGTTGATATAAGTTATTTTATGAATTCTAATATTAGGGGTAAGTCCCGCCTTCCCTTCTCTCTTAGCTATAGCTCAAAATCCACGATGCTGTCCAGTTTAACCAATCAAGTGCCAAGGGCTGTCAAGGGCTGTTGTCTGTTTTCATGGAGCCTCCGAATCAAGCCTCTAAAGCAGGGGTGCTCACACTTTTTCAGCATCCGAGCTACTTATAAAATGATCAAGTCAAAATGATCTACCTATTACAAAAATGCAAAACATCTATTTATTTCTAAATATATTGAGGATTCTTTATATCTACAATATATGTTGATGTACATGCAAAACCCCTTCGCATTTAAGCACCGCCTCTGGTGGTCATTCAGGATTCATAGAACCGTAGTTACATTTGTAACTTTTGTTCTGTAGCGGCACTTACAGTCATAGTAGAAACTCAGGGTGAAGACGTTATTATAGATCCATGGTGAAGACATATGTTTACAAGCATTGACCCCAGTCCTCAGCCCTGGTTTGATCCTGGTTTAGCTCCTGTTTTATTTGTTTTGGAGCCTGAGTCCCTGTGATCACTTTGCTGCTCTCTGATGTGGAGCGAGGATCGCTGCTGTGAACCGCTGCAGTAGTGAACAGTTTTAAGGCAGTATGACCCATGCTTCAGTGATCAGAGGTCGCACGTTTTGTTTGTTGTTGTTGTTTTGGGAGCATACTGTGGCATGCAAAAACGCAAAACTCCGGTTATCTCTGTCCACACGCAAATGCATAAACAGATTTTTTTTTTGTATGTAATGCGATCTTACAATACTACCTTTGCGATCGACTGGTAGATCGCGATCGACGTATTGAGCACCCCTGCTCTAAGGCTCTGAAACTACATGAAAACTGAACAAAGAATTCTGAACATCCGCACTGAGTTACCCATTTATATACTGAACCTATATCCATAATCAGATCCTCTGCAGGTGTGTCCTATAATGTTCAATTCATGATAATAGCTACTCGCTTTTTTTGTGCATTAAAACATTATTTTTGTCATGAAAACTTTAACACACTGGAGACTGTATGAATATGGACCATAGACTGCAAATATTAACGAACGTAATCACGCCTGTCTTTGTTGTAAAAACTAATAGGCCACCACGTCTGTGGCCTTTTTCAAAATGCCCGCACAGAACAAGGTGAAAAAAACGCAATTACGCAAGCAAACAGGAGTCTGTTACCTGTGATAAGGTTTAAAAGACAGAGATGGTACATTACCCTGTGTGCCAAGGATCTCCATGTGCAGGTGAGCCAGGCCGCTGGCAGCAGACAGCGCCAGGCGAACCATGCCCTCGGTGCTGACGCAGTAACGGTTCAAGTAATCAAATAGAGAGCCATGTTCATGGTAATCTGACACCAGCCACAGCTGCGTCCAGGTACCGTTATCTGAGGAAAGAGACCTGGTGTCATAGAGAGACCAGAGGGAGAGACCAGAGGGAGAGACCAGAGGGAGAGACCAGAGGGAGAGACCAGAGAGAGAGTGTATACAGTAGATGTGCACCTTTGTTGTCGGCAGCAATGAAGCCCAGGATATTCTCGTGTCGCAGCATGATGGTCTGGTAGATCTCTGCTTCCCTGAACCAGGATCTTTCTTCTCGGGACGAGAAGATCTTAACAGCAACATCTCCTCCTCTCCAGCGGCCGCGCCACACCTCCCCAAACCGACCTTTACCTATGATCTCCTGAAGGACAATGGTGCGAGCCACAGTCCTCTGTACGAACAGAGGCAGCCCTGAGGACGAACAACAGACACACAGCAGGTCAAACACACAATACCAGAAAGAGAGACCGAAGAGAGTAAACACAGAGCACCAGAGACTAGAGAGAGAGATACCAGAGAGAGACTGGCCAGCCAGAGAGACCAGAGAGAGAGACCAGAGAAAGACTGGCCAGCCAGAGAGACCAGAGAGAGACCAGAGAGAGAGACCAGAGAGAGAGAGACCAGAGAGAGAGAGACCAGAGAAAGACTGGCCAGCCAGAGAGACCAGAGAGAGACCAGAGAGAGAGAGACCAGAGAGAGAGAGACCAGAGAGAGAGAGACCAGAGAGAGAGACCAGAGAGAGAGACCAGAGAGAGAGACCAGAGAGAGAGACTAAACAAATGCACTCCAGACCTGATCCGGACCCAGAAGTTGACAGGTCATAGATGAGGTCCTGGAGGGTGGAGTCTTTGGGCAGGTACAGGTGCTCACAGGAGGGGTCCTCCACCTGCAGCCGCTGCCGCTGATGGTAGGCGCGATGCTGGTACTGGTAAAGACACACCGCTAGCAGCACCAGCAAGCACACCATCAAAAGAGGACCAGCAACCACCGCCACCAGCTGCACCAGAACCCAGCGGCCTCCAGGGCCATAGCCTCCAACCAGGGCAGGGTCAGAGGTCACTGAGGCGAGAGAGAGAGAGAGGTTCAGAGGTCATTGAGAGGCAGAGAGCAGGGTCAGAGGTCAGAGCAGTTAGAGAGACCAGTGAGAGAGACCAGAAAGAGGCCAGAGAGAGACCAAAGAGAGATAAGAGAGCGAGGCCAGAGAGAAAAACAAGAGAGAGAGACCTCTCTCTGGTTGACCGTAGTATTGTTCAGACACTCTATAGGGCACTGTCCGGTTTCCGAAACGTGCTAAAAATAGCTCAGATGACTGCGCATGCGTGCATGTTTCGGACAAACATTGTACGACTCCGTTGAGTACTACTGTGTTCTCCACATACGCGTGTGTATTTATTTGGGCTAAATCATTGAATCATGGTGACAACAAAACACTGCAGTTCTGGTGCTTGTCGGAGCGATTTCAGATACTCTTAAAAGGACTATATGAAAGTAACATTCAACACGTTCGTTAAACCACACCATCCGACCAGACCAGGACCAGACCAGGACAAGTGCAAGAGGTGGGTGCTTGTGATCGGCAGAATTTCTCTCATGAAACAGTTTTAAAAAGGACACATGTTTTTTCAAAGCACGTCGCTGGACCAACTGTGGAGCATCCAGATCCAGTCCTAGCTAAGTTTAGCTGGGACTGGATCTGGATCTGGACCGCTGTATCAAGTCCGTCTGAGCTCTTCTGAATGTAGTTAGCACAAACTCTCTCTTTATACCATTTACCCCCATCAATCCATATTAGTATTGTTTGTCCTAATCCAGAATCTATACAATTCTCACACCTTTTTTTCAACTGTGTGACTTTTTTTCAACTTCGTGACTATCGGAAAATAAGTACAGACGAAGCGCGTCGGGGTCCGCTTATTATACGGCTTTGTACCAACTGAACACACAAAATTAACTTTAGTCACTTTTATGAATGCCAAAAGGTTTATTTAATGACTGCAAAGAAAATAGTTCCCAAAGGTTTTCCCGTGGCAGGCGAGTAACAGTGAGGCTAGCTAACCTACTTCAAAAAGCGGTCGCTTTAGTCGCATTAAAAAAGTATTTTTGTCATGAAAACCTTAACAGATCATTCTGAAAACCTCCGTGCACTTGTGTTATGAATGTATGTATAATATATTCTCCCATTAACATTTAAATGTGTCGATTGATTGTCATTTGTGACCCCATGGATCTATTATAATATCGGCGGACAGACTAGTGGACAGCGCAAAAACAACTTGATAAATGAAAGTTAAAGGACAACTCACCCTCAAATCCACTTTTTTTTTGCTGATAAACGATTTAAATGAGTGTCCAATAGTGTTGTCTACATATCCTGGTCATAATTTTGTCACTTTGGTGCAAATTAGTTGAAAGTTAAACTTTCTGCCTAAAATCGTCTGTGAGGCGCCATCTGCTGGCGACCTGTATTACTACATTTGAATTTTGAATCTGGCGCCAACACTGGCGCGGCAGCAAGACCTGACGTCTCAAGCAAGACCTGACGTCAGCAGCCCCCCGCCCAGAGCAATGTAAACGGCCCAGTCTCGTTCACGCCCCCTTTAGTCCTCGAGGCTACGCCCATTTAGAGGAAGATTTGAACAGGAAATGTGAGTGACGTAAGCTCCGAGGAGCGGGGGTGAGAACCACTTTAATCACAGCAAAATAAACAAAGAAGGCGCTAGCATTGCAATTTAAATGGCAGGATAATGTTAGCATAATCCTCACCATTACCTTTTTATCAATTAAAACGTTCTACCAGTTACTGGAAGACCACGACATTCAAGCCAACATTTTAATTGGTCTACACTATGCGAGGATGCGAAGAGTACCTTTAAAAGACTCAGTGGGCGAATTGTACTGTATATAAGCACTTTAACGCAAGAAGATCAGAGGAGATATAAAGACAAGCTAAAAAAATAAGCAAGACCGAACTGAGCAAATTCTAAGCCCATATGAGACCTGGGATGACGACAAACATTGGTCAGACTCGACCAGATTTATTCTTACTTCATTGAAAACTTGGGACCCTTCACGCAAGAAGCGTCTGGTGAAAAGACATTTCTTGTGTTTTTCAACGTGGTAAAGTAGGGCTGGGCGATAAAACGATAACGATATATATCGCTATAGACACGTGTTTGCTATCAATAGAACATGGGGTAGATAGAATGGTCGATTGTTTAACTTCACTCCAAAAAAAAAAAAAAAACAGGACGAAAAACAGGAAGTAAAGCCGAGTCAGAAGCGTGCAGCATTCTGGGGGACGTAGGCAGAGGCTTCTCGACCCATCACAGCCGAGCATGAACCGCAAGGCATTCTGGGACAAACAACAACCAGACTAGCGGGGCTTTCAGACCGCCAACGCTGAAACGCGGTAGCCCCGCTCACCAGACGCGCATTCTCTAGTTTTCAGACGCAGAGGACTTCACACCAGAACGTCCTGACGCGAGCCGGAAGTACCAGAAGTAGCCGGCCGGCTCTAATGCTAACAGAGCTATGCTAGCGGCTTCTTGTGTACAGATCTTCTCCAATATGCAGCTTTGCAGCGTGTCTTTGCTCACAGACATTCCACGGGCTTTATATAACAGTAGTATGTGTTCACGGAGGTGCGCCATACGTGTTTTCATATTATTAAACGGTATTTCCGCATCGGCGAACACACTCAAAGCAGTTGCATAAGGTCCCGGGAGCATGACAACACATATTTTCATAAGCACAGAGTCCCCCATTGTCAACCCTGGTTTGAGTTCTGGTGAAGCCTGATGTGGGTCCTGTTTTGGCTGTTAGAGTATTTTCAGTCTGCTCGCTCAGTCTGCTAATGTCACCGTGACCACTTTGCTGCTCTCTGATTGGTTGTCGCACGAACGACCCAAGGAAAGGATGAGCAGAATCCATCTCCTGTGGGCGTTGATTTTTCGCTCCTGCTCCTCCCTTTTCACTTTCCCGCCAAGTCTGTGCGTCATTATTGAACAGTCCGTTCGTGCGTGCCGAGAGGTCCGTGCGTTGTGACGGTCGAACGCGCGCCACCATAGACTTTGCATTTAAACCCGACGCAACGCATGATCCGGTCTGAAAGCACCATAGGAGTGTGACGATAAATCGACATAACGATATATCGTGATTCTTTATTTTAAAAATTCATTTTTTTTTTATTAGTATCAATACTCAATATATGACTACATTACGCATCTCTATTCCATTTATCATGAAATAAAGTGTATTTTTTCACTTAACATTTTTCTTTTATTTATGTTTATGCCATAAATTGGCATATGGTATATTTCTGACCAATATCTCGATAATCGTCAAATCGTGATATAATTGTTATCGTGATATAATCGTTATCGTGAGCTTTGTATCGCGTATCGTATCTATAGGTACCCTGAGGTTCCCACCCCTTAACCAGACCATGCGTTGTGTCCGTGGATCCATTGTCGTCAAGTTTCACTGCAGTGAAAAACAGGAACTAAACCAGGACTACACCATGACTGACAATGGGGGACACTGTGCTTGTGAACATATGTCTCCATATGTTCTCATTCCCCGTGACAGTAAACAAGCGCTGCTAGCATGTTAGCCGACTCGACAAATGTATTAATTTAGGTTTAAAAAAATAAATTTAAAAAAAATCAATAATTATTGTCATTTACAGATATGAATCACTCATATCTTGACATAGTTTTCAGCCATATCGCCCAGCCCTCTGGTAAAGTGGCCCAGCTTTTTGGGGATAAGCAATCAAAATACCAATTTTGAAAAATTCATTATAAAATAATATAAACAAGTTTTGCGACTACTTTCAGAGTAACATTCACTTTTACAGTAGAAATTACAAGAAAATTGGGGTCAAAATTTGCAATATTTATCCAAAATGCATTTTTTTTTTAAATTCATCATCACAGAACAGTGTAGTTGCAAAATCCTTAAAAAAAATCTGTGTGAATTGTTCAAAATTACATTTTGGTTGCTCATCCCCTCGGCTTCCCTTTCTACGTTTACTGTCGGTAACAGCATAAAGGGGCAACTCGCTTTTAATGTGAGGGCACAGGGAGTACTACTGACATACTGTGTATGTCCATCCATCCATCCATTTTCTTTCCCTTAATCCATTTCTGGGTCGGGGGGATGGCAGTCAGAGCTGCACCCAGTCCACAGAGCACCAGCCCCTCACTGATCCTCCTGCAGGTGGTGAGTCCACAGGAGCTGAGATCTTTCAGCGGGGGCTTCAGGCAAAGTTGGGTTAAGTGTCTTGCCCAAGGACACAACGACAGCAGTCATCAGTGGGAGTCGTGAAGTAGGTCTTATGGTGGGCTCGAACCCACGACCTTCAGGCTCAAAGGCCAATGCTCGACCAACGGAGCCACTGTTGCCCAATATTGTGTATGTGTAATATATATATATATATATATATATATAAAATGTAGTACTCCCTCACCCGTGGGGACTGACAGGTTGATGCTGTTGCAGTAGTCAGAGTAGCAGCAGTGCGTGTGCATCAGGCCCACAGCGCTGAGGCAGAAGATGGGTTGTCCTGGTGGCACCAGCTTGTCCCTCGTGATGCAGTATCGCACCAGCTGCTCCTGTCCCTCCATTAGCGACGACGAAGCCACACACGCCCCGTCTGTCTCACAGCGGGACCCCTGCTTCAGACAGGGCGCTGTGGAGCAGTTACACCAAAGGCCTACGCATGCAGAGAAAGAGACAGAGACACACAGAGAGAGACACACACAGTAGAGAGCGAGACAGAAACACAAGGACAGTGTTTAGAGATATTATTTGGTGCAATATATTACATATTTTTCATTAAAGCCTTTTTACATATATTTCAAAACATCATTCAAACTATATTCAGAGTTTGAAGATCCACTATATTTGCAACACTGTTTCTGATTCAACACTTAAGTCACTTCCAAAGTTTCTGCTGGAACACTGCATCTTCGGCTTTTGTGGTGATTCTTACAAAAGCCCCTTCTATGAGAACCAGCACTGTCAATCAGAACAGTTAACCATGAACAACTTGAAACACATACAAACAGTGAAATGGCCTGAGAAGTCAAGTCTTTTTTTTTTTTTTTTACTTTGGAGTTATTCATGAAGATAAGTCGTAATGACTCACAGAACAATGAAAGGAGTCCAAAACACAGAGAAAGCACTGAAGTGTGGCTTTAGACCAAGACAGTGGCCAACTTCTTGAAATAAGAGTCAAGTTTTTTTCCATTGGCAAATCTTGTTTTAAGTCAGACTGCGCTCAGATTAATACACCACTACTCAAGCTTGACCTTTACGTCTATGGCTTGAAAGATGAGGGTAAATGCATCTCATTACAGTTTCTTTTGAGGAAAATATTATTTCTGAAAGTTGTAAAAAATCCCCACCAAGGTTTTCTACCAACATTTCTGTGGCTCTGACTCATTGTAACACCTGCATCATACAAGCTGCTATCAGTGAAGACGGAACAGTGCAGTTTCAAAACAGAAAACAAGACTCGACCACAGAAAATCAAAGGTTTCTCATTGTTAAGACAGTAGGAAATGTTTATTAGACTAAATCACTCTCTGCAGAACGTGTGCGAACTGAGGCATGACATTAAACTGGTTTCACAAGCAGTTATTAATATACCTGTCAGCTAATGATAAACACATTGCTGAAGAAATTAAAGTCTCTCTCTCTCTCATGGTTCAGAGGAATGTGGCTACACGGTATGATAATTGACCAAATTAAAACCATATGATTCCGATTTGCTGTGTCAAGGCAGAGCATTTTTTGTGGTCACTGAGTCTCATTATGACCACTGCTGTCAAGAAAGCGGATTGCTTAAGTCATTGATCAATTTCATTCAGAGATTTATTTCAGTAAAAAATATAAAATAAAATACAGTTTAGATGGACTGTAACAGGGCAGAGGATACATGAAACATTGAGGAAAACACTTTGCTTCCTAGTTATAGTTATGGTAAATAAGACTGTTTGAGAATGTGTTGTTGTTATTGAACACTGTACATCTCTATCCAGTCAGTATTAGAGTCATGTCAGGTCCTTCTGCTTCGTGACGTTTCCAATAATCAATAAGGATCCATAGCACAGTCTGGACAACACATGACAAACACGACCTGGTTTTAAAAGCAGCGATCAATTCATTCGTGGCTAGCTGCTCTCAAGCTAACAGTCTATGATGCTAACACAATGCTAGCTTCTAACTATAACATGCTAACTGTCTATGATGCTAACACGATGCTAGCAGCCTCGCAGCGGTGAAGTGTCAAATAAACACGTTTCTTACCATGGCAGGCTTCAAACTGGACTGTCTGTAGCACCAGCAGCACCACAAAGATCCTCAGGTTACCCATGGTCCAGGAGGTCCCCGAGCATCGCATAAATACTACAGATAAATACGGGTGAAGTTAGCCTGGGTGAGAGCTGAGGGTGTTGTGATAGAGGAGGCGTCTTCCAGAGAGGGACTGATACCAGCTCCGGCCGCTAGAGAGCAGCATTCTCCAGATTTACTTTTTTTTCTTCCAGTTTTATGGCAGCCTGCTACCATCGGGGGTGCACATGCTGCCACCTACTTACAGCTCGCATTTGACATTTAAGATGTTATGCAATAACGTGGAAGGAAAACCAACGCATTTCATTCACTCAGAAATGTTTTCATTCCTGTCAATGTGCGGAGTCCCATTTCATGAGATGTGGTAAGTTTGCTAACTCAAAGTAGTTAGCAAGGAGAACATGAAAATACAAATTTGCGGAATTATTGTGTTAAAAACCATTTACAATTTTAAGGCCCTGTTTCCCCCAGTCCTACCCTACTCTACTCTACTCTATCCTAATCTACCCTACCCTACCCTACTCTGCTCTGCTCTACTCTACTCTACTCTACTCTAGTCCCCCTTGATCGGGAGTTTCCATTGGTCCTGTAATGTTTAACCAGTACCAGGTCCCTCTATGGTTCTATCCAGGGCTGGATCTAAAGTGTTCTGACAGTGTTTGGCCAGTGTTGCTTGAAGCCATAGTTACCAAGAAATCTCCCTGGGTATTGTGAGTAAGTTTCTAGGATACGGTACCAGATACTAAAGCGTAATGGAAACACAACCAGGTAGAGTAGAGCACAATAGGGCCAAAATGATAGAGAGAGTAGAGTGCTTTCATCATGAATGGGTATACTTTATGTAAGAAGAAGTAGGGAGAGTGTTTATGGGAAGCCAAGTCGCTGTATAAAAAGTGTCCTGGAATTCTGCTAGTTTGGCATCAAAATGTTAAATACTGAAGAGACTGCTTAGCACGCTTGTGTCCAAAAGCACAGAACATACAAATATCTTGATTGTGATAAACTCAATAGAACTACTATAATTTAAATAAAATTAAAATTAAATAAATAAATGCCGAAAGAAAAAGAAAAACACACTGTTTTACACACATTGTATTGGCATTTATTTTCCGTACCATAAACATTAGCCCTGTTTCCACCAGCCCTATTGACCCTGTGTTTGAATGGTTTGATTCTCTGATTTGTGTTGGTTACGACAACTTTGTAAAGTCCTCAGAGATAACTACTGTTTTATTACAGGGCCATACAAAAATGTATTCAACTTAATTGACCTTACTCTACTTGGCTCTTCTCTACCAGCCCTGTCTAACCAGTACCAGGTCTTTAATCACTCCTTTTTCTGGTTCTTTCCAGGCCCTGATACTGGTTTGATATCAAAGCGTAATGGAAACATAACAAGGTAAAGTAGAGCTGATTAGAGATGGTGAAAACAGGACTTATGTTTTGTACAAGCATTCATCTGTCATTTTTCCATTTATATATACGAATAATCGTAATAATAATAATAATGGTACATACTAGAAATAATTACATTCAATTAATTCATTACTTCATTGACATTGATTCATTACACTGTGAGGTAGAGTTTGAACATTCTCATAAAGGTCAGAACCACCAGGTCCAGAGAAAGTGCTAGATGTGCTTTAAAGACTACTGTGTTTGCTAACGTCATTTTCTACACCTCCTGGTGGTGCAGAAGTTGTAGTTGTTTCTGGTGTCCTTCCTGCTGCCTCTACTTCTTGCTCTTCTTACTCTCCCTCTTCTTGGATTGTTCCTGTTTTACTTTCTCCTCAGCCTCCTTCTTTCTCTTCTCCTCTCTCTTCTTCTCTTGTCTCTCCTCCTTGTATTTCCAATCCGGCGGCTGCAGAAAGCTCTTGTCCTTCTTCTTCTTCTTCTTCTTCTTGGGGGTGTTCTCGGGGGGGCGGCTCACGCTGATGTTTGGAATACACCCAGATGGGAAGATGCTGTTTCTGCGGGCCATGCTCCGCGGGATGAACGCAGACGCCACTTTATCTCCTGCAATGGACAACATGCTCCCTCTGCGCTCCTCACTCACGCAGCACTGAGGAGAGATGGATTCTGCAGATGGAAGCGAGGACGTCATGTGTGCCGTGGAGCTGTCCGTGTGGCAGACGGTGACGGCTCCTAAGTCTTTCTCTGGGTGTTTCTGCAGCAAGTCTGGCACAGTGTAGCGCTTGATGCCGACCTGTGGCGGGCTGGAGGGACAGAGAGGGCGACACCCGGTGGTGATGAGAGGACTGTGCACACTGGTGGTGATTCTGACCATGTGGTCCATCACACCGTTGTCCTGCGGGTCTCGTGGGATCCTGAATCCAAACGTGTTCTTGAAGCTCTGTGTGAGTTTCTGTGTCCGACTCTTTTCACACATAGCTTTGGCCACTCTCTCCTTCAGGTCCGGCCACTCGGGGACAAAGCTCTCACACAACTGCTCAGCTTTGGGCCGAAGGGCGAGACGTCGAAACCGGTGCAGAGTCTCGTATCGAGCTGTTTTTAGAGCCCACTCTTGAGCACACTTTCCTCTGGCCGTGTCTGTGGCGTGAAGGTCGGCCCCTGGAACCAAACAGAAGGAGAGAAACCTTACTCCGATGTTTTACTCATAGTTCCGAATATATTATCATGAAGTGGCTGTTACGCATGATTTAGAGAGAGAGAGACCACAGAGAGAAAGTAACATCTCTAACTTTAGCATGATAAAAAAGAAGTATAATACAACCCATAGATAAACTCTATTCCTCTGCAGTGTGACGTAAGCTGATTATTAGTGACCTCTCTCATTTTTGGACTGAGGACGTTATCCCATCGTCACTCGCCGCAATAATCTGAGATTTACGCTTCAGAGCTGCTACAGATTAGAAAGTGCCTAGGCTATTTATGGCAGAGGCTAAAAGAAAACCACTTTACCTTTAACCACTACAGCCACAAACAACAGAAACCTTATAAACATACATACAACAAACCACGGACTGCATGCTGATGCCAACGCACTAGCTCTATGAAGCCCAACAGGGAAGTGGTCATGGACAAAGTTTTGCTCCAACCATGGATCTATTATAATAACTGGATAGGGTATTACTAGCTTGGAGCTGAAGGACCCATGTGCTCGGGGGATTCTCGCGGTACTGCAGACTAAACCAGACTAAATTCACGTGGGCTACCCAGAAATTTCCCCATAGAACTCAATGTAAACTAAAACAGGTCAACCTCAGCCGACAGACAACCTACAGCTTTCATAAGGGTCGGATTGTGTGGGGATTTTAGTGTCCCTTGTCATCCTAAACTTTTTTACTTCTTATATCCTTCAGTTTTCTTTAAATCCACACTTTAGTGCGCTCTGATCAGCAGCTCTGATTGGTCAGAGCGCGGCTGAGCCGTACATGAGAGCCACACACCCGTATTTGGCAAAACCATAGACTGTATATATTAACGGACGTAGTCACGCCTATCTCCGCCGTTCTAACTAATGGGCCAACAATTGGGCTCTCATGGAGTGATTCAAAAAGGCCGCGGGGGCTGGAAAATGTGAAAAAACGCATCTGCGCTTGCGTCAGCCGGCACGAGCCCCATTCATTTAAACGAGTGCCTTCAAAAATTCACAGAGACTAAACTAGACTGGTCCAAAAAATTCACTCCCGTCAGCATTGACACACATGTGGAACGGAGCTTTGGGCCAAGAGCCAACTTTTGGACCATACTGTAAAGGTGTTTTTGACAGGGTCTGCCAATGCTATATTTTAGCATTGACTAATTCTTATTCCGGGTCTACCCCCATCGGCCTGGGGTGGTATTGCAAGCATGTCAGCGCACGTCATTTTGGCCACTTTTGAGCCGGGACCCGCCCCCACTAGGCGCAACGCATCGTTTGTATGCGTTGTTTATATGTGATCCTGTCTTTGTAAATCAATATACAGTATGAGCCATATAAAGATTGACCCATCAGAGGCTCTCATTCGGGGGAAAACATGTTGCAACTAGAAACTTGCAATGGCTGAAGCCATTGCGATTGACTGCGGAACAGATCTAATGTGGAAATCTGCTAAAAAAAATCCTTGAAATCCTTTAAAAGGCCTTGAAACTGTTAAAATACTTGATAGATATTTGAAACTCCTGAAGTCCTTGAAATTGTTGAAACCTTTAAACTCCTGAAATCCTTGAAACTGTTGAAACATTGAAACTCCTGAAATCCTTGAAACTTTTTTTAAACCTGGAAACTGTTGAAAGTGTGGAAACTCCTGAAATCCTTGAACCTCCTGATATCCTTGAAACTGGTTAAATTCTTAAACAGTTGAAATCCTTGAAACTACTGAATGTATTGAAAGTGTCCTTGAAACTGAAAAATCCCCTCACCGCTGAAACAATTTGGTTCCTGTAACTAAGGAAACCTGGTCTGTGGTCATTATCTGGTGGTGGTCTGAGTCTTCGTTTGGGTCTTGGTCTGGTGGTATAATGCAACCTATTAGGTTGCATTATACTGGTTTACATGGAAAAATCCCTATTAGGTTGCATTATACTGGTTTACATGGAAAAATCCCTATTAGGTTGCATTATACTGGTTTACATGGAAAAATCCCTATTAAGTTGCATTATACTGGTTTACATGGAAAAATCTCTATTAAGTTGCATTATACTGGTTTACATGGAAAAATCCCTATTAGGTTGCATTATACTGGTTTACATGTACAAATCCCTATTAAGTTGCTTTATACTGGTTTACATGTAAAAACCCCTATTAGGTTACATTATAGTGGTTTACATGTAAAAATCCTTATTAAGTTGCATTATACTGGTTTACATGTAAAAACCCCTATTAAGTTCCATTATACTGGTTTACATGTAAAAACCCCTATTAAGTTCCATTATACTGGTTTACATGTAAAAACCCTATTAAGTTGCATTATACTGGTTTACATGGAAAAATCCCTATTAAGTTGCATAATACTGGTTTACATGGAAAAATCCCCATTAAGTTGCATTATACTGGTTTACATGAAAAAAACCCTATTAAGTTGCATTATACTGGTTTACAAGGAAAAATCCCTATTAAGTTGCATTATACTGGTTTACATGGAAAAATCCCTATTAAGTTGCATAATACTGGTTTACATGGAAAAATCCCCATTAAGTTGCATTATACTGGTTTACATGTAAAAAACCCTATTAAGTTGCATTATACTGGTTTACATGGAAAAATCCCTATTAAGTTGCATTGTACTGGTTTACATGGAAAAAACCCTATTAAGTTGCATTATACTGGTTTACATGGAAAAAACCCTATTAAGTTGCTTATACTGGTTTACATGGAAAAAACCCTATTAAGTTGCATTATACTGGTTTACATGTAAAAACCCCTATTAAGTTGCATTATACTGGTTTACATGGAAAAATCCCCATTAAGTTGCATTATACTGGTTTACATGAAAAAAAACCCTATTAAGTTGCATTATACTGGTTTACATGAAAAAACCCTATTAAGTTGCATTATACTGGTTTACATGGAAAAATCCCTATTAAGTTGCATAATACTGGTTTACATGGAAAAATCCCCATTAAGTTGCATTATACTGGTTTACATGTAAAAAACCCTATTAAGTTGCATTATACTGGTTTACATGGAAAAATCCCTATTAAGTTGCATTGTACTGGTTTACATGGAAAAAACCCTATTAAGTTGCATTATACTGGTTTACATGGAAAAAACCCTATTAAGTTGCATTATACTGGTTTACATGGAAAAAACCCTATTAAGTTGCATTATACTGGTTTACATGTAAAAACCCCTATTAAGTTGCATTATACTGGTTTACATGGAAAAATCCCCATTAAGTTGCATTATACTGGTTTACATGAAAAAAAACCCTATTAAGTTGCATTATACTGGTTTACATGAAAAAACCCTATTAAGTTGCATTATACTGGTTTACATGGAAAAATCCCTATTAAGTTGCATTATACTGGTTTACATGGAAAAATCCCTATTAGGTTGCATGATTACACTGAAGTCCTTGAAACTGCTGAAGTCCTTGAAACTGCTGAAGTCCTTGAAACTGCTGAAGTCCTTGAAACTGTTGAAGTCCTTGAAACTCTTGAAATCTTGAAACTGCTGAAATCCTTGAAACTGTTGAATCCTTGAAACTGTTGAATCATTGAAACTGTAGAAATGTCTGAAAGAGCTGAAGTCCTATTAAAATGCATGGGCCTATTAAAATGCATTGCAGAATTCTCAATGCAGATTTTTGTCCGATTGCGGAAAAACCGGAAATCGCTGAAGTCCCAAAAGTAATAGCAATAATCTCCCAAACATGTGGAACGTTTTGATGTATAACTTGTGGAAATTGTTGAAAATGTGAAAGCTGTGAAACGTGTCAAAAAAAATGACGGAATAAAGAAATACAAAACCAATGGTTGACTGCGGAAGGTTCCGCAGTCAATCAATGAAGGTGGCTATGGCAGCTTTCTTTAGTTTGTGTTTGGAAATTGGCTCCAGCTTATGTTCATATTGGCCTCCACTGCATTAAGGCTAACACTGTGGTACTGTCACTCTGTGGTGATATTACACTGTGGTGATGTCACACTGTGGTGATGTCACTCCTCACCCGCCATGAGCAGCGCCGCCACAATGTCGTCTCTGCCGCTGATCGTGGCTTTGATCAGAGCCGTGAAGCCGCGGACGTCTTTGATCTCAGTGTTCAGGCCTGGATAGTAGTTCAGGAGGTACATCACTGTGTTTGTGTGGCCTACAGGAAGAGGAGAGGGGAAATAGAGGGGGGGAGGTAGGAGGAGAGAGAGGAGGGAGGACAAGAGGAGGAGGAGTGAGGTGCAGAGTGGGGGAGGAGGAGGAGGGAGAGAGAGGGAGGAGGAGCGTTAAGTCCAAGACAGTGGAGAATTCAACTCACAAATAGTGAGAAATAACAAAAGACAAAAGGAGCAGGTCTCCAACAGAATCCAGATAAAGATCTAATACTGCAGAAGACGTGTGAGAATATACACAACTGTCTTCAACTGAAATATGATCATTAGTGCAAATTAACTAATTTTAGCTGCAAGAATCTGAAACACTGCCTCCCCATGTTTAGTCCGGACTCTGTGACCAGCAGGAGGCCAGTCCCTGTGCTCCTCAGAGTCCCAGCAGGAGGCCAGTCCCTGTGCTCCCCAGAGTTGGTTCATATGACACTAACACGTCACGGATGTGGAGAGACTTGTAACAGTACAATGTTCATAATAAATGTATATAGAGCATGAGATGCAGTTGGCTGGATGATGACTGACCTGCCTGGGAGGCGATCATGAGAGCTGTATTTCCATCTTTGTCCTGGAGGTTGACGTTGAGGAAGGGGCAGCCGTGAAGACCGTGGACGATGTTGATGAAGCCTTTACAGCACGCCACCATCAGACCGCTCTGCAGGAGGAAGCGCAGTGTGAGCTCAGAGTATGAAATTATCTTTATCGTCTGTTTCTATGGAGGCGACGGTCTTTTTGGCCTGAAGGTTGTGGGTTCGAACCCACCATGAGACCTACTTCCCTAACCCTAACCGCACCAGCGACATTATAAAATAAAGTACAAAGAAGCTCTTGTGGCGAGGAAGATCCTGGGTTCGAATCCTGGACGGAACATGCCTTTCTGAGTGGTGTTTGCATGTTCTTCCTGTGCCTGCTTAGGTTTACCCTACCGCTAAAAACAAGTACAATAGCAAATCCCGCAGTCCTGACCAAGAGCATCAACACCTGGAGATTGTTCTGACAGAGGCCCGAGTGACATCAGGACGGGTCAAATGCAGTTCCACACGAAGAACGATAATGTTATATTTGTAAAATTTGCAAAAGGTACTTTCTTTTGAATGTAGCTTGAGCGGTTTGTAATGTTAGTCAATTTCAGCTTTAAGCCCAATGACATCCAACATGAATACAGCAATTATTTTGATAGTTTACTTAGTTTTTTGTATTGTTTGTTGAATTATGAGGCCATTAGTAGATCTACAGCCTCAATCCTGGGTCGACAGCCTCGGACCTAGGTCTGCAGCCTTCATTCTGGGTCTACAGCCTCAGTTCTGGATCTACAGCTTCAGTCCAAGGTCTACAGCCTCAGTCCTGGATCCACAGCCTCAGTCCTGGATCTACAGCCTTAGTCCTAGGTCTGCAGCCTTGATTCTGGGTCTACAGCCTCAGTCCTGAATCTACAGCTTCAGTCCTGGATTTACAGCCTCAGTCCTGGACTCACCCATCCATTGTTGTCCACCTCCATCACCTCCTCTGCAGTCACTCCTCGCTGCAGGAGTCTGAGCAGAGACAGAGGCTCATTCCGGGCGCAGGCCTGGTACAGCCGCGACGCCGGGGCTCCGTTCCTGTCGCTGAGGGGCCTCTCTGGCAGTACAGAGTCATCCGAGAGAACACTGTCTGAGTCTGAGGAGCCACTGACGGACTCCTCCTCCTCTGGAGCCGAGCCCAGGTGCGGGTCCTCTACTGAGCTCGCCATTTAACACCAGAAACACTACTCTGTCATCTCCGTCAACGATCTGTCACCTGCAGGTCAGCTTTGACATTCTCTGTTTGATCAGTAACCATGTGGCTGTATCTGCAAAACTCTCTAACTGTAACCTCTGTAGAATGGAACCACACTTAAACAATTAGGAACTCCTCAGGCACAAGAAAAAATAACCCTATCCCCATAAGAAAAACTCCATGAACATAAACAAAAATTGTAAGAAACAGAATTGAATTAAGCCAAGGGTCCAACCCGATAACTTCTTTTAAAAATTAAAAGATTGAAGAAAAAAGCTCCAGTTTCGGCACAGAAGATCCAACAGGATGAGAAGGAAATGTGGTGATGTTATTCCTCTGCTGGTGTCTGTGGAGCAGAACAGCGTCCTGGTCCTGGAGCTTACTGGTCACCTGTGCGTTGTCGGGACTTTGTTGACTTAATGGGATCACGGGCCAAAAGCCGCATTGGAGCCACAGGAAGTCTAAAAGCAGAACCCTCAGAATAAACCTCACATGTGTCTGGGGCTCACTCACTGTTTCCATGGATCAAAATGTTTCCAATCTATTGGTATTTGTACATTGGGAATCACAGTCGTCTCTGAGGACTGTAGACGATAATTATGGATTAGAAAATACAACATTCACAACGATTTGTCAGAAAACAAAGACATTGGTTTCACAGGAAGTGACTCCATCGGTGATTTAGACTATTCTTACACTTGTCAAACAGCATTAAAAACAGTTTGATTCTAGGATTAAGTGTAGACTATCAACTTTTTTTTACTTTCTTTTAATGAATCTGGTAAACAACTAAACCTTCTTTGAGGGAATCTCTCAGAATTGTATTGGTTTGAATGTGAGTAGTCAAAATTATGGGAGTTCAAGTGATGTTTTCAAAAAACTAAAAATCAAGGCTGAAAATTATTGTTTTTATTGTTGTGGAGTTTCCAAACCTGCAGACTGTATCAACCAACAGATACGATTCAAGGAGCCAAGGTACTTTGATGTTTGCAATTATATATATATATAAAGTGATAATTCAACACATACTCTCATGATTTATGTGTATGTTTATGTAATGATATGTGTGTAATAATTCTAAATGTAAAAACTTGCACTTCTTTTTCAGTATAATCCGATTAAACTTAAACCTTTAATTGGTTAAAATAAACAGAAACCAAGCCACATATTCCTATGCTGCAGTTCTCCCGTTGACCACTATAGAAAGGTGTCACTTGTATTGTACTCATTCCTCACATAAGATAAGAAAAACACCCTCCGTTATCGGTCTACAGCCCGAGTCCTGTGTCTACAGTACAGCCTCAGTCCTGGATCTACAGCTTCAGTCCTTGGTCTACAGCCTCAGTCCTAGGTCTACATCCTCAGTCTTGGATCTACAGCCTCATTCCTGGATCTACAGTCTCAGTCCTGGATCTTCAGCCTCAGCAATGAATCTACAGCCTCAGTCATGAATCTACAGCCTCAGTCATGAATCTACAGCATCAGTCCTGGATCTACAGCCTCAGTCATGAATCTGCAGCCTCAGTCATGAATCTACAGCCTCAGTCATGAATCTACAGCCTCAGTCCTGGATGTGAAGCCTCAGTTATGAATCTACAGCCTCTGTCCTGGATCTACAGCCTCAGTCCTGGATCTACAGCCTCAGTCATGAATCTACAGCCTCAGTCATGAATATACAGCCTCAGTCCTAGATCTACAGCGTGTGGAGGTTCTCTGTGTCTGTGGAGGTTCTTCCCTTTTGTCTTGGGGGTGACTGAGGAGGCGGAGTGTGAGGATTGAGGAGGAGTGAGCACAAAGGGACGGACCTTAAAGCGGAGAGAGAGGAGCAGGACGTGACTTGTGGCATTCATCACAGTACAGACGTGTGGAAACATCAGCAAGACGTGAGTCCTGTCGTATTTATTCTCTATTGTCTTCACATTCACTTTTATTCTGCCCTTATGCACTGGACTGTACTACAGGAGCTAAAGATGTTTCTTACTCTCAGCTTCTTCAGCTTCACTGGCACGGTTTGTTCCATATTTATTTTTTATTTTTTTACATTACACAAATATATGTTATTGTTTCTGATTGAGCTGAAGAGAGAGAAGAATAAAGTTGTGCTGTACTCAAATGGACAGTAGGTCATTTGTGTGTCTCTAGTTATAAGAAGAAAAAAACAATTCTAGACGTTTGCAGTGTTTTTCGTTGCCTCAGGATGACAGTTGGAAATAGCTGTGAAGTTAATACTGACTCATTTACAGTAATGTCGATGAATGTGTACTGTCCCTGTTCAAACAAACTAATAATAAACTTAAAATAAACAAATCCCAGGTCACATGTCCTCAGACAAGAACCCTCGGATGTTTAGTTCATCGTTGCTGTACATAATTATATGTATGAGTGTTTATACGTCAGTGGGGGCGGGTCCCGTCTCAAAAAACGTCGATGAGCATGTGCGCTGATTCACTTGCAATACCACTCTCGGCCGGTGGGGGTGTACCCAGAAAGAGAATTATCCAATGCTTTTGAATGGCGTCTTTTTTGCTTTATAAAACGGCTTTGCAGGTTGGTACAAAGTTGGTACAAAGTTGTCCAAAACTACATTCCAGATGTGTGTTAATGCTGAGGGGAGTATATATTTTTTGTATCGGTCTAGTTCAGCCAGTATGGACTTACTGTAAGAAGGCACTTGTTAAATGAATGGGGTTAGGCTAATGCATGCACAATTGCGTTCTTTCACATTTTCCTGCGGGAGGGGCTGCTCGTGGCCATTTTGAAAAAGCCCCATAGAATTGGTGGCACATTAGTTTTAATGGCAGCGATAGGGGTGACTTTGTTCGTTAATATCTACAGTCTATGATATATATACATACATAAACATATACATATGTGTGCATGTTATATTCTGACTGTTGGTGCTCATTGTTTGTGTTTTGTGTGTTCACTCTCCACTACCAAAAAAATAAACAACAATACCCCTGTGTCTAACGTAACGGTGAGGCTAATATGTGTATTTGTGCTTGTCAGAGTTGGACTCTTGTCAGAGCAGAAATTTTATGGACTTATTATTTTGATCCATCAAGTTTTAGTAGCTACTGGACACTTGAATAAGACATGGAAGCTAACGTGAATGAGTCATAGGAATGCAATATGACAATTTTAGCTGATTTTGATTATTTATATGATACTGTATATACTGTACATTTTTTAAATTCTAAACAATTGTAAACAGCTTTGAGACTCAGATCTGCAGTGAAAAGGCGGCATATAAATAAAGATTACTACTACTACTACTACTTACTAACATGATAAAAGTTTGTACATACTGAATTTCTCCTTCTATTTTCAGAATGTATTTTATTACCAAATACCAAGGTTACAGGGCTACCGTAAAACATACATAACCAACTTTTACCACTTATCAAGCACGCCAGTATTCATGACAACCTAATTTTGTAGTCCATGGCCTTTACAGTCTGTGAAAAACGCACACATCAGGAGCTTTCTCTGGCTTAGTAATATTCTTATTTTAAGTGGAAACTATTTTCAATGCCAATCTATTCTACAATGAGGAGAATTAAGCGTCTGTTATAGTGACAACAGTGGAGCCGGTCACTCTGGAATCAATAGAACCACGTCCAAGATGATAGTTCTGATTAATACTATAATAAATACAAATATGTAATAACACAAATGTTACTTCAAACAACATTTGAGGCGAGAAATGTGACCCTTTATTTTCATTTTGGTGATTTATTTTGCTGTAAATAAATACAAAGTTTGGACTTCAGCTCTAGGGGGAAGCTCCGCAGCAGTAAGCTAACAGTTAAGATTGTACAGCCTGCTTTTAGTTTTTAATGAGAACACCTTGGGTTGGGCATTTAAAAATATATTTAACAGTTCTTTTTCCCTGTTGTCTCCATTACTGCAACTGCATTCTTCACAAAAATACTGCATTGGAATACTACTATGAAAGTCAGCTAAGTGAAGAATGGGGACGAGCACATTCGTTACTATTTGGACATTTTCCTAAAAAAATACACCCCCTCAATCCATTTCTGGGTTAGGGGGGTGTCAGTCAGAGCTGCACCCAGTTCACATAGCACCAGCCCTCACTGATCCTCCTGCAGGTGGTGAGTCCACAGGAGCCTTGATTTTCTAGCGGGGGCTTCAGGCAAAGTGGCTCGAAGCCCCCGACCAAAGCACATGACCAATGCAAGGACTCCGCAACCCGCAACAACCCCTTACGCTACCATCCATGCACCCTCGGATTTTCCTAACTACGCAGCCGGCAGCGCACTGTAATTGGCCCGTGTGGGATTACTTTTTGGATGGAAGCATGGAACGGCTGCGGTAGGATATGGACGAGGCACTTCGGAGCATATTGCTTCGGTGGTTCGATGGAAAAGCAGTTTGGCTTGGCAAATGCATATCGATAATTGAATTGCGGGAGAAAGTATCGTATTAGTACCCCTAATTTATATACTGTAAAGGAGTTTATTTTACACTGTTCCTGTCGTTGTTTGAATCTGCATTTCTCCAGAGTTATCGTGTCTGCGTCTTGTTGCATTCATCTTGCACTTGTAATCTGAAACAGCTTAGTTCGCCATTGTTTTTATTATGAAGAGGAGAAAGTAGATAGCGGGACTGTGTCCCAGTCAATTTGTCTTATATACAGGTGTGTCTTATAGTCTTATAGAAAGTACTCTACTTCCTGAACGTTGTGTTTTTCTAACCTACTTCCTGTCTGCCTCAGGCTTCTGGCGATGAGCAGGAAATTAAGATGGATCTGAGGATTGGGAGAAAGTGGACGATCAGCAGCACTTTAGGTATTTATGTGTTTGTGTGTTTATGTGTTTACGACTGCACTAAAGGAACATGACAAAGACTCCAGCTGTTAATTCTGAGATAATCCTACATCTGCTTTTGACCTGGTTTTAAAGCCTCTAATTTACTCTTGTTTAAATCTTTTTGGTTCAGCTCTGACTGACATAGTGTGACATCAGCACATGACTGATATAGTGTGACATCAGCACAAGACTGACAAAGTGTGACATCACACACAAATACACTGAATGGAACTCACTGGAAATAGATTTTGATTATACTGTATGGACACAGAGACAGGCCAGACAACACTAGAACAGGAAGTAAACTAAAAGACAAGAGAAATTATGTCAAATAGCAAACAGAAATTCTCTGCTTATTCAGCTCCAGTCTCTACAGCTCTTTCCTCTGTCCTATGCTCTGTTCCTCTGTGCACTGTCCTCTGCTCTGTCCCTAGTTCTGTCCTCTTCCGTCTGTGCCTCACAGTAAAATACTAAATGTCCCAATAATCCATCGTTGTGGATTGCGACGCCTGGATTTATCCCACTCATCGTTCCTCTGTTTTAAAAGATTAACACTGGATTTAATCTTCACTGGCTTCAAAAGGCAGTTATAATATTACATATCGATTCAGGACTGAGGCTATAGATCCAGGACTGAGGCTATAGGTCCAGGACTGAGGCTATATATCCAGAACTGAGGCTATAGATCCAGGACTGAGGCTATATATCCAGAACTGAGGCTATAGATCCAGGACTGAGGCTATATATCCAGAACTGAGGCTATAGATCCAGGACTGTGGCTATAGATCCAGGACTGAGGCTGCAGATCCAGGACACAGATCCCGGACTGAGGCAGCTCTCCATGGTAAGAAGAAGAAAATAAAGTCCTCTATTTGTCCCACCATGGGGAAATTTTAGTTTGATACATACACATACAGGAATGCAGCAAACATTACTTGTTAGCAGATGTCAGTGGAGTTGGTGGTCTTGAGGTGGGCTCAAACCCACAACCTTCAGGCTGTCAGGCAGATGCTCTACCAACTGAGCAACTGTCATAACTGCATAAGAATGTTGTGCAGGACATTTAGCTTTGAGGAGACTAACCTTTTAACAACTATAAAAACAAAAACAACAGCAACAAATAGTGAAACATTGTTGGATAAAATACATTGAAAATGGTTTAGGATAGACCCTGTTTGTCCAAACCTTAGCTCCTCAGACTTCACGAGTCGAACACATGTAGATCTTAGAGGACCTTTGTTTTTTGTAGTAAGAGCACAGGAACACACACAGAAATGTCTCCACTTTGGGCGAATAAAGGAATATCTTATTTTATCTTATATATGTGTATAGATATATGTCTCTGCAGACCATATAACGTGGATTCTCTGAAATTGCAGTATTGCACATGATTGCATGTTGATGGTTTACAGATGAATGACATGTACAGACTCAGCAGTATTGTACAGTCTGACTGCAGTAGTAGCAAATACCAGCAGAGCCTCTCCTTCACACAGTGAGGGTGGAGCAGTCTTTCCCTTAAGCTGTGCTCCATTCACACCGCATTAGTGCTATACATGGAAAAAATATCAGTTTATACAAATATGTAAACATCCAAAGGGTCTAAGCTTTACAATGTGGTAACTGGTACCAGTACTGTACTGTACTGTGGAGCAGTAGTTGGCTGGATGACACTGTGGACGTCCCTCATTGGCTGCTCTGTGTCAGCGACACAAGTCCGGTACATGTTAATTTCCTATTGTTTTATCTGCATTTGTGATTCAGTCGCACAGAGTAAAGACAATACTGCAGGCTAATGCTGCTGCTGCTTGCTAGCTGCAGGCTATGGCAGTAGATTCAAACCTAGCGTAGCTGTGCCTAAGGGGGAAGATCCTTAGATGTTGTTGGTCTCCAGATGTGGCGAACAGCTGTGCTCTGATGTAATCCTAATCTGCTCTGAAACACTTCCCCATGTTTATGCTTCCCAAACTGGGGTACGGAGCCCTGTTAGACATGATGCAGGGTCTGAAGAAGGACTCACTTTTTTCATTTAAATCTTGGGTTTCTAGAGAGAGAGGAGAGCCTCTGCTCTCTCTTTGGTTTTCCCGTAGCCCTCAGTGTCCTCTGCAGCTGTTATTTACAGTGTATGGACAGCTTTTACGGCTGCAGTAGCTCAGACCTAGGACCAACAGGTTTGATATCTCTGCGATTGCACACATGATAATGTGACAATAGTTTGAAGTGCTAAAACGCGCTAAATGAAAGAGGGGCCAGATTGGACTGAGGCAGCAGATGCTAGCAGCAGTGTAGCAAGTTACTGCAGCTCCTCCCCCTTTCCCCGTCTCTCTACTGTAGCTTCATAATCTCCACTGTCCCACACACACACAGAGCCTCTTCTCTCTGGGGCCAACTCTCGCTCTGAAGAACTCTCAACAATGGGATTATAAACACATTTTTCTTCGGGAACGAGGATTATAATTTGGATTTGAACCATACGTGTTGGATTGGACCATGAGTTCAGTTTGTGTGTGTGTGGAGAGCTATAGTGTGATACCATGAGAAAAGTTCAGAAGAAGCGGAGAGACTGTAGCTGTGTCCATCTCTCCAGGAAACTGCTCGGCAAATGTGGTTGCTGCTCTGAACCAGAGACAGGTATTGGTTTGGGTTTGGATTAGAATTTGGATTAGTGCAAAAAGATTCAGATTCAGAAGGCAATTCATTTGCATCATAATCTCAAAGCATAACACACAGACTCTACTCAAACACACAGTGACTCAGGCTTCACAGTTCACGCAGCAGCAGGTTACAATATAATGTTTTGTTAAAAACAAAACAATACACAACACAACAATTCCCAAAAGTTTGTTTTCCGCACTGGAGCGTAAAAAGTACGCCTTGAGGGCATCGTTACAAAGTCAGAGATTAGAGGATGTTTGGGCTGAGCCAGAATAAACTTTGCTTTATTCAGCACATGTTCCTTCCACAAACAGTGAAGGTCTCTGAGTTTTTATCCAGTGATTTTGGAGCAAGTTTTCACAATACACTGTAACTTGATTCTGTCCTTCAGCGTAAGGCTTTGGAACCAACAGATAAAAGAAAATCTAAGAAGGCTTTTGATAAAAGAACAGAAAAAAAATAAGAATTGCCCTGTTTACATTAAAAGAGATACATTTCCTCAACAGGTACATTCCCAGCTGCGATCGTATTGATAGAATCAGTGTTTATGTCAAACTTCAGTTTGTTGTCTATCGTTGTCCCAAGATACTCTAAGTACGCAGTTTGTGCATTCTAGTAAATATCACAAACTGCGAACTTGCAGCATGACAGTCCCTCTCTGTTGTTGCTTTATTTCTATTCTAATAATGCATTGCCTTCACTCACTTTGTGCTGGTGTTACACAGTAGTCACAGCTGCCCTGGGGCAGTTACTCAAACTCCAGACTCTTGGAGGTGAAGTGGCTCTCCCGTGCGAGCCCGTGGCTTCATCAGACCAGAGAGCAGAGGACTGTTGTGGGTTATGAAGTCAATAATTCCCTTTGACTGACGTATCCAAAGTCGATGCAAGAGCGAGACAAGAGATCTTCACGTTTAACATCTGCATTTAATTATCTTTACAATCAGATACAGAATATTCAACAAAAAGTGCTCCTAAAACTATATATGTCCCTCTCTCCTTGCCCTCGGCTGACTGACTGCCAATCTCCTCCCAGCAGTTTCTATCAAAGGGTCCGATGACGTCACAGTCTGGGACTGGTCTGGCCCCTGGTCTGGACCCGGTCTTGGTCTTCCCTCTCCACCTGAGCAAACAATGCCCCCCACCACTGGGCGCCTGATTGTGTTGGACTTTTGCCCTCGTCCAGAGTGGGAGAGAGCATTTGTTTATTCTTGGAGTCAATAATTGTCCGGTTTTGTAAGCTGGTCATCTCTATGATTCCTGAGTGCATATTCCTTTGTCCTTGGGGCTTTTCCCCGTGCACCTTCTTCAGAGGGCCTATTTTCAAAATCATTAGTATACAACATTTTAATTATGCAACAGTTTCCCTCTTTTGACCTGATTAAAAATTTAGGTCACAATCCACATCGTCGTTTATCATCAATCCTTGTGCTTAGTTCCGGCTCGATATCTGTGAAGAGTTAATACAGAGAAAACAAACACACAACAAACCACATTCGAAACATTCCTTCACTAAACTCTTTGATGACCACTGCTGTCATTCTGATTCTTCTTCAACCTCGTCTGTAATGTATGCACTAAAACTATTCTAATCTATTTACAAATATGTTTGCTTATTTTGCTTTTATTGAGCCCTATTCTTAAACATATGTTTTTATCTAATAAATCTATCTATACTGTGGTTTGCTGTCATTATCAGTGGCTCTGTGCCATTTTGTGGGGCTTTGCTCATTTTTCCAAACACATTTTGTTGAACCAGGAAGTGCTGTCACTTCCTCCTCTCAGACCTTTTGGGATAAATGTACATCGTTAATCAAATTGGTATTATCCGTACAGGAGCTAATCTATTTTAGCAGGTTTCTCTGGGGTTAGTCCCTATACAACGGTATTTTGATTCTCTAATCTGTTGCTGACAAATCGACAGCTCTTAAAATTCTCAAAACTACCTAAAGATCTACTTTTGTGCTATACCCAAATTCACCAAAATGCTTTTAAATGTTTTTGAATCTCTGTTGGTTCTAATCTATCTCATTAATCTAAGCTACATTAATCTAGGCTACACTCATGAACTTTATCTACTTTTGAAGTAACTACTTTTGGACATAATATGAAGGAAATGGTCTTTTTACCGTTTGATATTAACCCTGTCTAAAAAATAATCTCTATTTTTTTTTTTTTTGAAAGCATCTATCTATTTTACACTCTATTGTGACTCCAAATCTTGGTTGTAGTTTGAGCCAAAGCATATTCCCAATTTTTGAGTTCTGATTGTAACAATTGCATTGGCAATAGATGATTTTTCATTGGCTGGTTCTTGTTCTGCCAATCACTATTCTATGTATTGTATTTCAGACAATTCCAAAAACAACACAGTCGTTCTCCAATATTAAAGACATGAATCTAAATCAAGTTGCCTGAAAGGGATTTTAACTATTTTAAAACGTTCTCTACGATTATAAGGCTATGCATTTAATTATTTAATAAACAAAAGCACATTCATGGCTTCTGTCCGCTGCTTATAACTGTTTAAAGACTTGTCCCAAACTTAATATGTGTAAATACATCAGCTGTTTGTAATAAACAATAACATTTAACCTGTTCTCCAATGGAGCAGCTCAGAGGCTGCGTCAAGAGCAATGTTATATTTGAGCTATTTTTAGATTTAAAATTGTGTTAAAGCCTGTCGTTCTGTGTCTGCATTTTAATACTACTCTCTATAAACACATCTGCACTAGATCCTACAGATGTGGAAAACAGAAACATCTAAAATCTGACTCCATTTGATTCCTTTTTACTTTAGTTATTAGAACAATTTGACCTTATTGATACTTATTTTCACAATAGAACTATTTTGATTATTCACTAGTCTAACTATTATTACTATTGTTTATTCTGACACTTCAACCTATAGCTCCTCGAATCCAATGACATTATAGCTCCAGACTATTTCATTCTATTCTATTATTATCTTATTATTATATGATCTATTATCTTAAAGAGTAGATCTGTTTGATGTTATAAGCGCTATTATTTCTCCTTTTGAATTTGCACAACACTAAATTTAGAATGACCCCCTATGGGACAAATATAGAATTTTATTTCATTTTGACAACTCCGAAAATTACTTAATAATTTTCCCATTTTGCTTTTTTAGGCTGCCCTTTCTATTGTTTATTTGTTCTTGTAAATATATGTTTTACACTTCTTTCTAATGATTTAGAAGGTTAAGGACCATGACCACCTATGACAATACAATACTCCCCTCTGTTGGTCGTGGTCCAAAGTATAAAACATGCATCTGTGTGTGTGTGTAGATTACTGTTCCAATCCTGTTGCTCCTCCCGGATCGTCCTCAATTCATATTGTGGGCTTTGGTGCCAAAGTAGAGGCTCATTTCCTTAATTCATACTACTGTCATCCCTGAAGCAGGTGCAGTTTATCTTTCATCTGAAAAACAAACATTAGAACACAAGAAACACCCACTTTCCTCTCTTCGCATGGTGCGGCCTGTCAATCAATCCAATTGGGCAAAACATAACTGCATTGACAGACGGTGTGTGGCATCAGGGCAGAGGCTGTAGCCAAATACAGACTTAACAATATGTATGTTTCTAATTTTATACTCCCCTAAATGTGAATTACAAACCAAAGTTGTCCTCCGCCCAATGATCGCTCACTGCGGTTGGACCGAATCACTGTCCGGACAAACAGCAGAGGGAGGGGCTCCCAGTACCTTCAGCAAGGTATTCATCTCAGAGTACTTTCTCAGAGTACTTTTCTCAGAGTACTCATCCCAGAGTACTCTCACTTTTACACCTGTTCAATAAAGCTTGTCATCTTTGAATCTCTAGTACTTACACCGTATGCTGTTGACAAAAAATAATTATTCCATGATCACATTAAAACATTACAGAACTTTTGTTATTCCATGATTCCGTTCAGCACTCCTCGTTCACTCCCCAACACACTCACAACACCCCACGTTAGTATTGGTCCAGTTTGTTAAGGTCAACGTAGTGTATTGGACATGACGCACAAACATATAACATACACAAACATATAACATACACAAACATATAACATACACAAACATATAACATACACAAACATATAACATACACAAGAGGCCTGTAATTTTAACTTTGTTATATTTTTCCATGTCCAATTACAATTGTCTCATGAGCTATTTTATAGTTGCAACTTTCAGAGCCTGCAGAACATGCAAAGCTTTGAGAGATTTTTCCTAAAAGGATCCATTTCAAACTTTAGTGTTTAAACCACGTGGTCTTTACTCGGGCTTGTCACAAACTGTGTCCCCTATATTTTTAATGAGCTCTTGTTACTAAAAAAAACTCATGCACGTGCAATAAATGTTTTTCCCTTTTTTTTTAAAGCCAGTTCGGATTCCTTAAAAATGTAAATTAGTTTCAAACTTTAATACTTCACCTTTGTTTCACGTTCATGTGGAGAAAAGACCATTATTTTATGTGTGTGTTGTTGTACTTGCACCAATCATGTCTCAGATAAACTGCCAACAGTTATATCAAAGACATAATTGTCCTAATTGTTTCTAATTTAGCTATTTGGAAGAGAAACATGTCATAAAAGATTTCAAAAAATGTCCCTACATCTTTGTTTTCAACCAATGAACCGTGTTGCATCTATGTGTTATCAGAAATGATCCAATATCACCTTTAGCCAAAATTCAGAAATGCTTTAAATCATTTTTCAAACTTTAATTGTCTGAACAAACCATTTTGTACTAAATGCAGCGTCCATTAAAAGCTGCAGTTCTCTTTCTAGCACCAGTTTCAACTGTGCATGTGACTGTTTTTAAATAATTAACGAGCCACGGTTCAAAGGTTGAAAACACTGCTTTAAATATCCGTATTACCAAGATCATGCAGTCAAAATCAATAATTCTAAACTTCTCCGCGTCTATAACTTTAAATAATACTAGTTTCAATAATAGAGCTCCTCTACCTTAAATATACTGCTGTTCTAATCTCCTTGTGTCTCATGCTAAAGCAAGAGTCTAATTAATTCTAACGATTGTCCTGTATTCTTTCATGCAGCTAAATGTGGTGTTATGAACGAATGACCTAGCTAAATGTGTAAATATGACTTAATATGTCTCTGTGCGTTTGTTGCCTGTCTGTATATTTACCTTCTGTGTGTCTCATTTAGGCCAGCCACGTCTCAAATGTCCGTTAATGTCTTTCTTTTACTCATGGCGTCTTTCAATGTCTTTTGTCTCAAAGTGTCCAATGTCTTTGTCTCAATGTCTTTTTCTTCTTCTTTAAACAATCACTTTCTTTCTTCTTCTTTCAATAATCACCTTCTTTCTTCTTCTTTCAATCACTTTCTTCTCCTTGCAATGTCTTTTTCTTTTCAATTATTTTCTTCTTCTTTCGACAACTTTTCTCATGTCTTTCTTTGTCTCATTTTTTGACGCACACCAGCGTGTGTCCTTCTTCTTCTTGTTAGGTTTACACAACGTTCTTCTCCGTGCACATAACTCCACTCGGTTTGTGCAAAAGTCTGGTTTTTCTCCATGAAATGAGGCTGGAGAGGTCTTCTTCGGAGGCTGGAGAGGTGAAACGTGATTAACAATTTAAACATTAAATTCTGAAAACCCAATTGCTAATTGAGAATGGGTTTAGGGCTTATGGGGGGGAAAGAGGTACTGTTGTTGGTCACATAAAAGTATGGAGTTGGTAAATCTAAGACATTCGAACGTTATATCACCAAAATGTAGGGGAAAAAAACTTGTCTAGACGCCTTTGGAGATAAAAAAAATAAAAAAAATGCGCCTATTTTATAATCTAACTCAAAGTTCTGTGATCCTATGACTCCATGTTTAGTAACATTATCGTGTGTATAAAATTGTAATTTTTCGACAAAAAATTCTTTCTTCACGAGAGAGAGAGAGAGAGAGAGAGAGAGAAGAGGAGGAGAGAGAGGAGAGAGAGTAGAGAGAGAGAGAGAGAGGAGAAGGGGAGAGAGAGAGAGAGAGAGAAGAAGAACGAGGGAGGGGAAGGGCTTCTCCTCGAACAAAGGAACACATGGATGATTGAAATACACCCCTTCTTTGCTACATTTTCCTCGTTTTTATCGTGATATGGGGGTTTAAATCAGTGGTAAAAGTTTTTCTCGACGTCAAACGACACTTTACTTTTATAATCCATAAATACTCAGTAATGGAAAACATTACCATTGGCTACATGATTAATGTATCGCAGAGTTCCAGCAGAATCTTTTTTTTTTTTTTCCCAGAATTCTCTGTAATCTGTCGAAACATTTACATCCCAATACAAGAGAAAAACTCCCAGACGGATCTTTGTCATTTCTTCACATGAAAACTCATAGTTACAGCCAAGTGGCTCCCTTTTACTCATTAAATCAGATCATTCTTATCAGAATCCACATTTAAATACTTGCTTTTTTCTGTTTAAAATGTACCCTTTTTTTTTTTCGCCCAACCGGGGGATATGGAAGTTTTTATATCCTATCACTTCTGACCCTAACTGCCCCTATCTCTCTAATCCATTTAGCTAAACTCTTGTGCCTCTTTTGCACCTTAAAGACGGTGTGCCTCTTTTGCACTCTAATCCTGTTGCTCTTTTCATCATCTGTATCTTGTTTTCTTTGGAGGGACCCCATGCTTCCCCAAGGTTAAAACGTCAAAAACCTGACTATTGTTTTCTAAGTCGCGTCCTGATCGAACGCGCCCCGTCACGGCCGGTCTCGTCTGGCCACGCTGCAATCTTGTCCGAGCCAAAAATCTCTCTCTCTTCTATTTTATAATCAATTGCAGATTTTTCCAAAACGGTGATCCCGCATACCTTAGAAGCGACCTTTTGAAGAGCAGAGAGAGTTTATCAAAACCCACAAATCCAGTCTCTATAACTGAGCTCATCTCTGACCCGCTCCTGCCCCGATCCCGAGTCGGGAAGATGGAATGACTCCCTCGGTTACTTCCGGCACTTCCAGATCTTGCTCCGTCAACAGCCTGAAGAAGTGGCTCTCCACCCCCATCCGGAAACTCAGTGCAGACACCCGGCCCGGGAGCCAGAAGGAGGAGTGGGTGAAGCAGGAGGAGAGGCAGAATGAGGAGGAGGAGCAGAGACTGTCACAGAGACATGAGCAGGCAGCCATCCTGTCTGCAGACACGGTGAGGAGGACTTCTGGTGAACCGTAAGTGACAATGGCCCTCATTTATGAAACTTGCGTACGGCCAAATCAGGGTGTAAATGAGGCGTACACAAAAAATGTACCCTTTTCGGCTTTCATCAATCTGCATGTGGGCGTACGGTACGCACAAGATAAACGCCAAGTCCCATCTCAACCTTCATTAGAATCAGAATCAGAATCATTTTTATTGCCAACGTAAGTAACAGGAGGTCACAGACTTGGAAATTGCTTTGGCTCAGTGCAACAGTCAAAAAGAGATAATAAAAATAAGAATAAAAAACACTTCTAAAGAATAAATTTAAAATAGAGTTACAGTTACTATTTACAATATACAAGTGCACATGGTGCACACAATGTAAGGTGACAGCAGTACAGTAAAGTAAAGTGACGTATGATGGGCAGTAAAGTGACTTTATAAAGGGCGGGGGGGACAGGTTAAGAAGTGTTCAAGAGTCCAACCGCAGAGGGGAAGAAACTGTTCTTGTGGCGGGAGGTTCTAGTCCTGATGGACCGCAGCCTCCTGCCTGAGGGGAGTGGTTGGAATAGTCCATGTGCAGGGTGAGAGGGGTCGGCTGTGATACGACCAGCCCGGCCTCGAGCTCGGGCGACGTACAGGTCCTGCAGCGATGGAAGGCTGCGGCCGATCACTTCCTCTGCAGAGCGCACAATGCGCTGTAGTCTCTGTTTGTCCCTGACTGTGGCTCCAGCGAACCACACGGTGATGGAGGAGGTGAGGATGGACTCGATGATGGCCGTGTAGAACTGCACCAACATCTGTGCAGGCAGCTTGGCTTTCCTGAGCTGCCGCAGGAAGTACATCCTCTGCTGGGCCTTCTTGATGAGGGAGCTGATGGTCGGCTCCCACTTGAGGTCCTGGGTGATGGTGGTGCCCAGGAAACGGAAGGACTCCACAGAGGTGATGGGGGAGTCCATCACGGAGGGTGGGGGCGGGGGGACAGTGCTCTTCCTGAAGTCCACAATCATCTCCACTGTCTTCTGGGCGTTCAGCTCCAGGTTGTTACCACTGCACCAGGACACCAGCCGGTCCACCTCCCTCCTGTAGGCGGACTCATCGTTGTTGGAGATGAGTCCAATGAGGGTGGTGTCGTCCGCGAACTTGATCAGCTTCACGGAGTCGTGGCTGGAGGTGCAGTGGTTGGTGTACAGGGAGAAGAGCAGGGGAGAAAGAACACAGCCCTGTGGGGCTCCTGTATTTATAATCCGAGAGTCCGAGACATTCTTCCCCAGACGCACTCGCTGCTTCCTGTCCGTCAGGAAGTCAGTGATCCACCTGCAGGTGGAATCGGGCACGTTGAGCTGGGAGAGCTTGTCCTGGAGCAGGGATGGCAGGATTGTGTTGAAGGCAGAGCTGAAGTCCACGAACAGGACCCTGGCGTAGGTCCCCGGGGAGTCCAGGTGCTGTAGGATGTGGTGGAGGGCCAGGTTAATGGCGTCGTCTACAGATCTGTTGGCTCTGTAGGCGAACTGCAGGGGGTCCAGGAGGGGGGAGGTGAGGGACTTGAGATGGGAGAGAACCAGGCGTTCAAATGACTTCATGACGACAGACGTAAGTGCTACAGGTCTGTAGTCATTGAGTCCTGTGATCCTGGGCTTCTTCGGGACGGGGACAATGATGGAGGATTTGAAGCAGGCCGGGACATGGCAGGACTGCAGAGAGGTGTTGAAAATGTCCGTGAACACAGGAGAAAGCTCACTGGCGCAGTGTCGCAGAGTGGCCGGAGACACGTGGTCCGGGCCAGGAGCTTTGCGGGGGTGCAGCCTTAAGAAGAGTTGTTTAATCTCTTTAGCGGCTATTGTTAGGCTGGGGGCAGGGCTGATGGGTGGGTCGTTAGAGTAGTGGGGGGGTGGGGGAGGGAGAGGTGTCAGGGGCAGCATCAAAGCGACTGAAAAATAAGTTCAGTTCGTCAGCTAGCTTGTGGTCATCAGCACAGGGGGGGGCTTTGGGTTTGTAGTTGGTGATCTCCCGTAGGCCCCTCCAGACAGAAGCAGTATCGTTGTTACCAAACTGCTCCTGTAGTCGTTCTCTGTGCCGGGACTTGGCTGCTTTCAGTTCTTTCCTGAACTGATATTTAGCTGCTTTGTAGCCGCTGCGGTCCCCCTCCCTGAAAGCAGACTCCTTTGCTTTCCTGAGCTGCCGGAGTTTAGCAGTGAACCAGGGTTTGTCGTTGTTATAGATGACCCTGGTCCTTGTTGGAATGATGCTATCCTCACAGAAGTGAATGTATGACGTCACAGTGTCCGTGTATTCATCCAAACTGTCTGTGGCAGCTCTGAAAAGGTCCCAGTCTGTAGATTCCATGCATGCGCGCAGCTCTTCCACAGCTTCATCAGACCACACTTTGGAGCTCCTCACTGCAGGTTTCGAGAGCTTTAGTCTCTGTCTGTAAGCAGGAACCAGATGTATCATGGAGTGATCTGAGAAGCCGAGGGCTGGCTTGGGAACAGCGCGAAAAGCTCCGCGCACGGTGGTGTAACAGTGATCCAGAGTGTTCTCCTCTCTGGTCGGGCATTTGATAAACTGTCTGTATTTGGGTAATTCCTGGCTCAAGTTTCCCTTATTAAAATCCCCCAGGATGATAATCAGAGAGTCCGGGTATAAACGTTCCATACACAGTACTTGCTCTGCGAGTGCGCGCTGAGCCTCGCGCGCGTCCGCGCCTGGCGGTATGTAAACAGAGGCAAGAATGAATGAAACAATTTCCCGCGGGGAGTAATATGGTTTACAATGAATGAAAAGATATTCCAGAGCAGGAGAGCAGTGCTTGGAGATCACTGTCACATCGTTACACCAGTTTGTATTGACGTAGAAACACAGCCCTCCGCCTCTGCTCTTCCCTGAGAGCGCACAATGGCGATCCGCGCGGAACAGCCCAAAGCCCTGCAGCTCCAGAGCGCAGTCCGGGATCCGCTCATTTAGCCAGGTCTCAGTGAAGCAGAGGACACAGGATGTGGCGAAGTCCTTGTTTCTTCTCATGAGCAGGCTGAGTTCGTCCATCTTATTGCCCAGTGAGCGTACGTTGGAGAGAAAAATGCCGGGGAGAGCCGTGCGCGCTCCTCTCCTCCTAAGACGCACGAGCAGGCCTCCGCGCTTTCCCCTTTTACGGGCCCACACTTTTTTGGCTAGAACATGGACTAAATCAGCTGCAGATGCCAAGAAAACAGGCAATAGGTCCATGGGAACGGTGGGTCGGATGTTCATAAGTTCCTCACGGGTGTAGGAACAGCCAGATGCACAGTTAAAAAGTAAAAACAAAAGAAAAAGAGAGCAGCAAAGAGCCATGTCGACCGTACGAGGCGCCATCTTGTATTATATATACAACACGCCAAAACACGCATGAAATTCCACATTTGGACAACAATAAACATATTCCCACTCTGGCAAAATTATAAGCTGCGTTTTCATTGAGCAACATATTTCGAAATTTGAATTTGCGCATCAGAAAGAGTCTAAAGGAAACATGCAAACTTCGAATAAATCACAGCTCATGATGAGGACCCTCTAATGTTTCTTCATTTTTAAATCTGACTTGTGTATTATTTTCATCTGTTTTTAAAATGTGAAGCGCTTTATGATCCTGGTATGTGAAAGGCGCTATACAAATACCCTTGACTTACTTTATGTGTGACCCATCTATTGCTTTGTAAATCACGGACACTTCTCAAACTCATATACGCATCTTTCTCTCTCACAGAGATCGCTCCATTGCATTCACAAGAAGATGCTTCACCCGGTTAATGATGAGAACCACCGCTAAGGCCAAGATATTGATATTAATTTATTCATTATTTATTATTTATTTATTTATTTATTTACTTAGTTCTAAATTTGTAGAGGGATGAGTGCTGCAGTGGGTCTAGACACTAGGGAAAAACGCGTATATATAACATAGCGTGTATTTCTTTTTAAGCAAACATGAATCAACTTCCAAACAGTCTTCCTCTGGCTGAATTCCATGCTGACCTGCCGTAAAAAAGGGGCGTGAAACAGGCGGTTTCTGAATATTTACAGGAGTGACTTTCATAAATACGCTAGTTTTCAACGAGGTGCGTACGCATGGATCTGAGCGGATCTCACACGTTCATAAATTCCACGTTGGATCTTGCGTATTTGGAATCTACACCAAAAATATACACCCTTTCCTGTGCAAGTTTCATAAGGGCCAGTGGGAACAGATATATTTGTCTTGCTTTTGTTCATTGAAGTGTGTGAGGATTTGTGTGTATAATCTAAAGTATAACCTAAACTTGTGAAGATCTGAGTTCTTCAGATGTTTTTTGTAATATGCAACTGTTTTACTGCAACATTGTATCATTGTGTGTATTTGGCTGCTTTTATGTAAAAATATATCAAATATATGATTATATAAGATGATGGAAAAATATATCAAGAGTGAACTAAGTATGCAGCTCTATCCCTTTAAAGTTATATCAGCTGCTTGAATAACATGTACGGCCCAGGAGCCTTTTGTGTCCGAGTTAAAGCTGGAGTAAAATTAGTGGGGGCTGGTCCCGGCTCAAAAATGTCCGAAATAAGAATTATTCAATGCTAATGAAGAGCATCTTCTTCCCCCTCGAAAATGTCTTTACAGGATGGTCCAAATGTTGGCTCTTTGCCTAAAGCTAGTGAGTGAGTCAGCAGATACTGACTCACAGGGCTCTTCCTTTACAAATACACAAATGATAACATGCTTTAAAATCAGATGACTTTTACTTTGGATCACAGTAAAGTTATGTACAGCAGCTTTAAACGTGACCTTAATCTAATATTCTCTGGTTTCACAGATGTTTAAAGATCTGAGTCCTGAAGCTTCTCCATCACAACAGAGTCCAAGCTGCATCAGAGACTTCCTTCAGGGACCAGACTCGGGACTAGACCCAGGACCAGACCCGGTAACACACTCGCTGGGTTCTCGTTCTTTGGGATTTAAACTCAGACCATGTGACATCTGAGATTCTGTATGAAGACTCAGCTCATGTGAGGTCTGACTTTTCTGACAATTTACCTTTATCCCTGTAGTTTCCGCTGTCAGGAGACGATGACCAAGAGCGCAAAAAGAACAAGGTCAAATAATAAACACCGCCTTCATTTTTGACCTAGAAAAACCTTGGATTAGGGAGCAGCGGGAACACGATGAGACCAGAGATAAATCCTGTGGATTACAGCAGATTCACATTAGACCTGTGCTTTAGGTGATGTCACACGACAGAGAGGGGCCTTTAGCAAATATAGGCTTCAAATGACTGCTGGTACTGAATATGGACTGGACGAACCTCGTGTGTGTGTGTGTGTGTGTGTGTGTGAGTGCATCTGTGTATGTAAGTGCCTTGCGAAAGTATTCGGCCCCCTTGAACCTTTCAACATTTCGCAACATTTCAGGCTTCAAACATAAAGATATAAAAATTATTTTTTTTGTCAAGAATCAACAACAAGTGGGACACAATCGTGAAGTGGAACGAAATTTATTGGATAACTTTTTTAACAAATAAAAAACTGAAAAGTGGGGCGTGCAATATTATTCGGCCCCCTTGCGCTAATACTTTGTAGCGCCACCTTTTGCTGCAATTACAGCTGCAAGTCGCTTGGGGTATGTCTCTATCAGTTTTGCACATCGAGAGACTAGAATTCTTGCCCATTCTTCCTTGCAAAACAGCTCAAGCTCAGTGAGGTTGGATGGAGAGCGTTTGTGAACAGCAGTCTTCAGCTCTTTCCACAGATTCTCGATTGGATTCAGGTCTGGACTTGGCCATTCTAACACCTGGATACGTCTATTTGTGAACCATTCCATTGTAGATTTGGCTTTATGTTTTGGATCATTGTCCTGTTGGAAGATAAATCTCCGTCCCAGTCTCAGGTCTTTTGCAGACTCCAACAGGTTTTCTTCCAGAATGGTCCTGTATTTGGCTCCATCCATCTTCCCATCAATTTTAGCCATCTTCCCTGTCCCTGCTGAAGAAAAGCAGGCCCAAACCATGATGCTGCCACCACCATGTTTGACAGTGGGGATGGTGTGTTCAGGGTGATGAGCTGTGTTGCTTTTACGCCAAACATATCGTTTTGCATTGTGGCCAAAAAAGTTCAATTTTGGTTTCATCTGACCAGAGCACCTTCTTCCACATGTTTGGTGTGTCTCCCAGGTGGCTTGTGGCAAACTTTAAACGATACTTTTTATGGATATCTTTGAGAAATGGCTTTCTCCTTGCCACTCTTCCATAAAGGCCAGATTTGTGCAGTGCACGACTGATTGTTGTCCTATGGACAGACTCTCCCACCTCAGCTGTAGTTATCTGCAGTTCATCCAGAGTGATCATGGGCCTCTTGGCTGCATCTCTGATCAGTCTTCTCCTTGTTTGAGATGAAAGTTTGGAGGGACGGCCGGGTCTTGGTAGATTTGCAGTGGTCTGATACTCCTTCCATTTCAATATAATTGCTTGCACAGTGCTCCTTGAGATGTTTAAAGCTTGGGAAATCTTTTTGTATCCAAATCCGGCTTTAAACTTCTCCACAACAGTATCTCGGACCTGCCTGGTGTGTTCCTTTGTCTACATGGTTCTCTCTGCGCTTTAAACAGAACCCTGCGACTATCAAAGAGCAGGTGCATTTATACGGAGACTTGATTACACACAGGTGCATTCTATTTATCATCATCAGTCATTTAGGACAACATTGGATCATTCAAAGATCCTCACTGAACTTCTGGAGTGAGTTTGCTGCACTGAAAGTAAAGGGGCCGAATAATATTGCACGCCCCACTTTTCAGTTTTTTATTTGTTAAAAAAGTTTAAATTATCCAATAAATTTCGTTCCACTTCACAATTGTGTTCCACTTGTTGTTGATTCATGACAAAAAATTAAAATTTTATATCTTTATGTTTGAAGCCTGAAATGTGGCGAAATGTTGAAAGGTTCAAGTACTACTTTCGCAAGGCACTGTACTGCAATTATTGAAATAATGAAATCCTGATAAAAGTAAAAGCTCTTTCTGTGTGACTCAGTTCCTTTGATTCCAGTCAAAGTTTTCAGAGTCAGAAGCAGCGGATGTTACTGATGTGACTAATGCATCCTTCCTCTCTTTGTTTCTATGGAACAGAGACAATTATTGCAGTTTTGTGTCGTTTCAGAGAAAGTTGTTTTGCATATGCTCACTGATCTGTAGGAGTCTGGTCCTGGACACGTCGTTACTGACCTTACTGCAGCTTGTAGAGACTGAACAGAACAAGTCCCAGGGACTCCACAGAACCAGATAGCTCCCCGAAGGATACAATACAGGATCCTGAGTCAATAAGATTCTGTGCAGTATCACAGTAGAATGTTTATGATGTGTGTTATGTTTCTGTTTATAACAGTCGCTCTCCAAAGGTTGGACCCCGTTCTTCTCTCTGTTCCAGAGTCTCCACAAACTGAGGATGGAGGATCCATCAAACCAGAGGTTGTCTCTTGCAGAAACAGAGGACAGAGAGGCAGAATACGACAAGAGCCTGTGAGTCACACACAAACATAAAATAAACACACACACACACAACTATAAAATTCACTCACTCATGTGTGTATGCATGTCTGTTGTGTGTGTTTTTGCAGATTTGTGCTGACGGAGCTGATCGACACAGAGAGACTCTATGTGGAAGACTTGGGACTTATAGTGGAGGTGTTAAACACGTGTTTTTAAAACTTTTTCAGAAACACACACACACACACACATACATACATACATAGGCACACAGACAAAATAAGATGTAACAAGATCTATTGTTTAAGATAATAGAATAATGATTTTATAATTAGGTGTTTGCTGATGTTTCTGTTGTACTTAAACAGTATGTGGCCAGAGTAAACAGTAACAATCGCAGCAGGTGACTCTTGTTTCTGGTGTCAAGGTAAACAATAGTAACAATCGCAGCAGGTGACACTCTCACCTCTCTCAGGGCTATATGACGGCGATGACGAGGCAGGGGATCCCAGAGGAGATGAAGGGCAAAGACAGAATCATCTTTGGAAACATCCATCAGATTTACGACTGGCACAAAGAGTGAGTTTGATCACCTTTGGTTTTCTCATGTTTCCCACTTCCGCTCTCACCATTGTTTGTTTTTCCTGCCCCACCCCCGCTGGTGGCTGTTTGCGCTGCGCTCCCCGCTGGTGGGTGTGTGCAGTTACTTCCTGGGAGAGCTGGAAAAGTGTGTGTGTGACCCGGACGCTCTGGCCAAGTTATTCATCAAACATGTGAGAAACAACTGTTTGGTTTTAGATTCTAGCTATCCTACTGAGGATCAGGATCAGGACTGGCCTTATAGCACCTCTGACATGGGAGATTTCAATGCACATCTCTCGCTGGCATTTCTTGGTGTAGAAATAATTCCATATTCACTGAACTTTCAGGATCTACACAGCCAATGGATAAATCAAAAGAATATTTCTAACTAGTTGACACATAGACATCTAGTCTGGGTGCTCCTCTCTCTGCTCTTGACTCTGACATTAGAAATATGGAACAAATGCAGAGCTCACCGTAACAATATTGAACAGAGAAATAGTTCTCTACAGTGCAGACTCAAAAGGTCTAAAGGTCAAATACCAGATTCATAAACGTCTTGTCCTGGTTCAAAACTGAAACCAAAAATAGCTTTTTTTTAAAAATCCAACATGAAGTCCACTCCACTGCATCAGTCTGAGGGAGAGCGTTTGTTTCAGTTGCTTCTCGTTGTTTAATCCTTTCATTCAGATTCAGATTATTTCCCATTTGCAGTAAAACCACATTGGAAGAACTGTGTGAGACCCCAGGGTGCCCCCAGCAGGAGGCAGCACCTGTAGTAGTCTGTGTCTGTTGCAGGAGAGGCGTCTGCACATGTACGTGGTTTACTGCCAGAACAAACCCAAGTCTGAACACATCGTGTCAGAGTTCGACTGCTTCTTCGAGGTAAAGACTCAACATCATCTTAATCACGTTCAGGCCTCAGAAGTATTCGTACAGCGCCATATAACCATAAAAACATGACATAAAGACGACTGTGAAGTGAAGGCAAAATTATTCTGATATAAATTCAAGCTAATCTGAAAAGAACTGTAAGACAATAAAACTAATACTTTCCAAAGTGAATGTCATCAGCTCATGTTTAAATCCAAATCTACTTTCTGTCGTTCAGGACCTGAGGCAGCAGCTTGGCCACCGGCTGCAGCTCAACGACCTCCTCATCAAACCAGTCCAGAGAATCATGAAATATCAACTTCTGCTCAAAGTAAGATCATCAACCACATGCTTCTAAACTCCTCTGTTCACTCATGATCACCAACTTCTTCTGTTGTCAGGACTTTCTCAAACACTACAGTAAGGCAGGAAGAAATGTGGAGGAGTTACAGGTCTGTGTCTTTTTATTTCACCATTGATCACTTTGAACACACTGGACAAAACTCAGGAATCATGGTCCTGAACCACAGATGGAAGACAGAGGAGCAGAGAAACATGAACCTCAGACGGAAGCTCTGTGTCTGTGACGTCCAATCAAACGTCTGTCTCCTTAAACTATGAAGCCCAGAACAGAGACTGATTATAGGAACATGTCATCACTTAAGTTCTGAAGCCAGACATTTCCAGTGGTCAGAAGGTCCAGCTCTTTTGCATTCTTGTCTAAGTCTGAGTTTCAGTAAAATTTATTTAGGTATCACGCTTTAAAGTGCTCAGTCCTCATGTGTTGCAAGTCACTGAAGCAACACTGATACTTCAAACCAAACACACACAAACAATCTTCAACAATATACAGAATCTGTCTCCACTCTATTTACCGAGTAAAGAGGCAAAGGCAAAACCTTAATTTTGATAAATCCAGTTCATTTACTCAGCCTCAGACCAAAAGACTCTGGAACAGAAAGTGGACGAAACAAAACAAAAGGAGGCTCCTCTTGTGTTTGCAGAGAGCTGTGGAAGTGACGTGTTTTGTGCCAAAACGCTGTAACGACATGATGAACGTGGGCCGTCTGCAGGGCTTCGAGGTGAGAAGGTTCTTCTGTCAGAACAAACCTGTGTCTGTGTTATGGAAATTCTATTGCCTCAAATGAATGAAACCGAGAGGAAACAAACTTGTCCTTTGGTGCAGTTTATTCACAGAAGTGATGAGTACAAAAATGACATTTCTGCGCAGAAAGGAGTCAAACAGATGCGGGATCTGGAGCGATGCCGCGTCTGTCTGTCCCCCCAACAAGCATGTCTTAAGATCTTATACTGGAGGTGTGTCAGACAGAACAATGCACATTCGTCACAAGAGAGATGAGTCATACGCAGCTGCAGACGGGAAAGTTTGGGAGAGATACATTAAGCGCAGAAAAGGACCTTCGAATTTGATAAGAAGGAACACGCTGTAAGAACATTTGAGATAGGCCCATGCAGGTGGTGGCGAAGGTTATGGGAAAGAGAACCGTGGACAAGCAGCCTTTGTGTTAATGTTTCAAACAGTGATGGGAAGCGGGTTTCAGACGCTGGGAAACAAGACGCATGTATCGACCTAAATGATTAGAATATCTTGTGCCGGGAATCTGGCCATAACAATCCACCCTTTGATTGTCTTAAATCAATCACACACATGCTATTAAGTACTAAAAATATATCAAGTACTAAAAATATAAGTAAAATATAAGTAAAATATAAGTAAAATATAAGTAAAATATAAGTAAAATATAAGTAAAATATAAGTAAACTATAAGTAAATAAAATATATCAAGTAAAATATAAGTAAAATATAAGTAAAATATAAGTAAACTATAAGTAAATGAAATATATCAAGTAAAATATAAGTAAAATATAAGTAAATAAAATATATCAAGTAAAATATAAGTAAAATATAAGAAACCCCGGAACATCAAAACTTTCACACCTAGTAGGTTTAAGAAAATCCGTCATAAAATGGGTTAGACATACAAACCAATTTACTCAAAATCATCAAATAACATCTCACTAAATGGATCACTGTCCTCATCAAGACAGTCAACATGCAGGTTAAGAGAAGTGTGTTGAACGAGTGTCGACGAGATCATACGTCGGATCAATGAACGGATCAAAGGAATGACACAACATGACAGCACTATTAGCAGTACTAATATTACTCCAAGTCCAGTACCTATTTGAACCAACCACGCTCGCCAGTCTGAAAACCATGAAGCATCTAGAACAAAATCACGGTTAACCGCATCGCGCAAAGTGGTTAGATTTCGAATACCCTGTGCAATGATCCCATCATCGGCACTGTTATCAGGAATATAAGTACAACAAGCGGTCTGATTAAGTAAAACACAAACACCTCCACTTGAGGCAACCAAATGATCCAAAACAATCCTGTTTTGTAAAGCAACGGCACGCAACGCATTTACTTCTACTCTGTTGGCCTCTAGAATAGTTACAGTTGAATTCACAAAACTTGAAAACCGATAATTCAAGGTTTCCATTCTAAGCATAACTTTCCCTATACCGACCTGGGGGAACAAGGAGAGAAGTACTTTTGTTGGCTTGGTCCACAGTTTGTGATCATCTGGAACGTCCGTCCCCCAAACTGCATCATGAGCAGCAAAATCGCGCTTACCTCGCGATCTAGGAATGGTAGAGATGATGTAAGAGTGATCTGAAGCTATCATCAGAGCACAACGACCTATCCAATTAAATGGTAGCTTCACATAGACATTGAAGCCACACAGCCACAAAACACCCTTCAGAGGATTAGTTCCTGTTGAGTCAGGAACCGTGAAGTATGGAGCACATGTACTACCCGGAGCGGCCTGAGAAGTGTTTAAACTTGAATTACCATGAAAAGAAGTACACGGGTTAGACACATTTAAACAAAATGACATAGGGATCCGTCCCATCTGTATAGGAGAATCTGTAATGGTCATGGATAGAGTGTAACATACAAATTTAGTACCAGGTCTGATATGTACCGGGCCAAAAATTGGATCTAATTCATCATTAAACCAATAATTGAAGAAATCAGAACTAACAGCCGGTTTGAGTGGGGGGAGACATTTACCTGTACGCTTTGTTACGGTCTCATTGAAATAACCAACAGAGACAGATGAATACAGAATCTTTGGAAAATGTGTAAATGCATCGACCATTGGTAGAGGTGTGATGTGTGGGTTTGATGACGCAATAGGCATATGAGTACAAATGTAACAATTTGAGCGATTTTGTGACTCTGCTAAGAATTTTGCATATTGATACCACAAATTAAGTGTGTATACACTGGTGTGATTCATTGACTGAGCCAAAACACGTGACCACGCAAAATCCATTTCGGCCACATCTTCCCTCTTCACACGTTTTGATGTAAATGAAGAGGTGTTAGAAGTGTAATTGACAACGACCTGTGTTTGATTGTTCTTTTTATTCTCCCGACCTTCAAACCATAACAGTGGAAACACAATGAGCAAGGAAATGAACATGAGCACACACAAAGTCTTTCTCATCCCGCAAAGGCCCTGCTGCCTGAATGGATGCCAAGGACCGCGCTCCCGGTGGTTGTGCATCCTGGACTTGGATTGTCACTTGTTGATCTTCTTGTGTTACCTATCTTCTGCTCATCTATGACCTAGGAGTGTAGTTACCAGCACTTTTCTCCTGATGCAGCTAACAATGTATTTCTAACAATGTTTTACGTTGGGAGGGGGGTAGTGTGTGTGTGAGACCCTCCTTTCGCGTTGGGAGGGGGTAAGATCCTCCTTATGCTTCCGTTGTACGCTCCGCAAGAAGAGCTGGGACTTGTTTGCAGTGCGATGCGTGGACCCAGGTCTGCCTCTCCTGGACTTTCACAGCGGTGTGAGTGACGAGGAGAACTTGGAATGGGCCAAGCCAGCGATGGTGATTCCAGCTCTTTGGCTTGAAGTTCCTTATCAGGACGAAGTCGCCGGGTTGGATAACGAAGGACTCTAACCTCCGACTAAGAGTAAACTTAGATTTAGACCGGACTCTAACCGTCTTCACAACGAAGGACTCTAACCTCCGACTAAGAGTAAACTTAGATTTAGACCGGACTCTAACCGTCTTCACAACGAAGGACTCTAACCTCCGACTAAGACTCGAACTTAGATTTTTTCCCAACAGCCTGGATTAGAATGAGCAGCACCGTCACCAGCTGGCAGCCAAACATGCACTGCACCCACAAGTGCCTCTCGGATTCACCACTGAAGCATAGAAAGTCAAATATTAAACAAGTTACCGTTTGTTTTCGTGTGAAAATCCCGAGAGGCGACGGTTGAAACTCAGCACGTCCGGTCAGTCCGCCCGTCCAGAGATATGGGAAAGCGACGAGATTGGTTTTGAATCCCGGGCGATCAGTCCCCCGAATCCGGACCCCTGCGTTTCAACGGTCAAGCCTTCGAGACCACTTCTGACACCAAATTGTTATGGAAATTCTATTGCCTCAAATGAATGAAACCGAGAGGAAACAAACTTGTCCTTTGGTGCAGTTTATTCACAGAAGTGATGAGTACAAAAATGACATTTCTGCGCAGAAAGGAGTCAAACAGATGCGGGATCTGGAGCGATGCCGCGTCTGTCTGTCCCCCCAACAAGCATGTCTTAAGATCTTATACTGGAGGTGTGTCAGACAGAACAATGCACATTCGTCACAAGAGAGATGAGTCATACGCAGCTGCAGACGGGAAAGTTTGGGAGAGATACATTAAGCGCAGAAAAGGACCTTCGAATTTGATAAGAAGGAACACGCTGTAAGAACATTTGAGATAGGCCCATGCAGGTGGTGGCGAAGGTTATGGGAAAGAGAACCGTGGACAAGCAGCCTTTGTGTTAATGTTTCAAACAGTGATGGGAAGCGGGTTTCAGACGCTGGGAAACAAGACGCATGTATCGACCTAAATGATTAGAATATCTTGTGCCGGGAATCTGGCCATAACAGTCTGTAAAATTCTGTGTGTGTGTGTGTCTGCTGTGTAAGATAAGATAAACCTTTATTAGTCTCACAGTGGAGAAATGTCAGTGTCATCGTTGCACATTACAGCAGAGAAAGAAAATAAGAGCACTCAGATTGCACACATCAAAGTCTATTATTTAAGATAATAGACAATAAATTTAAGATAAAATTAATAAAATAAAATAAGAAACTCTGGGCTATAATTGCACTTGGTTCGGAGTATTTACAGATCGCTATATTATACATTAGCAGCGGAGAATATGAGAATATGAATATGAGCAGAATAAACATCAGAAATAATATCAACAGGTAAAGTGACTTGAATGGGAGAATTATCAGATGGATATGAATAATACAGTAAGATATCAACAGGTAAAGTGACGGTGAAAGGCAGAATTATCAGATATGAAATAATACAGTAGTACTGATAACAGTAAATATCAGATATGTAGTACTGTAGTAGTACTGATAACAGGTAAAGTGACTAGTGACAAAGTTACTAGTGAATTATCAGAAACACTTGTGCAGACTCAGCAGTTCCTGTTACACATTCTCGTTGTACAGTCTGACAGCAGCAGGAAGGAAAGACTTGCGAAACCTCTCCTTCACACATCGAGGGTGAATTAGTCTGTCACTGAAGCTGCTCTCCAGAGCAGACAGAGTGTCCTGCAGGGGGTCCAGCATAGATGTTAGTTTGCTCAGGACCCTCCTGTCCCCCACCTGCTGCACTGTGTCCAGGGAACAGCCCAGGACTGAGCTGGACTTCCTGATGACCTGTGTGTTTGTGTGTCTGCTTCGGCTGTGTCTCTGAAGAACTAAATCAAGTACATAAAGAATGTTTGAGCTAAAAAATGCCTGAGAGAGTTTTAGGCTTAAGTCCAGACAGATCTTGCTTCTGATCTTGAGCATAACAGTGACATGTGTCTAAACATAACTATTTTACTGTTTCTCTCATGTAACGATGGAAACATGTTCTGTTTCATGTTCAAAACATAATTCTGTTGAAGTTCAAGTTAAGTATGATCCAAAAGTGTTCTAAACATGTGCATCAGTTCCTCTGAAGCAGTTTCAACGTTCTCTCAGTTTGAAACATCTGTAAACACTGAGGAAGCAGGAGGTTGTGAGCCTTGTATGTCACAGAGCAGTGTAAACATCAACTCTGATTCTCTGATCTGTGTTGGCGAAGTTCATCAATGTTCCTCTGAGATAACTACTGTTGTGATTTAGGGTGATACAAGAATAGACAAGATCATAGAGTGTCAAGATATTTAGTCTCTTCTTTCCTCTCTGTGTGCTCCTGCTGTTGTCAGGGGAAGATCACGGCTCAGGGGAAGCTCCTGCAGCAGGACACCTTCTCTGTGACCGAGGAGCAGCAGGGTCTGGTCCTCAGCCGCAGCCGAGAGCGACGCGTCTTTCTGTTCGAACAACTGGTCATCTTCAGTGAAGCCATTGACAAGAAGAAAGGCCTGTCTATAGGAGGGTACACCTTTAAGAACAGCATAAAGGTACCACAGAGACCAGAGACCAGGGACCCCAGACCAGAGACCAGAGATACCAGAGAGCAGAGAGAGCAGAGGGACCAGACAGACTAGAGAGCAGAGGGACCAGAGAGACCCGAGAGATAGAGATAGAGATAGAGGTAGACTTCTGCCTTCGTCAAAGGAGACAAGTGATGGGGGAGATCCGTCAGACTGACCCCGCCCCTCAGACTGACCTCGCCCCCTCAGACTGACCTTGCCCCCTCAGGCTGACCACGCCCCCTCAGACTGACCTTGCCCCCTCAGGCTGACCACGCCCCCTCCGGCTGATCACGCCCCCTCCGGCTGATCACGCCCCCTCAGACTCTGACAATGCAAAAATAGTAGGAACAGAAGAACATCAATACAAAACATGGATCTGAGAGAAGATTGAAATCAGGTAGCATGGGGCATGGACCATCCATCAACAGCTCAGTTGGTAGAGCATTGGCCTTTGAACCAGAGGGTCGTGGGTTTGAGCCCGACCTTCACCGTTGACTCCCACTGTCTGCTGTTGTTGTGTCCTTGGCAAGACACTTAACCTCTGGGAACACCAGCCACAGTGGGGCGACTGCGGCTGTAACGTGCCAAACTGCCGTTGTGTCCTAAGGCAAGACACTTTACCCCCATTGCCTAGAATGAGTCTGGTGTGTGTGTGAATGGTTGGTGGTGGTGGGAGGGGCCGATGGCACATACTGGTTGCCTCGCTTCTGTCAGTGTGTCCCAGGGCACCTGTGGGCACAGTAGTAGTTTATCGCCGCCGTTTATGGAGTGAAAGAATACTGACATGTAAAGCGTCTTTGAGTGTCCAAAAAAGCGCTATATAAAACCGATGCATTATTATTATTATTAACAAAGACGAGGGGCCTTCACCTTGGCTCACACTCGGGATTTGTTTGTCACCTCTGAACAAGCTCCTTGACTCTGACTGTGATCCTCTCTCTTGACAAGGTGACGTTTCTACCCTTTTCTACCCTTTTCTGCAAACTGCATTTGCAGTTTGCAGTTCAGCGGATTTTTTACTGCCAAAGCTCTTTGCTAGCAATGAACAGAGGATGTGTTTTTAAAAGTAAACACACAGTTAGCATCTGAGCTAAAGGCTCTTTGAGCAGTATTTAAGGCAAGGCAAGTTTATTTATATAGCACAATTCATACACAAGGCAATTCAAAGTGCTGAACAAAACAAGAAAGCATTAAAATCATAAATTATCACAGAACATTAAAAAGAAAGATAAAAATATAAAATCCCTCAGTTGTATGCACAGTTAAACAGAACTGTCTTTAACCTGGTTTTAAACATTGTCAGAGAGGAGGCCTGTCTCATTCTTCAGGAAGACTGTTCCAGATTTTAGCAGCATGAATCTGAAAAGCAGCCTCCCCATGTTTAGTTCTGACTCTGGGCACTAACAGGAGTCCAGTCCCTGTGCTCCTCAGAGTCCGGGCTGGTTCATATGGGACTAACATGTCACTAATATATTTTGGTGCGAGGCCATGGAGAGACTTGTACACAAGCAGAGCTGTTTTAAAGTCTATTCTCTGAGCCACAGGAAGCCAGTGCAGAGACCTGAGAACTGGACTAATGTGGTCGTACTTCCTGGTTCTAGTCAGGACTCGAGCTGCTGCTTTTTGAATGTACTGCAGCTGTTTTACAGCCTGTTTGGACAGACCTGTGAGCAGGCCATTGCAGTAGTCTAACCTACTGGAGACAAATGCATGGATAAGAATCTCCAGGTCTGCTTTAGACACTATGTTTTTGATCCTGGCAATGTTTTTTAGATGGTAAAAAGCTGCTGATGTTACTGATTTGATGTGGCTATTAAAATTTAAGTCTGAGTCCAGTATTACCCCTAGATTTCTGACCTTGTTTGAAGGTTTTAGGGAGAGAGACTGTAGGTGACAGATGACGCTCTCTCTTTGTTTCTTGGGACCAAAGACAATCATTTCAGTTGTATTTAAGACCTACAAATCCAGAGATATCATCTTCTGAAGCGCTGACAGGTCACCGAGGGCCCCACGCACCTGCAGCACAGTGGAGGCGTCACAAGAGGCGCTACAGCAGTCCCGGCCTCCGTTGTGGGCAATTTCTACAGAGGGACTGTAGAGAGCATCCTGACCAGCTCCATCACTGGGTGGCACGGCACCAGCACTGCCTCCTGCCGAAGGAGCCTCCAGCGCATAGTGAGAGCAGCAGAGAAGATCTTTGGAGCCCCTCTCCCCACCATTAAGGATATGTACTCCACCCGTCTCACCCGCAAAGCCGTCAGAATCACCAGGGACCCTACGCACCCATCACACAGGCTCTTCAGGGTAATGCCTTCAGGGAGGAGACTGCAGAATTTACGGAACAGTTCCAGTCGACTTAAAAACAGCCCTCCCTCCCACCCCTCTTCCCCCACCCCCCGCTCCACAATCAAGGATGAGAGAAATATAATTTCAAACCATTCACTTGGTTTGACAAATAAAAATCTTGAAATCTTGAAATCCTGGTGTTGTGCATGATAGTAATGAATAGTAAAAGCTTTGTAGTGTGCTTTTTAGACACATTTTCTACCCTTTAATCCATTTCTGGGTCAGGGGGGTGGCAATCAGAGATGCCACCCAAATCTCATAGCACCAGCCCCTCACTGACCCTCTGCAGGTGGGTGGCAGGTATATATATATATATATAATATAATGTGTGTGTTTCTGTGGTGATGATCCAGGACACTTTAACATTCTACAACATGTATGGACATTTTTCAATGTGTTCTATATTCTTCATGTGTTTTAACTGTTGATTCTCTGATCTGTGTTAGTTATTACAATGGTTTTGTTAAGTCCTCTGAGATAACTACTGTTGTGATTTATATCTTTGTGTGATTTATATCTTTGTGTATGTCTGTTTCTGCTGGGTCTTTGTGTGTGTGTCTGCTTCGGCTGTGTCTCTGAAGAACTAATTCGAGTACATAGAGAATGTTAGAGCTAAAAAATGCCTGAGAGTGTTTTAGGCTGAAGTCCAGACAGATCTTGCGTCTGATCTTGAACATAATAGTGACATGTGTCTAAACATAACTATTTTACTGTTTCTCTCATGTAACAATGGAAACATGTTTATATATATATATAAATTGTGTATATATATATATATATATATATATATATATATATATATATATATATATATATATATTATACAGTGCCTTGCGAAAGTATTCAGCCCCCTTGAACCTTTCAACGTTTCGCCACATTTCAGGCTTCAAACATAAAGATAAAAAATGTTAATTTTTTGTCATGAATCAACAACAAGTGGGACACAATTGTGAAGTGGAACAAAATTTATTGGATAATTTAAACTTTTTTAACAAATAAAAAACTGAAAAGTGGGGCGTGCAATATTATTTGGCCCCTTTACTTTCAGTGCAGCAAACTCACTCCAGAAGTTCAGTGAGGATCCATAAAGTGAAAAGTGTTGGCCATTAAAGTGAATAGGATCCATAAAGTGAAAAGTGTTGGCCATTAAAGTGAATAGGATCCATAAAGTGAAAAGTGTTGGCCATTAAAGTGAATAGGATCCATAAAGTGAAAAGTGTTGGCCATTAAAGTGAATAGGATCCATAAAGTGAAAAGTGTTGGCCATTAAAGTGAATAGGATCCATAAGTGAAGGCCATAAAGTGTATAGGATCCATAAGTGAAGGCCGTAAAAAGTGTAGGATCCATAAAGTGTAAAGGCCATAAAAAGTGTAGACTAAAATCTTCCTGAAAATGTGAGACAGGCTTCTCTCAGGCTGACAATGTTCAGATCCTGGCTAAAAACAACAACTGCGGGATTACTCTGTTAATTCCTGTATAATTCCCTCTATCTTGTTATGTTCAGCATTTTGAGTTGCCTTGTGTCTGAACTGTGCTATACACATAAACTTGCCTCTCCATGCCAGGTGGGAGGAGCCGTGCGCGAGGCCACAGGTTACACTGCCACCTACAGGCAGACCATCTCCATCGAGGCAGGGGAGGGGGAGGGGGACTGTCTGCACATGAGGAGGGGGTATCACCACGTCATTCAGGGGTTCCCCAACTGCGTGGTCACAGACGGCGTCATCAACTTCTTTTTGGCTCGAACAGAGAAAGTTCAACAGGTCGGGTTTGATCCCAGATTGGCCCGGGTCGCACACTTAGGTGAGTCTGGTCTATGGTCTCTCTCTTTGGTGTCTCTCTGGTCTTGCAGTCTGGTATCTCTCTGGTCTCTCTTTGATCTTTTTCTGGTCTCTCACTGGTTTCTGCCTCTTGTCTCTCTCTGGTTTTGCTCTGGTCTGATGTATTGTTTTGTATAAAAGTATATTGCATTTCCTCAGAGTTTTTCATTGACGGCCTGGGCGCTCTGCACGTGGGCTCCTGCGATGACGTCATTGTTAACCACGCCACTAAGATCCGGCTGCCGTGGATCAGCCAATCGGAGAGTGACAAAACCTATGCCAAGTTCCGCTACCCGCCCGCCGCCTCGGACGCCACACAGACCAAGAACGGACTGCTGTTTTTCAAGAACCGCTTCCAGTGTTTGACTCATAACTAATGCCTAGCGTACATCGGACTGGCAACTGATTATATCCGTCGCCTATGAGTTGCTGCCCCGCACACATCAACAATGTGGCGAAAACGGGCATCTCCTAGTAGCAGGCCAGTCTCGGGAATAACAGCGCGTACATCGACAGCAACTGACCGTCAACTACAGTGTGTTTTCTGACATAAACTGTAGAGGGGCGCGCAATACACACATGTTCTCGGAGTGCGCACATTGGGTGATATCTCCGGATCTGAGTACAACTAGTTGCTGAAAAGTAGAACACGGGCAACTGACTGAATCCGGAGATCGACTGTTTATCTCCAGTTGTAAGAGGTGTCTCACATCGACCGATTTCGGCAACTGATCATCTCCCATCATCTATTCTCAGTTGTCAAAAGCCGCCTTGCAACTAGTTGTCTCCAGTTACTCTGTCGATGTACGCTAGGCTAAACGCTTCATCCTCTGTCTCTGTCTCTGTATCTGAGTCTATGGGTGTATTCAGACCTGCACATTTGGTCGACTTTAAACGGACCAGGATTCGTTTGGAACTCTGATCCGGACCTTTAATGCAGGTGTGAATACACACAAACAAACCCTGGTCCGGACCAAAGAACCGTTCCGAGACTCACTTTTTTAGGTGGTCTTGGTCCTCCACCGTAGACAGAAACTGTGAGGAATTAGCCATGCGTTACAGCTGCTAACGCATGCTACACAACAACAATGAGCCGTGGGCAGACCTGGAGCAACGAGGAGACACTGTGCCTCCTTGAAATTTGGGCAGAGGCACATTCTGGAAAAGACACAAAAATATGGGGTCGTTTTGCTCTAAAAAGAGTAAACATAGGCAGAGCAGACACGAGTACGAGCTTGATATTTTCCTCCATTTCCGCATCTATTCTCCGTGAGCTCTCGCTGTCCAATAGGAGCACCGATCGTCACACCCGTCGATATGTTTATAAAAAAGTTAACTTACAAAAAATACTGTCTGAATACAAACCTTTTGCTTTTGGTTCGGACCAAGCAAGCGGACCAAAGGACTTTTCTGGTCTGAATACGTCTCTGTCTCTGAGTCTCTGTCTCTGAGTCTCTGTCTCTGAGTCTCTGTCTCTGCTTCTGTTGCCTGCCAAAGACGTTTTCTGTGTCTGACCGTGTTTTGCAGCACACTTTTGTTGTGCAGAAAAACACCAGATTCAATTCAATGCATTTGTGTATCACCCTAAATCACAACAGTCGTTATCAGTGACAGTACTACAGTATTACAGTACCACAGAAATGGGTAAACTGTATTAATACACACATTCTGTTGGGTTTCATACGTAATCCATCAGTTATCAATATCCGGAGTAAGATTTTTGACATATTATTGGAGGTGAAAATGTTTGTTATTTTTCCTCACACGATTCATTTTCTGTTGTTTCTGAAAGGAATGTGGAATGTTCTTTATTTTGTCTAATGTTTATTTGAAAACTATAGTATTTCAGATAAAAATCGATCAATTCATTTTTAAACAATGCAGCTAAGATCCAACTCTATCGGCGATGTGTGTAATGAATCATGGTCCTGCTGGTCCTGGTCCTGGTCCTGGTCTTACTGTATCAAACTGATGATGAACTCCACATGTTTTATATAAAGAACTGCCTTGAAGAACCGCGGGAGGAACCAAAGTGCATGTTAGAGCTGAGGCCGAGCATGAGTGTGAACCATGAGGTAGAATGGACAAAAACTGCTCGACTTCTGTCTGATATTGATCAAATTGCCCTTTTGTACCTGAGGCCGCTAGTGTTAACCGTCTATGTTTATATGAGCAACAAGTGCCACATGAACTGTATTATTGATTTCTAAAAGGGGATTTTTTGTGTGAGATTTGTGCATCTGGTTTTATTATTTACTATCAAATCAAAAGTAGCTCTTCAGTTTGGACCATAGACTGTATATAGATGGAGAATGTTAACCTGCTACCTCTAACTCAATACTATTGACTCCCATGTAAAAGTAAACTCCTTTCGCTTAAGGTTTGTGTCACACTCACAATTCTGGGCTTAAATCTATGATTTATTGCTTTCTGTGATCCTGGTATTTACATGTGATATTGTCTTTGTAACTCCAGATATGACCATATAAGGACTGACCAATCAGATGTCTTCATTCAGGGGGAGACTCCAGCTTTCCTTAGCAACCATCTTGGCAACATGTTTGCCCCTGTGCTAAGCTAACGTCATCAGAACAAATGCCCAATGTTCAAAGGCCTCTTCTGCACTAAAGGTGCAATGTAGTTTTTACTCCCAGTGTTGAGATCACATATTGCTGTCCTTTGGTACTGGGAGTGCTGCAAAGGATCTGTCGTCTTCAACCGAGGTCCCCAACTCTGACTCATTCAAGCCGGGCCGCCAAGGAAATTATACTTTAGTTTGATAAATGACCAGATCTCTCCATACGTCTTGGTCACTTTAAATCGTATCTCTCGTCCAAACACATGCGTGGAGGTGGACAGTCCATGATCTGAAGTGAAACCCGTCCCGCACACTACAGAGAGGCTCTGGAGTTTTACAAACGCAGTGTAAAGAGAAAACACGGCCATATATACACAGCCGCGGCAGAACTTTGAGTAAACGCTCAGATTAATATTATCTTTCAACTCTCGCTGTTCTGACAATTGTTTTGTGGGGGATTCCGTGTGTTTTGCATATTTGATTTCATGGGGCAAATAGGGTGGAGGTAAATATTCTTAAAAGGTTATATTTGTCATTGGTTAACATGTTTTATTCATTTGGAACAACTGTAGAAATTACATAGAGTAGCACACTGAGGTGAACACTGTGGTGACATCATCCTCTCAGTCCTGATATGCAGTCTACGGTTTAGACTAACGGCTTATTAACCGGGCCTTTTTGCACAGACCTCGCCACGGCTCGGTCTGTACATTAAGGCCGCGGTCTGATATTTCCCCATACAGACCGAGCAAGTGAGGTTAATAAATGTTTTATTATATGACTATTTTTAATTTATGCAAATATCGATCTCGACTTGGTTTTCCTTATCGTGTTTTTAGCTTTCTGGTCTGCAACGAAGTTGTCAATCTCATCTTGTCTGTTAGTTATCGTTTCTTCATTTTTATCTGTAATTTATTCCTCTGGCTCGTCAAACTCGTCCGGATAATAGAATTCACTGGGAGAATGCTCCCAGTTGTCGCCCATTATTTATTTTTTTACCGAGGAAACTCAGGAAAGAAATCAATTGTGATACGCGCTGTTCGGACCAATTGTCATGGAAACGGTCTGAGAGGGGAAAATATCAGACTGGTAATTAGCCAATCAGAGCGCGCGTATGGTCCAAGTCATATAATAATTGTGCTTATTAGAATCAAGAAGACATTTTGTTTTTGAGTTTTCAAACGGGACAAAGACGATTGAAATTGTGAAGTAAACTGCAGAAAATTCCTGGAATAAGTGTATTTGAGTGTGTGTGTCTGTGTGTCTCTGTGGGAATGTATGTGTGTCTGTGTGGGTGCACGTGTGTGTGTTTGTGAATGGCCAAATAAAGAACATTAAATCAAAATGAACAACATTATTATTTAGGGTTTTTAGTTTGCTTTGAAGTCTCATTGAGCCGCTGTTGCTGGTTGCTATAGTAAAACATGTTGACCTCATGGTTCTCACCAGTCTATATTATTCCAAAATCTATGAAGTCCTCTGTTCTCAGCAGCAGCATTGGCATCTGTGCTGATGTCATTATTTACAACCAGGAAGTAAAACTATATGATAAATATGCGCTATTATTACAGATCCAAGTAAATCTGTCCAAACCAAACCGGAAAGAAGTTTGGAACATCTGCAGCCAATTCTGCAATGATCTGGACCATTTCTGTGAAAGCCACACAATTATAAATAAAACACATTGCTGTTTTGATTGCAGCATAAAAAAATACCGTCCATCAGAGGGAGCTGTGGGACAAGAAATTATTTGACAAACACTTAGTCTCAATGGAGAGATCCTTAGATTAATAAATAACAAACACAGAAGACTTTAACAGTCTGGAACCTGTCCGTCACATTAACATGGATTTTTTACAAGTTGAAATTAGTGTGTTGGGATTTTACTCTTACTACAGTCTGTCTGTCAGGACAAACAACATTGATCTGTGATTTTTAAAGTCAGGTACCTCAGCTTTACCTTCCTCTGATTCCAGCCTGAGCCTGTGTCTGTGACAAATGTGTGTGAACACAAACACATTGGTGTTTGATGAACTTTTATTCTTTACAACTTCACACAACAAAAGTTATAAAAGGGAAAGTTGTGAAACGTGACAGAGCACAGAGTCTGATCATTTCACAGATCGCTGCATTGTCTCAGTTTGCAGAGAGTCTTCCTGGAAACCACCGCTCATTTCCTGTGAAACAAATAGAGAGTTATTTCTCTCAGAAACATTCAGACAATGTATTGTTACTGAAACTGAGGGACACTTCTATTGAAACTATTATTATTCATGTGAATATTCTGTGTCTCGCCCTAAATCACAGCAGCAGTCAACTGAAGACTTTACAGAGTTGTGGATTCACCAACAACAGATCAGAGAATCAAACTATTTTAACACATAGGAGTCAGGACAACGCCTGACCTCAGACTCCTTCATCTAGCTTTAAGAAAAGACAGGGCTGATGTTTCAGGGAGAGGGTTTCTTATAGATATATTGGATAATAACACAGTCTGACCCAGTTCTGTAGCTTGAGTGACTCACCTTTCCTGAAGGGGGCGCTGGACTGAGAGAGCTCTATGGGCTTCATACGGACTCGAAATCTGAACACAGAGAATAATACATAGTAGGAAGTAAGTAGTAATCTTTATTTATATACCGCCTTTTCACTGCAGGTTAGAGTCTCAAAGCGGTTTACAATTGTTATTTTTTGTAGCAGAGTCGCCAGTACAGGAGGCGCATGCCAGATCTATTGTACATATTTTTAGTGGTAGGGGAAACCGGAGTACCCGGAGGAAACCTACGCCGACACGGGGAGAACATGCAAACTCCACTCAGAAAGGCCCTGGTCCGACCGGGATTCGAACACAGGACCTTCTTGCTGAGAGGCGAGAGTGCTATCCACTCAGCCACCGTGCCCACATGGTGTGTGAGCTCGGACCATGGATCTATTATAATATCTGAGACTCTGAGGAGAACAGGGACTGGCTTCCTGCTGGGACTCTGAGTCAGGACTAAACATGAGGAGGCAGCATTTCAGATGTATGCAGCTGAAACCTGGAACAGTTTTCCTGAAATGTGAGAAAGGCTTCTTCTCTGACAAATCCAGGTTAAAACCAGTGGGGGCGGGTCTCGGCTCAAAAGTGGCCAAAATGACGTGCGCTGACATGCTTGCAATACCACCCCGGGCCATTGGGGGTGGACCCTGAATGAGAATTAGCTAATGCTAACATATAGCATCTTACAGGATGGTCCAAAAGTTCCGTTCCACATGTGTGTCGTTGCTGAGGGGAGTGAATTTTTTTGGACCACTCTGGTTTATTCGCTTTGAATTTTTTTAAGTCACTCGTTTAAATGAATGAAGCTCGTGCTGGCTAACACATGCGCAAATGCCTGTGGCCATTTTGAATCACTCCATGAGAGCCCAATTTTTGGCCCAACGGCGGAGATAGTCGTGCCTTTTCACCTGGCAGACTATGATGTCAGAGGAGCAGGGGCCCTGAGCCAGTTTTGTAAAACACCCATGCTTTGGGGCCTCCACCAGCGCTCAGCACCACAGAGAGCCACACCCCCTGCTCCTGACCACAGCCCACCAGTGTACCAATGTAGATAAGTTCAGAGCCATGTCTGCTGAGAGCCGCCGGAACTAGGAGAAGCTCCAACAGAGGTGAGATTGAAGTACAGTGCCTTGCGAAAGTATTCAGCCCCCATTGAACCTTTCAACATTTCGCCACATTTCAGGCTTCAAACATAAAGATATAAAAAAAATTTTTTTTGTCAAGAATCAACAACAAGTGGGACACAATCGTGAAGCGGAACGAAATTTATTGGATAATTTAGACTTTTTTAACAAATAAAAAACTGAAAAGTGGGGCGTGCAATATTATTCGGCCCCTTGCGCTGATACTTTGTAGCGCCACCTTTTGCTGCAATTACAGCTGCAAGTCGCTTGGGGTATGTCTCTATCAGTTTTGCACATCGAGAGACTGGAATTCTTGCCCATTCTTCCTTGCAAAACAGCTCGAGCTCAGTGAGGTTGGATGGAGAGCGTTTGTGAACAGCAGTCTTCAGCTCTTTCCACAGATTCTCGATTGGATTCAGGTCTGGACTTTGACTTGGCCATTCTAACACCTGGATACGTCTATTTGTGAACCATTCCATTGTAGATTTGGCTTTATGTTTTGGATCATTGTCCTGTTGGAAGATAAATCTCCGTCCCAGTCTCAGGTCTTTTGCAGACTCCAACAGGTTTTCTTCCAGAATGGTCCTGTATTTGGCTCCATCCATCTTCCCATCAATTTTAGCCATCTTCCCTGTCCCTGCTGAAGAAAAGCAGGCCCAAACCATGATGCTGCCACCACCATGTTTGACAGTGGGGATGGTGTGTTCAGGGTGAGGAGCTGTGTTGCTTTTACGCCAAACATATCGTTTTGCATTGTGGCCAAAAAGTTCAATTTTGGTTTCATCTGACCAGAGCACCTTCTTCCACATGTTTGGTGTGTCTCCCAGGTGGCTTGTGGCAAACTTTAAACGAGACTTTTTATGGATATCTTGGAGAAATGGCTTTCTTCTTGCCACTCTTCCATAAAGGCCAGATTTGTGCAGTGCACGACTGATTGTTGTCCTATGGACAGACTCTCCCACCTCAGCTGTAGTTATCTGCAGTTCATCCAGAGTGATCATGGGCCTCTTGTCTGCATTTCTGATCAGTCCTCTCCTTGTTTGAGATGAAAGTTTGGAGGGATGGCCGGGTCTTGGTAGATTTGCAGTGGTCTGATACTCCTTCCATTTCAATATAATTGCTTGCACAGTGCTCCTTGAGATGTTTAAAGCTTGGGAAATCTTTTTGTATCCAAATCTGGCTTTAAACTTCTCCACAACAGTATCTCGGACCTGCCTGGTGTGTTCCTTTGTCTTCATGGTTCTCTCTGCGCTTTAAACAGAACCCTGAGACTATCAAAGAGCAGGTGCATTTATACGGACACTTGATTACACAAAGGTGCATTCTATTTCAATCAATCAATCAATCAAAGTTTATTTGTAGAGCGCCTTTCATGCACAGGGCAACACAAAGCGCTTCACAGTCCACATCACAAATCATCACATAAAACAAACACCAGAATCACAATTAAAACATTAAAATCACACAAAAGATTAAAACACAATAAAAACAATAAAATACACACAAAAGAATAAAACCATTAACACTTTCAAAGTTACACAAGAAATTTAAAAAAATAAATAAATAAATGACAGCAGTGCATTACAAATGGAGATAAAAAATCCTTCAGTTGTATGCACAGGCAAACAGAACAGTCTTTAACCTGGATTTGAACATTGACAGAGTAGACGCCTCCCTCACATTTTCAGGGAGATTGTTCCAGATCTTAGCTGCATAGATCTGAAACGCAGCCTCCCCATGTTTGGTTCTCACTCTGGGCACCAGCAGGAGGCCAGTCCCTGTGCTCCTCAGAGTCCGGGCTGGTTCATATGACACCAACATGTCACTAATGTATTCTGGTGCAAGGCCATGGAGAGACTTGTACACAAGCAGAGCTGTTTTAAAATCTATTCTTTGAGCCACAGGAAGCCAGTGCAGAGACCTGAGGACCGGACTAATATGGTCATACTTCCTGGTTCCTGTCAGGACTCTAGCTGCTGCATTTTGGATGTACTGCAGCTGCTTACAGGTCTGTTTGGACAGACCTGTAAGCAGGCCATTGCAGTAGTCTAGCCTGCTGGAGACAAATGCGTGGACAAGAATCTCCAAGTCTGCCCTGGACACTATATTTCTGACTTTGGCAATGTTCTTCAGATGGTAAAAAGCTGTTGATGTTATTGATTTTATGTGGCTATTGAAATTTAGGTCTGAGTCCAGTATTACCCCCAAATTTCTGACCTTGTCTGAAGGAAGTAGGGAGAGAGACTGAAGTTGACAGATGACGCCCTCTCTTTGTTTCTGGGGACCAAAGACAATGATTTCGGTTTTGTCTGCATTTAGCTGGAGGAAATTATTTTGCATCCACTCACTGATCTGTTGGATACAGTGAAGGAGCAAATCCAGTGGTCCATGTTCTCCTGCAGTCAGTGAGACATAGATCTGAGTGTCGTCGGCGTAATTGTGGTAGGACACTTTGTTTCTTTGTATTAACTGACCTAACGGCAGCATGTAGAGATTAAATAGGAGAGGTCCCAGGATCGACCCCTGTGGTACTCCACAGGTCAGGGCCACATGATCTGAGACGCAGTCTCCAATCTCCACAAAGTACTTCCTATCCTCCAGGTAAGACCTAAACCAGTCTAGGGCTGTGCCAGTGACACCAACCCAGTCCTCCAGTCTCTGCATGAGGATCTCATGGTCGACAGTGTCGAACGCGGCACTAAGATCTAACATGACCAAAACTGTGACTTTACCTGCATCAGTGTGAAGTCGAATGTCGTTTGTTACCTTCACTAGAGCGGTCTCAGTGCTGTGGTGGGGTCTAAACCCAGACTGGAACATATCAAAAGAATTATTCATTGTTAAAAATTCAGTAAGTTGTTGGGAGGCCACTTTTTCAAGAATTTTTCCAATGAATGGCAGATTCGATATGGGGCGATAATTTTGAAGTCCCGCAGGATCCAGACTGCTCTTTTTTAGGAGAGGTCTTATGACTGCTGTTTTTAGGGCCATAGGAAATGTTCCTGACGACAGAGACATGTTTACTATTTGTGTCAGTGAAGGTAACAAACTGCTCAGGACGGACTTCAGAAATTTAGAGGGCAATATATCCAGGCTACATGTGGAGGAGCTCAGACTCATGATTATCTTTTTGACAGTTTCAGTATCCACAGGTGCAAAGTGAGTTAGCTCAAAAAGCTTCTCTGGCTGTTGCATTGTTATACGTGCTGTGGAGGTGATAGTGTTTTTGATTCCTTGTACTTTGTCATCGAAAAACTGTGCAAACTCATTACACCTAGATTTAGAGGAAAATTCTAGGGGCAACTTTACAGGGGGGTTCGTTAATCTACCAACTGTTGAAAACATAACACGAAAATTGTTACTGCAACCTCCAATAATGTCAGAAAAATACATTTCTCTTGTTCTTCGTAGAACCCGGTTAAATTCACCCAACTCATCTTTAAAGATTTCATAATCGCCCTGGAAATTGGACTTTCGCCACTTCCGTTCGGCCCTCCGGCACTCTTGCTTCTGTGCCCTGACCGAGTCTGCCTTAGTCCATGGGGCCTTTTTCTTACTGGTAACTATTTTAACCGTCACAGGAGCAATGGCGTCCAGAACATTCAGAACACTGGTGGTGACAGAGTTATACAATTCATCAACAGTAGAGCATGGAGTTTTCTCAAAATTTAGCATTCCCATGAACAGTTCACCTGTGTTTTCATGTATGTGTCTTCTTCTAGCAATTGTAAATTCAGCTGGTGGTTTGCTAGCAAAACACATGTCAAAAAATACACAGAAATGATCTGACAAAGCAACATCAACTACATTAACATTTGATACATTAACCCCCTTTGTAATTAGCAGGTCAAGAGTGTGCCCCCTGCTGTGGGTGGGGCCACTCACGTGCTGAATGAAACCAAAGGTCTCAAGTACAGAAGC